ATTTTTGAGCGGAATACCTTAAACAATTTGTGGATCGATTCTCCGCGAATCTTCATCAAAATCTAGAAAGAAAATATTTTTCAAATTTTTTGTCAAATTTTCTGGAGGACCCCCTTTGAAATTTTGAAAAATGCATGTGGAGCAAAATATGGTCCCCAGCGATGGCCATATCTTTGCCAATAGTTATCCGACTCTTAAGCGGAATACTTTAAACGATTTGTGGATCGATTCTCCATAAATCTGCATCAAAATCTAGAAACAAATTATTTTTCAAATTTTTTGTCAAATTTTCTGAACGACCCCCTTTGATATTTTGAATAATGCATGGGGATCAACTTACGATCCCCAGCGATGGCCATATCTCTACCAATTGTTATCCGATTTTTGAGCGGAATACTTTAAACGATTTGTGGATCGATTCTCCATAAATCTGCATCAAAATCTGGAAACAAATTTTTTTTCAGATTTTTTGTCAAATTTTCTAGAGGACCCCCTTTTAAATTTTGAAAAATGCATGGGAGGCAACCTATGGTCCCCAGCGTTGGCCATATCTCTACCAATTGTTATCCGATTCTTGAGCGGAATACCCTAAACGATTTGTGGATCGATTCTCCACAAATCTGCATCAAAATCTAGAAACAAATTATTCTTCAAATTTTTTGTCAAATTTTCTGGAGAACCCCCTTTGAAATTTTGAAAAATGCATGGGAGGCAACCTATGGTCCCCAGCGTTGGCCATGTCTCTACCAATTGTTATCCGATTCTTAAGCGGAATACCTTAAACGATTTGTGGATCGATTCTCCACAAATCTGCATCAAAATCTAGAAACAAATTATTTTTCACATTTTTTGTCAAATTTTCTAGAGGACCCCCTTTGAAATTTTGAAAAATGCATGGGAGGCAACCTATGGTCCCCAGCGATGGCCATATCTCTACCAATTGTTATCCGATTCTTGAGCGGAATACTTTAAACGATTTGTGGATCGATTCTCCATAAATCGGCATCCAAATCTGGAAACAAATTATTTTTCAAATTTTTTGTCAAATTTTCTGGGGGACCCCCTTGGAAATTTTGAAAAATGCATGGGAGGCAACCTATGGTCCCCAGCGATGGCCATATCTCTACCAATTGTTATCCGATTCTTGAGCGGAATACTTTAAACGATTTGTGGATCGATTCTCCATAAATCGGCATCCAAATCTGGAAACAAATTATTTTTCAAATTTTTTGTCAAATTTTCTGGGGGAACCTTCGAAAAAATAAGGTTTTTAAAAACTTTTATGGAACCCATCCCATGGTTTCCCTATTCAAAGTACACTCCTCGCCTCCTCCGGGGGACACTTAAAATGTCATTACCCGGCCTGGCAATTTGGTTTTCGGCTACAGTTTGGCCAGGTTTCCTTTTTGTCTCTTTTTGTGGCATGAAACCGAAGTGGCATGAATAAAAAGCCGAAGTGAGACATAATAATAAAGCAACAAAAGACAATTCAGCTCGTAAAAATACAAAATAAATGTTATAAATGTAGCCATAAAAATTACAACAACAATGGCTCCCCACCGCTGCCAGAAAGGGTGTGGAAGGGGAGGGCTTGTGGGGTGGTGACCTCCTCCTTTCGGGAGGACCTTTGGCAGCGTAAAATATTTTTAACTGATTGATACGCGCGGGCTGCGGGGCAAGTGGGTATGAGTGTATGGGTTGCGTGACAAAAACAATATAGAGCACCAACACAAACAAGAAAGAGACTCGAATGTGGGTGGTGAGGGGAGCAGGGACGAGGAGCAGGACGAGGGACACTGACGAGTGACGCCGAAAAAGAGGCAACACTCACACGCGGACAGATGCGCGTGAAAACAAATGAGAAAAAATATGTTACAAAGTGTCGCACATGACACACACTCACGCACTCACACTGACGCACGCCAATACCTAAACAGACACACACTCAAGCCAGAGGATGCAGAGAGAGAAAAGGGTATGTAGTTTTTAGAGAACTGTTTCCCGATGGTGGGTGAAGGACATGCAACTATTACTTTTAATGATTTAATCTTTTATAAGAACACTATTTTGGGAAAGCTTTTTTCTCTCAGTGCACAGGAGCTTGCCACTTGCTCGCCTCGTCATGTCACGGCAGCAACTTTTACATTGTTTGGCTTCGAGCGTTGTGCCATTTTTACTTTGGCTTTCTGGGTGGCGGGCGTAAGGGGGGTGGCAGACCAGGGAGCGGTAAGGGTTTCGGTAGGTGCCGCTTTTGTGTCATCCTCGTCGACGCATTCGTGTCAAATTTATTTCCCTGCTCCTTTTTTTTTTTTTTGCTTTGTATTTTAGTGTAATTTTGTTGATTACAATGTTGTTGCCTTTCTTTCCCACGTGTGTGTGTGTGTGTGTGTGTGAGAGAGAAAGGGAGTGTGTGGGTGTGGGTGGGCATGACATCGTTGAGTGTGTAATTTATTTGGAGTGATCCTAAATTATACATGTGTGTGTGTGTGCGTGGGAGAAGTGCCAAAGAAATGCTTAAATTTTGTTCAAGAGTGGTATGGCATTTATTAAACAACCCAAATTATACACATTAGTTGAAATATTTTAAAACATCAATAAGGACACGAAACAGAAGCCCGAAAAAGTATGCTACGCTTTTTTCCACCTTCATTATGGTGTCCCTTTTATCAAGGCCCTCCATCCTCCATCTTGGCCGGAGCCGGGGGCTAACGCTTTTACGGCCACATTATTACTTTTTATGACGGCACAAGGGAAAGTCGTGTTTCGAGCTGCCTAATACAAAAATTGGGGATACCGCGATGGCGGTGGTTGGGCTGGTGGGGCTGCCACCGAATTCTGACACCACCCGCGGCCAGACTCAACGCCAAAATGTCTAATGAAATCTAATAAATTAAAGAGATTTATACAAAAGCCGTTCGCCTGTGGCTGCTTTTTGGCTTAAGCCCACCCCCACCCTGTATCTTCGGGGCCAACTCTGGCCGGACGCAGGCAAATTATTGGCTTTTCGGCCGAGTTGCCGAATCACAACAACAACATCTACAACAAGTGTGAGGTCGGGGAAACTTGTCGCACCCCATTGTCCTTTGTTCCCGGAGATAAGAAGTTAATGCCGAAACTTTAAACCGAACCGAGCACAGCCAAAGTTTGGATCGCTTTAAGAGCCGATACAAGAGTGCTTTGTTTTAGAACCCTGCTACATTCAATTAAAATTGCTCTAAAATTCCTTTATTTTTATTGCGCCGACAAAAGTCCTGTTTTATATTTGTCTTTTGTGTGCATAAAAGTTTAATTGATTTTCAATGTTTATGCGGCAGTGGGAGACTGAGAGAGAGATTTCGAGGGGAGGAGCGGAAAGTGGCCATAAATTGGATTTGGCCCAAAAAGTCAGCGCCTGGAATTTAATCAACCCCTCTGCGACAATCTGGGGCTTAGTTGGAGGTCCTCTCCTAACCACTCGGGCACCCGCTTTCCTATAAATCTTGCCCTGCTTTAGAAGGTGCAAAATTGTATACATAAAATATTTCCACTTATTCGCATTCGTTGAGGTAATGTTTTAAAAATGATTTATGGATCCGGCCCAGCTCCTTTTGGTATCTCGGCGGAGGGAAACCGAAAACAGAAAACAGAGCCAGGGAACGGCAGGAAGGAAGGACATGTGTGTGTGTGTGGGTATTCAGGACCCGGCACCTCAAGTGCTTGGCCAGCCATGCAATTACATATATCAGCGGAGAAGACCTCCTCGGGTATGGGAGGACCTCCTGCCTCCTTGCTATTTTTGTGCAGCGGGAGGGCGAATGCATAAATTATGTAAAATTACCCAGCAGCAGGAGGATCCCATGTCCTTCGAGCCAGGCGATGTAAAGTGCGTGTTACATCGAACAAATAATATTTCGAGTGCAATAAATATATGATAAATGTCTTAAAGAACACCCGCGAGTTGCGCGGGAAAGTTAATCAAACCGAATGAGGAATGGGCATCCTCTCAAGGATGCACGAGTCCTGGCGTTTGTCTGGGAGAGGAGCAACTTTAGTTTACAAGAGCTTAGAGCTCATTAATCATGTGAGCAAATATTTGGCTGCAGTTTGGAAACAAAGCAGTATCTGGTGTCCAAATCCTTGCCGTACTTGGCATTTTAAAGACGATAGAGTATGGGTACTCCAGAACCAACTTACATATATTCTTTATTTAGTCATACTCTGGCATACTAGCACTTCATCAACGCAATTTGTTATGCAATTAATTTGAGTGGCAAAAAGTAAAGAACTTTGTTTGAAGGCGCCAAATGGCGGCCGAGGCTGCCGAGGCGGCTGCTGAATGAGAAGTCTGGTAAACAAGTTTCGCATAATTTCCATAAAATATTTCATAAACAACTTGAAAAATGCTAAAAAGCTAAAAAGCAAAAGGACGAAAAAACAATAGGAAAGAAAAGACTGAAAAGAAAGCCGGGCAAACTCGCGGCGGTAATTAAAAAGTTCACCAAAGAGTCCGGGCGGCCACCAGAGACTTTGGAAAATTGCTACCCAGAAGAACTCCGGTGGAGCCGATGACAGAGCACAAAACTTGCCGATTGAACGGGAAATGTGGAGCAGGACCACGCTCCACCATCAACAATCCAAATAAATGGAAAAATAAGAATGCAGCCGGCTGCCAAGTTTGTCGCCGCAGAAAAATAATATGGAAAAAATGGGCATCCTTTATCCTTTATGTAGATATCAAAATATGTAGAGAGTAAGCCCCAAGGCCTGACAGCAACCACAAGCTGCGGCTCCTGCGGTCAGACAGTTGTGGTTATGCCTTTTTTGTTGTCCTGGAAACGATGCATCCTTGCTGATTACAGTCGCCGATGTCCAGGCATCGGAAATTGGAAAAGTTCTTGCTCTTCTGCAGCTCCAGAAATGCATAAAGGGAAGGACGAAAAGGAGGGAATCAGGGTCAAGACAGGATTAAGCCAGGATCGTGTTATTTATTTTTCAAGCAACCAAATCTCAACCGGCTTGGATTTGTTTACTACAATTTCCTTTATTTAGCTTGACAAAATAAACAGCTGACAGGAGCTCGGAAAAGCTGCTGCTCTCGCCGAAGGACCTTCGTGTCCCAAGCCCTCTCTTTGGGACAGGACTCGAGGGGTAGTTTTGAAACGGTTAGGATTTATCTAAGCGGTTAAGTGGAGGGGTAATGCAACTGCCTTGAATAAAACATTTTAACTAGGAGGTAGAATTAACTAGAGTCGGCTATGTCTCGTCGCAGCCAGTCCAGGAGGGAGTCCCTGGCGCACTCCGCCTCCGCATCGAGGCAGAACAACTGGGTGATGTCCTCCAGCCAATTGCCGATGATGTACCTCTTGATGCAGGGCATCACTCCCAACTCTCGCAGTGCTTTCAGGCAGTACAACTGCTGGCGGGGATTGCTGTCCGTCATCATTAGGCGGCCCACATAGCAGGGTAGCGGAGTGAACTCCCGACTCCGCCAAAGGGCCCGCTTGCTGTGAAGTCCGTTGACCAGAGCCAAGACTGTGTACTCCCAGTTCTCCACCTTCTGGCTGGGCAGCAGCTTCCAGGAAGGCTCGTCCGGCTGGCAAAAGACATCGAAGAGAAGCTTAATCCCATCCACAGCATCGAAGCGCCGTTGGCCCTCGGCACATCGCAGGAGCAGAGCGAAGGCCTTGGTGGACATACCCCAAAAGTTGGCCAGGCGATTCAGGATGCGGGAGTGCATGAGCTCGAAGAAGCCCAACTCGATGCCCTGCTCCGGTGCCAGTTCCAGCAGGTGGCAGAGATGGTGCCACAAATGGTGCGGATAGTGCGGCCGACAGGGATCCTTCTTGAAAATCGCAGCCAAGGCCATAAAGTTTTCGGGATCCTCCAAGACAATACTCAAAACTGAGAGGGAAAATTGGGTTTTTAATCATTTGAACTAGGCTTATACTTACCCATTGGTTGTCCCGTTAAATTTCTCAATATCTCCGAGGCCAATTCGTCCTTTTTGGCCTCCTGGTGATGAATAATTTTGTAAAACTCAACTCTGAGGCACTTTCGATTGGCTATGTCCTCAGCCCCATTAAAGTTCCGGGAGAGGATATCTTAAAAACGATATACGAGACATAGTTAACAAAATAAAACCAGGAAAAGCCTCAAACTTACTATAAATCTTAAGATACATCTCCAATTCGTTGTACTCCTCCTTGTGGTGCTTCAGTCTCATGCGCATGAAGGCGTTTTTAAGCCTGAAAATCATTAAAATTAGTCATTAGGTTAGTAACTGGCCAAACTCTTACTTTCGGACAATGTCCATTTCGGTTATGGCCCTCTCGGCGTTCAGTGGATTGAGCAGAAACTCCGTCAGGGACACAATGGCCCTCCAGTGAGTGAGACGCACATCGCTGTCCAGCTCCTTCATCAGCTTCGGAAGAGCGAACCAACCGTAGGCCAACTGAGCCCTATCCTCCAGGTAGGTGGAGCTGGGGATGCAACTAACCGGGGGGCACTTGCACAAGTCCCTCTTTTCCATGAACTTGGCCCACTCTTCATTCTGTTTGTCGTTAATGGAGCTGGGCTTTAGCACATCCTTGATCTCGTGTTGCAAAAAGTGATTGCGGTACTTTTCCAATTGCTCCCACATATCGTCTGTTTACTTAACTGAAAAATATAATTCAATAGGGGGATTTCACCAGTGTAAAATTTGTTAAGCCTGGTCGACATACGCCAGCTTTGCTTCAATTCAAATTTAAAAAACTGTTGTAAGACCCGCGGTCAGGATTCTGTTAACAGTTCGTTACAGTTTTACAGCGTCTGCGAAGCTTAAAGTCTTCCATCCCTAGAGAAATCGATACATTTAAAACAGAGCGATGGCATAATATTAGTGATGGCATGTCACAGCTGTTAAGTGCTTGGAGGGGAACTTGTGCCATCGCTAGCGGTGAGAAAGGGGCGGGAAACGAACGGCCTTTAAAAACAAGTTTCATTGATACCCTGTAATCAAAGCGATTTAAAGCCTCTACGCGTTCGGACGTGCCGCTCTCCGTCGCAAAGCGCACCTAGACTTTTGTATGCATCGTTTACCGGCGCGCGAGCTAAATAATAAATGCGAACCGCGGGCGCGCCACCAAGTGCAGTTTTATTGACCGACCTGATAGCAAGAACCGCCATCAATGCAATTTGCCGCACGGCGTCCAAAAAAATTCTACAAGGGAATCAAGAGAAGAGACTGGCCTACTGTGTGTGGTGTGGGTGTGGAAAGATGTAAACAAACGATTTAAGCAAATAACAACAATAGAAAGGCGACCAGAAAATATCGAAAAAGCACAGCCGACCGAATAACTGTAATTGTGTTGTTGTGTCTGCGGGTGCTCCTTCGTGCATCTGTGTGTGTGCTGCCCTGTGTGTGTTTTTGTGTGTGTGTGTGTTTGGAGCAGACAACAAAAGAAATTGCGCTGGCTCTTCCTCCCCCTCGACCACCTCCTGCCTAGCTACCGTTACTTGCTGCACTGCCAAAAAAAAAAGCAACAAAAAAAAACACTACAAGACTCTGAGAGACGAAATAAACGAATTTTTTGATAGAATAAATAATATAAATAGGGTTTGCCAAGAAGTCAATTACACATATAGACGAAGAACAGCAACGATGGCCTTGATAAGACTGGCAAGGTGAGTACACTGGGAGAATCACTTCTATTCTCCATATCCTTCTAGGCCCCCCTTCCCCAGGATAATTTCTCTCTGTGTATAGACCAAAGCACTCTGATTCGAAAAAGACCGGCTTCGCAAAATTGGCCGTTAAAAGCGTCGGCTTTGGGTCGCCGCCACTCACCTCCTCCGCCTCCATTTGCTTTAACACTTAACGGCTGTAATTAAGTTGCCAGGGGCGGAGCTCAGCCCCATAGATCGGGGGTTTCCCGAAAATCACTCTCGCGGAATTCGGTGGATTTCGGTGGAATTGATTTTTCCTAGCCCCTTCGTCCTGGGCCTGACCTGGACTGACCCCATTACTCATTCGCTGGAAGTCCGTCCCTGGCCTTTTGGACTTGGCCAAGTTAAGGCCGTGTAATAACTTGTAGACAAATATTTGCTTCCCATGAGCTGATAGCCGACAGTGTTGTTGGTCAATGCACTCTGGCACCTTGTCGCCCCTGAGACTCCACTTCAGAGTAGATATATCTATCCTATTTTTAGTATATATGCATAATCAGTGATCGGTTAATACGAGTAACAATCTAGCAATGATTCAATACAAGCCTCCACCACCAAGGGCTGTAGAATCTGTATATATTTGTTAATCTTCTCGATTTCATTTGTTGTTCTTTCTACATAGTCTACTTCTAGAGAAGAATTGAATTTCAAACGGGAGGTGGTAGTCTTCCAGAAATGGCGTAATTAGTTTTTCATTCATCGGAGAGAGATTTATGCTTGAAGGTGGTTTACCCTCGAGATGCAAACAAGCACACATGATTGACGCCGAATTAGCACTCCCGATCATTTGATTGATTGACCGCTTGAGCGATTGCCCGCGTGGGTCTGTCTATATATGCTATATATACATATTTTTTTTGCAATTTAGATTACAGCATGAGTGCGAGAATTGGGTTAGAGCTGGTTTGGGGCGGTTCCAATGGAATTTGCCTCGGGGAATGGATTTCCGATAGCCACTGACTCAATCGGAGCCCTTACTCTGAGGCGACCCTACTTCCGTAATTGAGTCTAATTGAAACTGAGCCTCCCTGAAACCCCCAGATGTGCGGATGACAGATGACAGTTCAGCATGGGAAGCTGCAAAAGTGCACCAGATTGCATCTGGCCCCAATATGTCCTCGCCCCGACCTGCTCGGCACACCATATAGCCTACCACCATACCATATAGTATATATAGCCTGCGCAATGGAATCTTTTGTTTGCCAAATACTTAAGCCATATAAACGGTAGGAGGCTGCTGCATTGATAAAGCTTGTAATCTATATGACGACATGGTCTCGAGTTACTGTCATATACTATATATACATATATATGGAATACATGCTCCTCTGGGCTTATTGTTATACGACTCGTGCTGTTGGACTCTTTAATTTAATTATGACTATTTTATTAATTGAATTGCGTAGTATTCTATAAGCGAAGGCGATCGTTGTTACTGCTATTCCAATTCTCGGCCAGAAATAAAAGTTTCCAATCAAGACTTGCTCCATCGATTCGTCAACCCATAAATCCAAATCAGTTTGCTTTGTCACTCCACCCCAGGAGAGTCCACTTGAGGCTCGGATCGGATCGGATCGAATCGGTGCTCCCTTATCAGTCCCTAACCCCACTCTGCGAAAATGCACCTAATCGATCAGTGGGAGGTCTTGGCCATCCACTCGTAAGTAAACCATCAAATGCCAAGTTGCGCAATTCCCATGAACATGTCAAAGCTGCCTCTGAAAACCAGTTTGGAAATCAACAGCCGATCCGAGATTCTATTATTGTATCTGGAAGATACAACAGCTAGTGCAGTCGTAAAAATATTTCCTAAATATAGTAGCGATCCGCTATCATTTCAAGGCGGTAATAACTCAGACTTGTTCCCGCCCACAAGTCAGTTAATAATAGACGTAAATAAGGGCTGTGAGAACTTCCAGGCAGCAGCAATATTTTTATTGTTATTGGCCAGTTTATGGATTATTCTTCACTACAGTCGAATCAGTACAAATTAAAGATCAAACAGAATGGCTTTTAGGAGGGGGCACCAGACCCACATCGAACACGGCACACCCTTTCCGGTGGGAAGTAATAGTGTACATCCTAGAGGGTATTTCTCGGAGAGATTCCGATCGTGGTCATGCGAATGTGGTGCGCAATTCGATTCCCCCGCCGACATTGGAAGGCAATCGGCGCCTCGTCTGGTTTTCTGATGGCTGGGCTGCACCATGCGGGAAATCCGGCTGAAAGCAGTTTTCACCAAACTTATCCAAAGTCAAGAGCATGGCGCACACGAAACTCACAGATACACGGCCACAACACCAGCATACTGGCTGGCGGCAATACAGTTGCAGTTCTGGTCGAAAAACCAAACCAAGGGTACCGCCAACTGAATATTGCATTTGGAGCTGGGAGCAGGGCTAGTTGGGGTAGGGGCAGGTACCACTACCGAATAGAGTCGGGAAGGTCGTCGTCATACAATCTCAAATGGCTTCGAGCGCGGCACGCGGGTCGTATGCGCAATAAAAATATATATAATTCAGTCCATTGTTCTCTTCTCGCCCCAATAGGCCCCAATCTCCACTGGGCTAATTTCCAGCAATTGCTGGAAATAGGGTCGTCTCAGATCCAGGACCTTGACTATAATCATCCGTAAAAAGTATCATCTGCATGTGGCAATTAGCAAAGCCAAGGGGAAATCAATTGCCCAGCTGAATAATGTCTTAAATGCAACAAAATAGTTGATTGTTTTAATTTTTTTAAATTTATTTATAAACCCATTGTGACTTCCTTGTGTGGATGACTGGACAGTCATCATTACACCCTCCACAATCGAGCTCAGACACTATAGATTGCTAATTAAAACTGGCTTCGTGCCGGCGATTAGGCCTTTGTTTGGCCAATTAATGGGAAAAATGTGCAAAAAGGGGCTTGTCATCGCAGGTATTTCGGGTGACCAGTGCCTCCACTTGGAAAACCAGTTAATGACTCAGATTCTAGAGTATCTCATCTAGGGACTTGAAATTCCAGTTCTGTTCCTACCAGGAGGTAACCTCCTTTCTGGTGGCACTCCTCCCACTCCGCACAATTCAGTGCAATTTTCTAAAAATAGCTTAACCCATTAAAGTCACTTAGAATGCAAAGCCGGCGGGCGGCGGACTCGTTTCGTTGCAAGTAAAAGTTGTTTTTCCGTTTTTTATTGCCAGAGGCCGGCCCGGCGCAGAGTTCATTCATCCAATTTCTGTCCGCTGTCTGTGTGTGGCAGGGGACTTCCGCATGTGGACCGCACTGTCCACAAGCGAAAGTGAAATCCACTCTGGCCCCTTGTTGTTGTCCATTTAATCATTGCAAATTTTATGCAATCTGCTTTGAGCCTTCGGCGTGGGTGTGTGGGTGGATCTTTTTATAGCCCATATAGTATATGTGCCATTTATCAAAAAAGCAGATCATGTCGGGCCCCGGCCACTTGTTCATATGTAATTCAATTTGATTAAGTGTCCAGAGCGTGCGCCAAAAGTGCATTGACTCCGGAGCTCGGAGGCGGAAAATTACACCACTTTCAATCGGAATTGGAGAATCTATCCCCATTACTAAGAAATTAAACTTCCACTGAAGCTGCTCATCTAGGTGGCAGCTTCAAATACCCGTCAGTCTCCAATTTCTTTTTCTTAAAACTTGATTTTCATTTCAAACTTAAAAGTTACTGTTAACTCGTAACGGTCTCTTCTGTTAAGTCCCTCTGTAAATGCTCTGTAAAGCCAAACTGGGTGGCAACACCTGCGCCAAATGCATTCACCCAGGTGGCAACCCCATTCCAACAGCTGTTTTTTTGCAACTGCATGTGTTATTTCGAACTTCCACTTCTATTTCAAGTTCTCATATAAAAATGAGTGCACCCAGCTGCAAACTGCTACTGAAACAAATGCCCTGCACCCTTGAGGATTTGGGGCAGCTAATCAGGGAGTGCCGGCTGATAGTTCCGCGGACGCTGAACCCCTATGGGCGGAAAAGAGCCATCATCGAGTACGGCGACCCGGAGGAAGCGGAAAAGGCGCTTAAGGAGCTGCTGGGACTCAGCACGCAACTGGACAAGCCCCTGTGCGTGAGCTTCTTTGGGCCACGTGGAGGCGGTGCCGCTTCCAACAAGTCCACACAGACCAAGCCGGGAGCAAGTGAATCCCAGAAGCAGGAGGAAATCGACAAGTACGTTCGGAAGTTGTATGCCTGTAATAATGAGTGCGATTTTACACAGCCGCCGCCGCCATATCTCAGCTATAGCTACCCTCCTATCAATGCTGACATTGTTTCGGCGATAAGTCAACATCTTTTCAAGAACAAACGATTCTACAACCAAGTGCTGCACCTCATGAATCGCATGAATCTAGAGCCCCCCTTCCAAAAGCGTTCCCCGGGCTTAATAGCCCAAAGTTATGAGAAGGAAGTGGCCACTCAGACAGAGGACTTGCCCAGTGATCCGGAAAGCGAACTGGATAGCGACGACGGGGTGGAGGCCAGGCAGGGCAAAAGACAGCGCCTGATGCTCCCAGAAACCAGTGAGGAACTGAGACTGAAAACCTTCAAGAGAACCCGTCAAATGCTGCAGCAGGCCATCAGCCACTCAAACCCGTCTTTCAGCGAGAAAAAGACTCCAGCCCAGGCACCCACATTTTCCGCGCCACGAATACAACTGAAACTGCCGGAATCCCTTAATCCAAAACCACCACAAAACCAAACAGAGACAGAGAAGCGTCTCTCTGTCAGCGAACTGCAAGAGCTGCCCGTCTACAAGAACTACCAAATCGGGGAACCCAGCAATAAGCTCTACATCAAAAACCTAGACAAGAGTGTGGACGAACAGCAGCTGCGGAAGCTGTACTCCAAGTACACGCCCGCCTCGCAGTTGGAGATCAAAGTGATGCAGCAGGGTCGCATGAAGGGCCAAGCATTTGTGACCTTCCTCGAGGGCTACCGGGCCGACGGCATAGCCAGGGCGCTGAGCGAAACAAATGGCCTGGTGTGGAAGCAAAAGCCCATGATCGTGTGCTACGGCAAACAGCACTGATTAGGTTAGGATCATCAGTATTTTCTAGAGAGAATAGTAGCAACTTTTGTTTCCTTCAAAATCCGGTTTGTTCGAATACTTCAGACGGGAAAGAACCTATGAATCTCATATACTTATTTTCTACAAAAAAAAAATCAATACGAAAATTAACATAAAAAGACCTCCTCTACAATAAAAAAATAGAAGATAAATCTATCCATAAATTTGTGTTATCCACGTCGCGACTTAAACTTTCCTCATTGCATTGCATTGCAGACAACTTGGACTGATCGACACCATTTATGTGGACGGAGCCCGACCAGACCCAGCCAACGATCCCGAAGAATCATTGAACGAAGAAGAAATCACAGCTGCCGCTAGTACAGTACCCCTGAAGACAAAGAAATCGCGAAAAAGCAAACAATTGGCCATGCAACCGTATACCTATGTGATTGCCGTTGACTTTGAGGCCACATGCTGGGAGAAGCAGGCTCCTCCGCAGTGGCGTGAAGCGGAGATTATAGGTAAATCAGATGATTATGTTTTGTTAGAATCATTTATTAAATATCATTCCCTCCACAGAATTCCCAGCCGTGCTCGTCAATCTGAAGACGGGAAAGATCGAGGCCGAGTTCCACAAGTACATCATGCCCATTGAGTCGCCGCGGTTGAGCACCTACTGCACCGAACTGACTGGCATTCAGCAAAAGACAGTGGACGGCGGAGTGCCGCTGCAGACGGCTCTGATGATGTTCCACGAGTGGCTGCGCAAGGAGCTGCGTGCCCGCAACCTGACGCTGCCCAAAATGAACAAATCGAACGTGCTGGGGAACTGTGCTTTTGTCACCTGGACCGACTGGGATTTCGGGATATGCCTGGCCAAGGAGTGTACTCGCAAGCGGATGCGCAAGGCCGCCTACTTTAATCAGTGGATCGACGTGAGAGCCATCTATCGTTCCTGGTACAAGTACCGTCCATGCAACTTCACCGATGCCCTCTCGCATGTGGGGCTTGCATTCGAGGGCAGGGCCCACTCGGGCATTGACGATGCCAAGAACCTGGGAGCTCTTATGTGCAAGATGGTGAGCGACGGAGTGCTCTTCTCGATCACCAAAGATCTGACGCCATATCAGCAGCTCAACGCCAACTGCGTGTTGTGAGCTCGTCCAGCAGCAATCCCTCCAAAAACGCAACGCAGAATATCCACTTAGTTACTGGATTTATTTAATTATTAATTAATTATCAATGAAAAAATAAGAGAAAAAACCGCCAGATATGATTGGTACAATTGTGTGTGTAAACCTGAGAGCTAAAAAGATAATGATTGAAATTTAAAAACTCCTCCGTTTTTTATTGTTTCTGTTTAGTACTCTTCTTGTAAACGGCAATTGATAAGACTTGAAAATTCGAAGCATCGCTGCTATCATACATACATTTAAATATATATACTAAAATAGCTATAAATACGGCCGTAGAGCGTACATATTTTTCTACCATTCATACTTACTTGATAACGCTTAGTTGTAATCTATTATACGGAATGCAATACTTATTTTAAAGCGACTACTTACCAATTAGGACATAAAATTAATAAACAGACAATAGCTACACATAATGGCTGTAATCTTTTCCAATTTTCCTCCAAAAAGGACATTCCAAATTCAAGCAATTGGATCGCCCGACAGCCGGTGCTTGACTGCGATTTGGATAACTGCCTTGTTGCCAGTGATCATCCAGTCGGGATCCTCCTCCGTTAGCCACTCCACCGTGCAGACCGGCAGGCCGCAGTAGATGTCCGACTTTATGGCGCGCAGAGCACAGACACTGGTGGGCAGGAAGCCGCGCAGGCAGTCGGAGAACGCATCGGTGGAGCAGTAGTTGATGTCGCCCAAGAGCTTCCGGTAGTTGAGGTCGCCCTTGAAGATGACCAAGGCGGCGGTACTCATGTAGACATACAAGCAGGGTAAGAGGTCCTTCATGCGGCTGCAGTCATAGCCGATAGTCCAAAAGTGGCAGGTGTCGCACAGTATGAAGTTGCGGCTCCGAAGGTAGCACCGCAATCGTTGGCCAAAGCCCTGCAGCTCCGGATACTCCACATTCGAGCAAAAAAACTTCAGCATCCAGTAGAAGTCATTGGCCGTGACGTCCGATATAAACCATGGTATAGCTTTCACGTGGAATCGCACCCTTTCCGCCAGGCAAGATTGGATTAGGTAATCCGCCAGAAGGAAATCCGTAAAAAGCTCATACCCGGCATTGTCGCAAACAATATCGACGTAGACCGGGTCGTAGGCTTCGATCAGATCGTTCCACACGTCCGCCGACTGATCGACCAACAAGTCCCCATCATACTGCTTCAGTTTCTGCGGCAGATTCATGTCGGGTCCCTTCTTGGAGATGGACAGATCGCAACGATTGCCCCAAACGCAGAGTTTCAGCATTCGCTGAAAATTCTCCTGACTGCGGTTATACCTCATTGTCCACACCAGGGTGGAGCTCATCTGGGCAGCTGTGGTTCGGGCGGCCTCCATTTTTTGGTACGCGAAGTAGTCAAAGTTCTTAAGACTCTCAGAGCGCTGGAATATCGACCAGATACGCCGGTACATGTAGGACTCGGCATGCAGCCACACGGCCGAGAACCAACTCCGGCTATCGGGATTCATGGATTTTATAAACTTATTCCACTGCTCCGTGTCCGGGCCCTGGACGCGTATGGGCTGAAACTGCTTGTTATGAATTATGTCATCCCGAAGTAGCTCCAGACTCCAGATCGTGCGCTTCAGATCAAAGTGGGCATACTCGCCGCACTCCTTGACTATTTCCGGCTCCCTCTCCATCAGGGATATGATGAGTTCCCTGATTAGTTGCGGCGACCGTCGCTTAAAGGTCACATAGGCAAAGCTGGGCAGGAACCTGGCGGACAGTTCGTCCTTCACACTCGGCTTGGTGACCACAATCAGATTCTTCTCGATGAACCGCGCCTCCTCCTTGACAGCATCCTTGACGCCTACCGTGGCGACTGTGAGCGTGCTGACAGATTCCATAACATAGATTTTGTAAAATTTTGAATCCGAAAATATAGTTTTTGAAATATTTATTTGCCCTCTGGGCAACTGACATGCGTGTGAGTGTTAATGTGCTTGGATAACATTGCAAAAGGCCTTCACAAAGAGTGAACCACTGGAATCAGAGCTTCAAAAAGGAAGTTTGTATTATTTACAAGGAGTTCCAAAGCCCCGCTTTCTCCTAAAAAGCTATCCACTCTTTGGTTAACAATTTAATCTAATGACTAAGTTACAATTGAACTATTTAACAACGTCCCCGACCTTAGTTCTCTACTTGCTAGCGAACTGTATGATGCCGTATTCGCCTGTCAGCATCCACTCCTTGTCCTTGGCGAACAATTGCTCCGCTACGCCATCGCCCAAGCCGCAGATTAGATCCGCTTTCACAGTCCGCAGAGTACAGAGATTCGAGGGACGGAAGCCTAGGTAACAAAATACTTTATAACGAAATACACATTCCATAGGTAGTTCCACTCACCCCTTAGACATGTTTCAAAGGATTCCGTGCTGTCCCAAGAGAAATCTCCTAAAAGTTTTCTGTAGTTAAGGTCACCCTTGAAGATCACCAGCTGCGCCTCCTTGAGACGGTCATAGAGTCCAGGGTTAACTTCCGGCATGCGATAGAACTCATACGGACTCGTCCAGAAGTGTTCCAGGGGAGCTAGCTCAAACTTGCCCTCATCCGTGAGTCGCTGCCACTTTTTCCCCAGCTCACTTAAGACAGGATCGGAGTGCTCCGCCAGGAATCGCAGCGTCCAATGGTAGTCGTGCTCCATCACGTCCGAAATGAACCAAGGAATGGCCTTTGGGTTAAGACGCACCTTCGCCGCCAAACCCTTGTCAATTATGTACTCAGCCAGGATAAGATCCGTGTACAGCTCATAGCCGGCATTGTCGAAAATAATGTCTACGATGCCAGCACTAGAACCGCCGTCAAGGGATTTCCAGACGTCCAGGGTGCCATCTATCAGCAGCTTCTCTTCGAGGTCGGTGACTTGGTCGAAGGCGTTACCAGTAGGCTTGACCTGTTTGCCGGAGGTGATGGATAGATCGCAACGATTGCCCCACAAATTCAGTTTTATAAGCTGCCGGAAAGTGTCCGCATTTCGCTCATTATGCCGCGTCGCCTTGGCCACCGCCAGCATAGCGTCCACGCTCAGCTTTGTGGCCGTTTGCTTTTGCGGACTGAAGTAATCGTGGGCGGCCAGATGGGAGGTGCCCCGGAAAATAGACGAGATTTTACGGTACATATAACACTCGGCGTAAAGCCAACATGAACTAAAGTAGGTCCTTTTCTCGGCTGGAAGTTTTTCAAGGAATGAATTCCACAGCTCAGTGTCCGGTTCTAAAAAAGATAATATTAGATCTATAAGTAACAGAAACTGGAAAACTTTTATATACTGGATATACCTTTGCCCTCGAAGGGCAGCAGAGAAGCATTGCCTAGGATTTCCTCCCTCAACTGCGTCACGGCCTTCGTAGTTTGTTCAATATCCGCACTCGCTGCCTGCGTATAAAAGGATTCAAGGGTTAAGGTCAGAGGCACAAGTTGGGCCAAAAACAACTCACAACTCCGTAGGTGGCCAGCAGTTCGTCCTTGTCCTTGGCCAGGGAGGCGGCAATGGTGGCCAAGGTCGAAGGCAATCGCACACGGAAGGTGTAATAAGCGAAGCTCCTGTTATGAATAGAATAAAATCATAAATGGCACGTGTGTGTGGGTAAATATTCTATTACATATGCGGAGGTGCCCCCATAGACACAACATCTATACTAGGCGCTATATTTAGCGACCCTCAGTCTACTTACTGCTTGTACAGGGCCGAGAGATCGGTGTGCGGGGGCGTTGGACCGTCGACAATCCCGTTCTTTGTGTCAAAATCTGGATCGGCCATCTCAATCGAAAGAATAATTCAAATAAAATGTTTATTGAACCGTTGGTGCTGTTGCGGAAAGTTGATAAGTTGATAATGTGGCGGGTTGTGTGACCGTAGCAGGAGCGCGTAAAAATACCACCGAATGAGATGGGTACCGAACCTAGAGCTTATTTGAAAAAAAGTTTAATATTTGGTGATATAAATTTCACAATTACAAAGGTATTAATTTAATGTTACAGATCTGAGAGTTCTGAAGGATATGCAACGACTATATAATATCGAATAATTTAAACTGCGAAGCCTTTTTGGTACATTGAGACACTAAACACTAATAGCCGAATTCGCGGGTTCCGTCGACGAACTGAATGACACCATAGTTGCCCGAAACCTTCCAATGTGGATCCTTTTTACTCAGCGCCTGATCCACGCCTTCTTTTAAGCCGCAAATGATCTCGCTTTTGACCCGCCGCAGCATGCAGATGTTGGTAGGCAGGAAGCCACGCAGACAGGTGCTAGTCTCTTGGCTGCTGTTCCAGCAAACGTCCTGGAGCAGTTTTCGGTAGTTTAGATCGCCCTTGAAAATGACCAGCTTTGACTGTTGGAGCAAGGCATACAGATCCGGGTCTGTTTGGAGCATGCTAAAGTAGAATAGGTAGAGTAAGAAATCAAACCATAAGAGCAATGTTTAGTTCTTACTTGTAGAAAGCATGCGGCGAGGTCCAGAAACGTGAGATTGGGGCTAGCTCAAACTTTCCTTCCTCAAGAAACTGCAGAAACTTCTTGCCCATCAAGCTGATCATATAGTCGGCATGCTGGCTTAAGTACTGTAGGGTCCACCTGAAGTCGCGCTCGGTTACATCGGTCACGAACCAGGGATGTGCCTTCACATGGAAGCGAACCTTGCTAGCGAGATCTTTCTCGATTATATACTCTGCCAGCACAAAGTCGCTGAAGAGCTCGTATCCAGTGTTATCCAGGATAACGTCGACTTGCTTTAATTTCTTTTGCTTCTTGTTATCGAAACAATTCCAAATCTCCACTGCATCATTAACCACTATATTTTCATCCGTGGCGCCAACATCCTGCAGAACCTTGAAATTTTGTTTCATTGCTTCTTGCGGATCGCTGGACACGCTGTTGCTCCACATGTTGATCTTCAAGAGGTCGGCGAACACCTCCACACTGTTGTCCGAACGACGTGTGTGCTTTGTCAGGTCCAGAATGTCGTTCATGCAGTCGATCAGTGTCTGCTCCTTAACTTTGGCGAAGAAGTCGTAGGACTTCAGAAATATGCTGTTTTCCACGAACGAGTATAGCTTTCGGTGCAGGTAGCACTCAGAATGCAGGCTGGATCCCCGGTAGAAGCTTCGCTCGGCACTTGGCAGATGACTTATGAAGGTGTTCCAAGCCTCACGGTCGGGTTCTGAGGAGTACAAATTGAGAGCCACGGAAAAGGTAGGACTATCAGCCACTTACCATCGCCCGTGAAGTTGTGGAACGGCTTGTCGGTCTGCATCTCGTACTTCAGCCTGGAGATTAGCCCAATGATGATCTTCAGCTCCTCGCGGGCAGCCTGTTCAAAGTCGTGGGGAGCTGAAGATAAAATTAGTGGCTGCTGGCCAACCCAACTACAAGAACTCTCACCAAATTGGGCCACCAGTTCGCTCTTGTCCCGGGTAAGGGTGTCCACCACGTTGGTGAGAATTACAGGGAGGCGACTCCGGAGTGTGTGGTACGCGAAACTTTGCTTGTACCGGCCGGACATATAGGCGTTCAGTGGAGTCGGCAGGTCTACTATGTTGTACCGGGATTCGAACTGGGTCCGCAGTACCCGCGACAATGTTTCGCTGTGGCCTGGATCGGACTTGACTGGGCCCTCCTCTTCCTCGCTGGGCCCCTCCTCAACGAGGGCCTCCTTTGAAGGATTCGACGTTTCCATCCTAACACCGCTTCTGCTTTTTTGTTTTATTTTTGTGCGTTCAATGCCGCATTCTATTGTAGTTTATTCTTTTCTGACGGATGATTCCAAGCTCCAAGGGAGCAGATACTCAGTGTTGGTTAACTTCATTCCGAACTACAGTGAAAAAAAAGTTTCACAATTGGAAACTAATAATATAACATAAATGTATATAAAAAAATAAGCTGCATAAATATGTTTTAAAGTACACGTTTAAATCGAAACTTTAGATAATAGACTATTAAAATATGTTTCAGCTTTAAAGTTTAATGATTTTCATATTCAGTATTAAATTGTATCAGTATTATACTAAAATAAAAAAAAGCTTTTCGCCACTATCAGTTCCGTGGTAATTTTTAGCACCTTTTTACTTCCGTATCTGCAACGCTATGCAACACTGCCGCCTTTATTGCAATTTTATTTAGGAATCAAACGCGACGCGAAGTCTGCAAAATGTGTAAGTCGCGCGGATCAGACTGAACGTACGGACCGATCGCTGTGCTACGTGCTACTCGAAGAGGCGATCTGGCAAACCGCATACTCTGCTTAAACCTCATCCAATGCAAATGCAAATGCGGGCGTGAATCGCACCCATACACGCACAGGGATTGGATTTGGACTGGGATTCGAGCCCGAACCCCACTCGCGAACACACAGACACCTGGACACAAAAGCCACCCGCAGCCGCACCCACACCCGCGTATTCACGATGTCTCACCTACCTGCGCCTCTGTACGGCTTCGCGGCGTTCTTCATGATTTTCTGGTTGGGCACTTGGATGGTCCATGTGATAGCCATCTGCTATGGCCGCTACAAGCTGCACAAAAAGTCCTGCAAACTGCCCACGGAGGCCCAGCCTCTTCCCGGTGTCTCGATACTGAAGCCACTAATGGGCGTGGATCCTAACCTGCAGCACAATTTGGAGACGTTCTTCGCCATGGACTATCCCGTCTACGAGCTGCTCTTCTGCGTCGAGGACAAGGAAGACCCAGCCATTCAGTTGGTGGAACGGCTTCTGGCCAAGTACCCTCTGGTGGATGCCGCCCTCTTCGTGGGTGGGTCAGATGTGGGTGTGAACCCCAAAATCAACAACATTCATCCCGGATACATGGCTGCCAAGTACGACTTTGTGATGATCTCGGATAGCGGCATCAAGATGAAGGATGACACGCTGCTCGACATGGTTCAGAACATGTCTGAGAAGCACGCACTCGTCCACCAGATGCCCTTCACCTGCGACCGTGATGGATTTGCGGCCACCTTCGAGAAGGTATTCTTCGGAACGGTGCAGAGCAGAATCTATCTGTCGGCGGATGTTCTGGGCATTAACTGCCACACGGGCATGTCCTGTCTTCTGCGAAAATCGGTGATCGATCAGCTGGGCGGACTGAAAGCCTTCGGCTGCTACCTGGCGGAGGATTTCTTCATTGCCCGCGAAGTAACCCGGTTGGGCTGGAAGATGCGCATATCAAACCAACCAGCTCTGCAAAACAGTGGCACCTGCGACATCGGCAGCTTCCAGGCTCGACTCATCCGATGGGCCAAGCTGCGCGTGGCAATGGTGCCCACCACCATCCTGCTGGAACCACTCTCAGAGTGCATGATCCTTGGGGCTCTGGCCGCATGGTCTGCCTCGCTGCTCTTCAGCTGGGATCCGGTGGTGTTCTATCTTGTTCACGTGCTCTGCTGGTTCCTGTCCGACTGGCTCCTGCTCTCCATAGTGCAGCATGGCTCGATGCCATTCCACAAGTTCGAATTCGTCGTGGGATGGCTGTTCCGGGAGCTGACCGGACCCTATTTGTTTCTGCACGCCCTGTGGAATCCGGCGATTCGCTGGCGCACCCGCACCTACAAGCTTCACTGGGGCGGCATCGCCTACGAGCTGAGCAGCACCGCCACCTCCGAGGCGCCACCACCGGCGCCAACGTTATCAGAGGGATCAAGCGGATCGGGCGAGGGATCACTTGAAGCCACTACGGGGGAGACGCTGATCTGCTCGGGGGCCAAGCAGCGACTGCTGGTCTCGTAGCAGCAACTAGTTAAGTTTGTTATTTTGTACTTGTGAGCGAAACCAACTCAGCGGCAGGAGTCTGGAGTAGTATTATTAGCCTGAACCTTAGTCACTACGTAAGCCTAGACATAGACTGCTGTACAAAGAGCGGATGCACATCCTCCACTCCGCCTGGAACTGAATCAACTGGACGAGAGAGGCGTGGTGGCAGGGAGACAGACCTAGATTAGATTATAGACACTGATTAGATCGGTTTAGAGATCGCGATGGATGGGAGGGATCGAGACGGATAGCTGTGTGTGAGTAGAGCAGCGACCCAGCCAGGCGGCACAGTTTGGTGGCTTCATGGAAACTGGTTAACAACGCTTGTGTATATATTATATCACATATATTGTATATGCATGTATTTTTTTTTAGCCAGCTTGTACAGACGTTTTGCGACGAGAATTCTCTGCTAGTTAGCCCTATGTTTGAGTAAGTTCACCCTCGCTTCAGTTGTTGCTTTATTGAATTGTAATTATTTATTTTTGGCCAAGCACCCAGTAGTTGTATTGTTATTGCTAAGCCCTACTATTATACTTTATGCATAGTTTTAGTTGAATTATTTGTGTTTAATTTTTGCCACAGCCTCTGTACATAAGCTATAAGCTCTGAAGGGGAATGCCATTGAATAAATCAGATCAAATCGAAGAATGACGTACTTGTAGACTCCAATTGATGATCGTTTGTTTGGGTTCTTTGTTTGGACAGTATCACAGATCGGTTATCGGTTATCACATTGTCCAGATGAGTCAACGGGGATTTGACCAAGTTACTGGAAAGTGTTTGCCTGAGTCACGCCACGCGCGTACTCACTAGCGTAATAATTATCGCACATTCCAGTAGACTTCGCCCCGCTTCTGCCGCTTCTAACGATCTTGGGTCTGAGACGTTATTATTTCAAATAGTTTGGGTCAAAGGGTTAGACCATTAGCTTGACTTGAGGAGACATTACTCGACAGAAGATGAGAGATGTTAGTCTGGTGGAAAATACTCGAGTTTTCGCCAAGGCGATGGGCTTATCGAAGCCCCTGCAAATGACAGCAAAACAAACATTTATAAATAAAAGCCACTATAGATAGGACATGGCATATCACTGGCCCGTAGGGGGCTCCGGTCGGATGAAGGCCACTGGCCGACGCCTTAGGCTTATGAATTAAGTAATTAAGAATTAACGAACATGGGTGGATACGTGGTGGAGAGCCACTATAAAACCGACTGCTGATAATATTGCACCTCCTAAATGGGTGGATGTGGCAATTAAAACAAATGACGTGCTTTGTGGGGAGCGGTAAACTTTTCCGGAATCTAACCTGGAAAACACCCATCGCCCTATCTCTGGCAGGTGGGAATTATGCAAATCTAAAGACCCTTATCACTGCGTTCCATTCAATTTTTAAGTTAATTGATTAGATAAAAAATAAATTCGTTTGCCAACTTAAATCGAATTGGGTTGAGAATCGTATGAGCTTCAAGTTTTTGTTCTGACGAGCTCTCTAAAACTATGATACACTCTTTTGACTAAAATAAGTACAATTCTTTGAATAATAAAACCGACAAGAAAACATAATCAACGTTTATGTGTACTCAGTGTGTAATGCAAATGTATAATGGGTCTCGGGTTCCTGATAAGACGGCACTGGGTGAGTCACGGCGGATCGTCAGTGATTTACCATTTAGGTTTTTCTGTTTTCAGATTATATGGAACGTACTCCCCCAATGTCGGCAATTAACCTGCGGCTATCTAATCAATCATAGAGGAGTTTAAATGGGGTGCACGTGAGAAGCGCCCATCCAGCGGCCTTGGAGCAGCCCGCGAAGAAATCTCGAAGACTCCCTATCTCTTTCCGGTCTTTCAGATAATACTTTCTCTCCCCCATTTTTCCAGATGACAAACATTTCAGCTATGGCCGGGCATTGTACTAGCCTTATATTATCTTCAAGTGGCCTAATCTTTGAGAGCAGCACAGGGCACTTGATAGGTTTTTATTTCTTTTGAATAGCCATTCAAATATAGACCACCAAAAACCTATCGATAACTCGCACTGCGCGCCGATAGACGCTGGCGTTTCATGGCTAAGCTTTTGCGGTCACACCACTAGCAAAGCTCTCCGCAAAAATTCGCAATAAAATTTCAAACAAAGGTATTGGGCAATAAAAAGTGCACTAAAACTACTTTTGGAACGCTTTCTGGCAATGAGAACTTTGGGAATATCTGGAATAAGTCTGTGCCTTGGGCTCCGATTGTTCTGGCCGGGATTTTAAGTGGTTTTCCCACGCTCAGCTGCATGTGAAAAATCCATACAGTGCGCATAGTGTTTATCAGTGGGAGCACTGGTGTACGTGAACTTGAGTGTGGGAGGCGGAAATATTGGGAAAATTCTTGCCCGTCGGTTTGTTTATGTTTCATAGTTGTTTATTGATTTTTAGCAGCCCCCTCAAAAATTTAATGATAATTCTCGGACAAGTGTTTCGCCAGAACGGTGTAGTTTCCAGGTTTCATATTTCTCTTCTTTGAAGTTTTTTTTTCCAAAGCCAATAGCTATCAAAATAATCGTTATTGGAGGATTATCTGATAGTGTTGTATAATCTAATCTTTCATTGTTAAAATAAAATAAAGCTTGTTTTAAAATTTACGATAGCTGATAGACCCAAGTCCCATCAGCATTTGGAATATACACCCCCAATTGATGACTCCCTTTTTTTTGTTACAACAGATGTCTTAGCCCTGCGGAGCAGCCCCAAAGCCACTTGAGTTGCAGCCATCAGAGGAACCTCCGCTACCAATTACTGAAATAGAGACTCCAAGCCAGTGAAATCAAGAACCAGTGACCCCAAGATGGCCATGTCCAAGGTGATCCGAGTGCTGGAGAAATCCATAGCTCCCTCGCCGCACAGTGTGCTCCTGGAGCACCGGAACAAGAGCGACAGCATCTTGTTCGAGTCGCACGCGGTGGCGCTGCTCACTCAGCAGGAGACGGACGTCATTCGGAAGCAGTACACCAAGGTGTGCGACGCCTACGGCTGCCTGGGAGCTCTGCAGCTGAACGCCGGCGAGAGCACAGTGCTCTTCCTGGTCCTGGTTACCGGCTGCGTGTCCATGGGCAAGATCGGCGAGGTCGAGATCTTCCGCATCACCCAGACCACGTTCGTCTCACTGCAAAACGCCGCCCCGAACGAGGACAAAATCAGCGAGGTGCGCAAGCTCCTGAACTCCGGGACGTTCTATTTCGCCCACACCAACCCCAGTGCATCGGGCGCGGCATCCGGCGTTGCAAGCCCCCGGTTTGACATAACGCTATGTGCCCAGCGACGCCACCAGACATCGGAGACGGACAATCGCTTCTTCTGGAACCGAATGATGCACATCCACTTGATGCGTTTCGGGATAGACTGCCAGTCCTGGCTGCTGCAGGCCATGTGCGGCTCCGTGGAGGTGCGTACCGTCTACATCGGCGCCAAACAGGCTCGGGCCGCCATCATTTCCCGGCTGAGCTGCGAACGGGCCGGCACGCGGTTCAATGTGCGCGGTACCAACGACGAGGGCTATGTGGCCAACTTCGTGGAGACGGAGCAGGTGATTTATGTGGACGGCGAAGTGACCAGCTATGTGCAGACCCGCGGATCAGTGCCGCTCTTTTGGGAACAGCCAGGCGTCCAGGTGGGCTCGCACAAGGTGAAGCTGTCGCGGGGATTCGAGACCTCCGCCGCGGCTTTCGATCGCCACATGAGCATGATGAGACAGCGGTATGGTTACCAGACGGTGGTGAACCTGCTGGGCAGCTCCCTGATTGGAAGCAAGGAGGGCGAGGCCATGCTGAGCAATGAGTTCCAACGCCACCACGGCATGTCGGCCCACAAGGACGTGCCGCATGTGGTCTTCGACTACCACCAAGAGTGCCGGGGCGGCAACTTCTCGGCTCTGGCAAAGCTTAAGGAGCGTATTGTGGCTTGCGGTGCCAACTACGGTGTCTTCCATTCGGCAAACGGGCAGGTATTGCGCGAGCAGTTTGGAGTGGTGCGCACCAACTGCCTCGACTGTCTGGACAGGACCAATTGCGTCCAGACCTACCTCGGGCTGGACACTCTGGGCCTGCAGCTGGAGGCCATGAAGATGGGCGGCAAACAGCAGAACATCTCGCGCTTCGAGGAGATCTTCCGCCAGATGTGGATCAACAACGGCAACGAGGTGAGCAAGATCTACGCCGGAACAGGAGCTATTCAAGGCGGCTCAAAGCTGATGGACGGAGCCAGATCCGCAGCGAGAACCATTCAAAATAATCTGCTGGACAACTCCAAGCAGGTAAGTGGTGCAGTTTAGATATCCAACCTAGATATCCTTTTTCAAATCGCTTTAATCACCCACAGGAAGCGATTGACGTTCTGCTGGTGGGCTCCACACTCAGCTCCGAACTGGCCGACCGGGCACGCATCCTGCTCCCCTCAAACATGCTGCACGCGCCCACTACCGTCTTGCGAGAGCTGTGCCGACGCTACACGGAGTACGTGCGTCCCAGGATGGCCCGGGTGGCCGTAGGTACTTATAACGTGAACGGAGGCAAGCACTTCCGCAGCATCGTGTTCAAGGACTCTCTGGCCGATTGGCTCCTGGACTGCCATGCCTTGGCCCGTTCCAAGGCCCTTGTAGATGTCAACAATCCGTCGGAGAACGCCGACCACCCCGTGGACATCTATGCGATTGGCTTCGAGGAGATAGTCGACCTGAATGCCTCGAATATCATGGCCGCAAGTACGGACAATGCAAAGCAGTGGGCCGAGGAGCTGCAGAAGACGATCTCGCGGGACAATGACTATGTCCTGCTCACCTACCAGCAGCTGGTGGGCGTCTGCCTCTACATCTATGTTCGTCCGGAGCATGCCCCCCATATCCGGGACGTGGCCATTGACTGTGTGAAGACTGGCCTCGGTGGCGCCACGGGAAACAAGGGTGCTTGTGCCATACGGTTCGTCCTGCACGGAACTTCCATGTGCTTCGTGTGCGCCCACTTCGCTGCCGGGCAGTCACAGGTGGCGGAGCGGAATGCAGACTACGCTGAGATAACCCGGAAGCTGGCGTTCCCGATGGGTCGGACTTTGAAGTCCCACGACTGGGTCTTTTGGTGTGGAGACTTCAACTACCGGATCGACATGGACAAAGACGAGCTGAAGGAATCCATACGCGCGGGAGATCTGACCACTGTTCTGGAGTCCGACCAGCTGCGCAAGGAACAGGAGGCGGGCAACGTCTTTGGCGAGTTCCTCGAGGGCGAGATCGAATTCGATCCCACATACAAGTACGATCTGTTCAGCGACGACTATGACACGTCGGAGAAGCAGCGTGCTCCGGCCTGGACGGACCGTGTGCTGTGGCGCCGGCGGAAGGCCCTGGCCGAGGGAGACTTTGCAGCCAGCGCATGGAATCCCGGGAAACTGATTCACTACGGCCGATCGGAGTTGAAGCAAAGCGATCACAGGCCTGTCATCGCAATCATCGATGCGGAGATCATGGAGATCGATCAGCAACGGCGACGGGCAGTATTTGAGCAGGTGATCCGCGATCTGGGACCACCGGACTCTACAATTGTAGTCCACGTGATGGAGTCATCGGGCGGAGAAGAAGATGGGCCCACGATCTACGATGAGAACGTCATGTCGGCCCTCATTGCCGAGCTGTCCAAGATGGGTGAGGTCACCCTGGTGCGCTATGTGGAGGACACCATGTGGGTAACATTCCGTGACGGAGAATCAGCCCTCAACGCGGCGGCCAAGCGAAGCATCCTGGTCTGCGGCTTGGAGCTGATACTGGAGCTCAAGTCCAGCGACTGGCAGCATCTGGTGGACAGTGAGATCGAGCTCTGCACCACGAACACTATTCCGCTGTGCGCCAATCCCTCGGAGCATGCTCAACTATTGCAGGCCCTCACGCCGGAGGTGCCGCAGCGGCCCAAACAGCCCCCGACGCGTCCACCAGCTCGTCCCCCCATGCCCATGTCGCCAAAGAACTCGCCACGCCACTTGCCCCACGCCGGCGTCATTAGTATTGTGCCCAAGCCGGCGAAGCCACCGATGCCGCCGCAGCCTCAAATGCAGGCACCTCTCCAGCCCCAGCAAGCGGCACCGCCACGTCCGCCGGCAATGGAAACTCCCGCACCCACGCCCACTCCCTCCTCAAAGTCGCAATCTCCCACAGAGCCGGTGTCCGCCAGCTCGTCCGCCTCTTCTTCGGGCAAGGCTTCGCCCACTACTGCGGCTCCGCCAGGAGCTGTCCTATCCGGGCCACCGACTCCTCCACGCCAACAGGCTACTCCTGTTTCGACGCCCACACGGCAGGTGGTGCCCCCGGCAGTCAATGATACCGCCTACGAGACGGCCAGCAACATCTACGAGGAGATCCAGGAGGACGTTCCTGCCCCCCGGCATCCGCCTCCAGCTGGACCGCCGCCCGTGATGGGGGGAGCGCCGCCCATGGGTCCGCCGCCACCGCTACCAAACCGGCGAGGCCCGCCACCGATACCAAATAGAAGCGGCAATGCTCCGCCGCTGCCAACGAGACCGGCCAACAACTGAGCACGCACATGAGGGTGAGTGAGGTTAGAGGTCATCCCTGAACATCAATCCTAACATCTGAATCCTTTCCTTTGCAGCTCGCTAACTTGCACGCCGATTGCATTCCGAATCGCTGTATTTAATGTTAAATATACTCGAATATATTGGGCACTCGTGGAGGAAGGGTCCCTCCGCGGCAATATCTGCACTCTAGATGGAATCTATGTTACTATAGGGTATTACCTGTTTCGTTTGTTTTGCGAGTTTATAGTTGTAATCAAAATTGGAAAGTAAACTGAATTGGTTTTTGTGTCCTGCTTACCCTGTATCCTGTAGCCTGTATCCTGTATGCTGGCACCACACGTACTCAACCCCCACTCACTTCTCCGGATATGCCGTGGACGGAACTACGGAGGCGATAAAGTATTAAATCTCTACTTTGCATAAACTAATGTTTAAATGAATTATAGTCGTACTAGTCAAATTATGCAATAACACACAGTAACCGTTGTAGTGGCAACACAGCAGATCCCGGATCCCCGATCCCCCGGCCCGCAGGCATATGCATAAATATATATCCATTGTTAATGTACAATTATAAATTAAACTATATGTATTTATTCCCCACTGTTGAACATCGTCGTTGCAATCGGTCGAGTCGAGGCTCCTCAGCATCCTTCCCTTGTGTTTCCCAACCACATACATACATATATCAATCTAATTGAGAAAATGCAATTGCTCTGTTTAAAAATGTTAAAGTTACTCTAAGGAATAATCCAAATCCAAACCCAAATCGAATAAAGAACAACTAGCGTACAACTCAAATAAAAACGGCAGCGGATGTCGGATCTGGTTATTGGGGCAACAGTTTAATAGCTTTACGGAAAACATCAACAGGTGTGTATGGTGTGTGTGGAAGAGGGTAATCCTCTAGAACCACTTGGGCAGAGCATCCTGGGGCAGGTTCTTGTGGTTGGGCAACGCCGTGCAGGGTCTTTGCTGGCGCCAGAACTCCTGCCTCTTGTTGAGGAACTCCACGGCCTCGCGGGCATAGGTGGATATGCTCTCGGTGTGGGTGTCCGCCCGCACCAGGTCCGGATGGAGCAGCAGCTTCTCTAGGTACTCCTTGTCTACGCAGAGCTCGCCCAGAAGCTTCCGGGCGTTGCGACGCTCCAAATCCGCTCGACTTGGCTTCTGGCGTGTCCTGGCGCTGCTTCCGGTGGCCGGAGCGGCCTGGGACTTCGGTGTATCCTCCTCAGACCGCCGTGTCTTGCCGCTCTTCTGGCCCGAAGCAGAGGCTGCCCCCGCCACCGGGGCAGGCTTCGTTCCAATGGTGTTCTCAATGGCCTCCTGGGTCTTTTGGACGCCCAGACGGAAGGAGGCCAGCTCCGGACGGGCACGGAGTCCCCGGTGGAAGAACATGAGACTCTGTTCGAACTGCCCGAGATAGTAGAGCGACTCGGCCTTCTGGTAGATGGCTCGGATGTTGTTCTTCTCCTCGCCTAGCGCTGTTTCCGCATCCTGGAGAGCCTTGGAGGCTTCGCCCAGCAGCAGGTAGCACTTGCTCCGTGAGATGAGAGCATTGATGTCCGTGGCATTCAGTTCCAAGGCCTGGAAAAAAAGAAAGGAACAAAGATTAGTTTTTTTATCCAGGAGATGGGGTTATATAGAATGGGAACTCTTTAAGATCTTAGAACCTTGCAGAAGAAATGTATCGCGTTCTCCGGATTGGCGTTCTTGATCTCCTTGAGACCCAGAGCGATGACGGAACTGATGTCAGCCTCGTCCGGAATAAGCAGCGCCTCGTTCCGGTCCTGCTTCTGCTTGATCTGCAGACTTTGCTTGATGTCGAAGGCTCCGGCACTAACGGCCGCCGCCCGATCCTTGTCAGTGTAGAAGTCCACAAAGTTCTCCTTGGGCTTCTTCTTTTTCGCTATCTGCTCCTCTATCCGCTTCCGGGCGGCCCGCAGCTCGGCCTCTATGCGGTTGCCCCGCTTGCCGCCCCCACCATCGCCTCCAGCACCTCCTCCGGCTCCGTCATCTCCGCCCCCGCTCTTGCCGTCCTTGTTCCGACCACCGCGCTCAGTGGAGTCTCGCCGCTCCCAGATTGGAGTCTTGTGGGAACGACCCTTGGACCGGCGATTGCCCTCTTCGAGCGACTCTTCCTCCGCCGCAGCGCCGGTGCGAATGAAGCTCTGCAGCAGCTCCTGCTCCTTGTCCACGGCAAGGATCGTGTTCAGAACGTTCGACATCCTTGGTACGTAATTCCAACTGACCGGAGCTCAGACCTATTGATTTGCGCAATTGGCAATGCAATCCTTTCTGTTGCCAGGAAACTGGCTAAGTGAATGGCTTAGAAATCGATACAAACAACCATGTGCGAGGTGCCAGGAGCGAGGTATCAGCTATCAGGTGTCAGGTGCTTTGGCCGAACGCCAAGCGTGTTGGCCTCGATGTGGGTCATGACCTTGGGCTTGGACTTGGAATCTTAGAGATCAGTAAAAATATCTAACCTAACGATCTATGCTAAACTATTAAGGCCCCTTTTATGCTATTTAGTATTAAGGACTCAATGAAAGTTAAAAAAACAAGTGCTAAAATATAACAGAAAACTGACAGAAAACAGAAAACTTTTAAAAACTTAATAGAATAAAAAATATATATTAATTTCAAATAATAATCTTAAACTTAAAACATCTTAAACCTGCAAACATTTTAGAACCGTCCCTGAGAAGTTTTGTTATTGCAACCGTTGCTGTATAAACAGGATCTGTTGACTTCCAAACTGTTGTCGTCCTTCAAAACTGTTGGCGACTTCAAAACTGTGATAAGCTTAAGCTAGAGCTTGCGAGCTTTTGATAGGATAACCATGGCCAGGACAAAACTCAAGTACTGCTAGACCCCTCCAGGTGGCGCATCATTGTAGTTTGAAAGATTTATGCAACAACAGATTCTTTTTAATCCTGCATCCATTATTAAAACTAAGACTTAATTTAATGATAGAAAATCTTTTAAAATAAAGAACTAAGTTTCAGAAGAAAGGGGCCCCGACAGAGCTAATTATTATAATCAGATATTTTCACATTTTTTCATTCTATTTTTAGTTTATAGTTTATTTTTAGTTATATCCACTTTAGAGTTATGTCAAACCTATAGATTTGAAATCACTTTTGGTTTCTGGAACCCACCTGATTATAGCCGAACAAAGCCTTCTCGTACGCCCGGACTTTCATGTGATTGTTGGACTGATCACAGAGCAGCTTGATGCTGGTCTCGATCTCCTCAAGAGTGTCCACCTTTGGCTTCTTTCGCGGCATTTTGGATACTGTACGGCTTATAGATTCTGTCACTTATCGAATATCACTACCGATTTGTGCCTTGGCGGGGCTCGGGCCTCTCCACCAGGTCGCCATAAAAAGTTCGACGTCTGTTCGCGGTGCTTGCCGTTGGCCAACTGAATTGTCTGCCTTCGTCTGGCATTTGTTCCGACTTGGACTCGATTTTGAGCCATCCGGCACCACCCCCCAAGCTAGGGGCACCCGTCCAGGCAGTCACCACTTAGTTTTCTTTACTTTGTACCACCGCAGCCTGCATATGCGCTGACAAGCAGCAATAAACTTCAATAAAGTTGCATTAATAACTCGGCAAACCCTTATGGACACGGGGAGAAAATGCCTATGCCTTGAAACTATGATTCATCTATCTACTAGGTTTTAAAGGACGGGTTCCATGCTCCATGCCTTTTGTAGAAAGTTTCTCCAGGTGTAGTTGCTTTAGGAGGCGTGGAAAGGGGAGGGCAGACCGCATTTACACGCACTTAATTGGAGCCATCAAAATTAAACTCCTGTGGGAATCGGGAGTCACGCATCCGGCCCAGGAAGATAAGGAAAGGCCAAAGCCAAGGGGTCTATAGTCGGGCAATCGATATGCACCAGCTGAAACTCATTTCGAAGAACCGCCCTCCGCCTACCACACCATCTAACGTCTAACATGTAACATCCACCCCTCCATGCACTATCCAGCAACATTTCCATTTCGTGAAGCGGGTCTCCCCAGTTAAGGACATTTATTTCGACAAATTTATGAACCTAGCAAATTGCTATTAATTTTCCGGTATTGTTTTTAGAGTAAATAAATAAGCTTGATGTTTGAGCAGGTCGTAAAGGTGGAGCAGGCTATAGGGGAGCTCTTGTTCCTCTTGGTCTTGCGTGCACCAGAATCATTTCGAGCAGCAACTGGCAACCTTCGCGGTGGCGTGACGAAACAATTTTATTTGTCCTGCCCTCGTAACGGTGGCCTCCGTGGATCCGGCTCCGGCTCTGGCTCTGGCTCCAGCTCCGACTTTTCATATTCCACATCCATGGCTGGAGGTGGGGCTGCCATTTGTGGCCTATTCCTCCCCGTCGGCTTCCCTCCTCCGCCCCGTCTGCCAGCGACAGCCGTTGAGAATTATGATATTTGCATTTGCTCAAGTTGCCCCCCAAAACATCGGAGGAGGAGGAGGGATGTCAGGCCCTAATGCCGTTTCGCGTTTACGACTACTCCAATTTGCCAGACACGACCTCTGGATCCTAATCGACTCTGCTCCAAGCTTAAGCCACCTGTTGGCCCAAGGAGTACCCATAATCTGCATGCGATTGCTCCAAAACTAATCAATTTATTAAGCCACTTGCACGTACATCTGAAAAATACGTAAGAATGTGTAATATAATTATTTGCATATTGGATTAGACAAGTGGGGAAATATTTGTTTAATAAGAGAACTCTTTGGAAAGCACGGGTGGAAAAATGGGCACTAAGCGAGGTCTGTATCTTTGCCAATAATCATAAGATTCATGAGCTGAATTCTCTAAGAGATTTGTGGAACGATTCTCCATCAATCTGCATCAAAATCTAGAAACAAATTATTTTTCAGATTTTTTGTCAAATTTTCTGAGGGGTCCCCTTCAAAATTACCAAAAATGCATGGGAGCAGTATATGGCCCCCAGCGATGACCATATCTTTGCCAATTGTCATCCGATTCTTAAGCGGAATACCTTAAACGATTTGTGGATCGATTCTCCATCAATCTGCATCAAAATCTAGAAACAAATTATTTTTCAGATTTTTTGTCAAATTTTCTGAGGGGTCCCCTTCAAAATTACCAAAAATGCATGGGAGCAGTATATGGCCCCCAGCGATGGCCATATCTTTGTCAATTGTAATCCGATTCTTAAGCGGAATACCTTAAACGATTTGTGGATCAATTCTCCATCAATCTGCATCAAAATCTAGAAACAAATTATTTTTCAAATTTTTTGTCAAAATTTTCTGGAGGACCCCTTTGAAAAAAATGCATGAGGAGCAGTATATGGTCCCCAGCGATGGCCGTATATTTGCCAATTTTTATCCGATTCTTCAGCGGAATTCCTTAAACGATTTGTGGATCGATTCTCCATAAATCTGCATCAAAACCTAGAAACAAATTATTTTTCAGATATTTTGCCAAATTTTCTAAAGAACCCATTTTGAAATATTAAAAAATTCATGGGGAGCATTATGTGGCCTCAGTGATGTTTATATTTTTGTAAAAATTCATGAGCGGAATACCTTAAAAAAATTGTAATTGTCGATATTTTATCAATCTGCGTTAAAATATATAAACAATTATTGTTTAGATTTTATTTCTGCATTTTTTGACGGACCTGAATTTTCCCTCACCTGAATTTTCCATTCGCCGCCTTTATTATCGAATTTATACGAATGGCAGAATATTAAAACGTTTTTTTCACATATTTACAAATTTGAAGGATGCATAATATGTGAACAACTGGATTTCAAATGAAAAGATTAGTTAGATATATGAGGAGGTATTCAAATACAAGAAAAGCACCTACCAAGTAGAACGACAGCTGGACTGGAAAATAAAGGGAGAAAGTAGCTCAACACTTTTCCAATCATAAAAATAGGTTCGTTTTTCTGAAATCAAATGATTTAAAAGGCTTTTTTAATCTTTCAATAGACTTACAAGCTGCATTCCGGACAGCATAAATGTCCCAGCGAAAATATGCAAAACGGAGCAGGCACATCCTGCGAAGCAGACCGCGGCTATCGCCTTGGACTTTTTGTATTGTTCCGCGTAAGGATTAAAGCCAAAGTCGTATAGAGGATTCATGTATGGCTTCATGTAATCGACCTTTTTTTGTTCTTCAAGCCCAAAATAAATAAAGACTAAAGCAAGGATAACACCCACGGCAATGCAGATTACTGAATATGCAAGTGTCCATTTTTCTGGTGGAGGATTTTCGTTGCACATTTTTAGAGCATTTAAATATTTTTGACAAAAATTATATGACTGAGTTTATGTAAATTCAAAAAGATAAAGTAAATATCTGACAGAAAAATAAAGTTACTGGGTACTTCGATCGAACATTAATCATTCAAGAAGACGTAAAATTTTAATAATATATTATATTCGATGGAATATACCACTATACATACATATACCGATGGGTATACCACTTCAAATTATATTAACATTAGTTATTATCTAATTCTAAAATGCTATCTTATATTTACTGCATCGAAATCTATAAAAAATTATTTTTTAAGTTTTTATTTCTGCATTTTTGGAAAGACCCTTTCAAATTTGAAAGATTAGAGCTTCACTCACCTGAATTTTCCATCCGCCGCCTTTATAATCGAAATAATACCCAAAGCAGAATATTAAAACGTATTTTTGACATATTTATAAATTTTACAGATGAATAATAGGTGAAAAACTGGGTTTCCAATGAAAAGATTAGTCAAATATATGTCGGTATTCAAATAAAATAAAAGCACCTACCAAGTAGAACGACAGATGGACTGGAAAATAAAGGAAGAAAGTAGCTCAACACTTTCCCAATCATAAAAATCAGTTTGTTTTTCTGAAATCAAAAGACTTAAAAGGTTTTTTAATCTTTTAATAGACTTACAAGGTGCATTCCGGCCAGCATAAATATCCCAGCGAAAATATATAGGATGGAGCAGGCACATCCTGCGAAGTAGACCGCTATCACCGTGGACTTTTTGTATTGTTTCGCGTGGGGATGAAAGCCTAAGTTGTAGAGTGGATTCAAGTATGACTTCATGTTATCGTCCTTTTTTTGTTCTTCAAGCCCATAATAAATAAAGACTATAGCAAGGATAAAACCCACGACAATGCAGATTACTGAATATGCAAGTGTCAAATGTTCTGGTGGAGGATCTTCAACGCACATTTTTAGAGCATTTAAATATTTGTTGAAAAAATTATATGACTGAGTTTATGTAAATTCAAAAAGTTAAAGTAAATATCTGACGGAAAATTAAAGTTACTGGGTACTTCGATCGAACATTATATATTTTATATTATTATATTTTATTATATTCGATGGAGTTATGGGTATACCACTTCAAATTATAATAATATTAGTATCTCACCGAATTTTTATTATCTAATACTAAAATTCTTTCTTATATTCACTGCATCAAAATCTATAAAAAATTATTTTTTAAGTTTTTATTTCTGCATTTTTTGAGGACCCCTTTCAAATTTGAAAGATTAAAGCTTAACTCACCTGAATTTTCCATCCGCCCCCTTATATTAAAACGTATTTTTCACATATTTGCAAATTTGAAGGATACATATTATGTGAACAACTGGTTTTCAAATAAAAATATTAGTTAGATATATGTGGGTATTCAAGTATAAGAAAACCACCTACCAAGTAGAACGACAGCTGGACTTGAAAATAAAGGGAGAAAGTAGCTCAACACTTTTCCAATCATAAAAATTATTTTGTTTTTCTGTAAACCAATGACTAAATGAAAGGTTTTTGGAGCTTTTTCAATAGACTTACAATCTCCATTCCGACCAGCATACATGTCCCGGCGAAAACATATAGGATGGAGCAGGCACATCCTGTGAAGCAGACCGCGGCTATAGCCTGGGACTTTTTGTATTGTTTCGCGTAAGGATTAACGCCGACTGCGTAGACAACATCCATGAATGGCTTCAGTTTATCGACCTTTGCTTGTTCTTCAAGCCCGAAATAAAAAAAGACTAAAGAAAGGATAACACCCACGACAATGCAGATTACTGAATAAATAAGTGTCCATTTTTCTGGTGGAGGATTTTTGTTGCACATTTTAAGAAAATTTAAATAATTTAGACTGATATTATATGACAGAATTTAAATGAAGTCTGAATGTTGAAGTAAAGTTCTGACAGAAAAGTGAACTTCGATCTTTAAAATATCTCACCAACGTCACCATTCTGAGGAATTGAAATAATTCTAGAACACGAACCATTTTAATTATATTTTATTAAATGCGATCTACTTATGGGTATACACTTCAAAGATTTAAATATATTACTATTAGCTCACAGAATTTTCACTATCCAATATCAAAATTCTTTCTTATAGTTACACACGTGGCTCATGAATATTATATGAATAACTGGGTGGAAAAAGAAATAGTACTAAAAAAACGATACAGAAAATAGTATCATAGTACTTACCTAGAAATAATATCAAGGAAATAAAAGCTATTGGCAGAAAGTAGCTCAGCATTTTTCCTATCACGAAAATCCGTTTGTTTTCCTGTATTTCGAGACTGTTCATAAGGATTAATAAAGGATTATCAAAGCCATCAAAGATATCTGACTCACTGCATTCATGCCGATTTTCATAAAAATTCCAGCCAGCATATATGAGATGCCTAGCATAGGCACAAAGATGTACTGCATCGGGAACCCCCCGAAAATCCAATCAAGGAGCGCCACTAAGACGAAGAAAAGCCCCACACCGATGCAGATGGAGGAGTAGCTCCTAGTCCACCTCTCGGGCGTACAATCACAGGAACTGCACATGTTTTTGTTGAGCGAAACACGGTAAGATCGAATATAAAGTCCTTTTGGGGGCATACTACGATCAAAAACCCACATAGACCACCCTTGGTTCCGTTGAGAGTCACCTATAATCCCACTTATTTCCCTATCCCATATGAAATGCAAAAATATCCATACTTCTGAGGCGGTTTATTGAATAAGTATTTTGGCAAAAGGTACATGTACGTGGGCTACAAATAATTTAAGTGCTTGCGGGCAACTACGACTGCATCGGGAGGACTCTTTCCTTCCTGCTACTCCGACTACTGCCCCCCGGTGCGTTGGACGTTGTCGAAGGGCACCAGGATGCCCGGAGGGCCACCGAAGCGACTCTGTTCCCGCTGCCTGTGCTCCGTAGACGCCGCCTGCTGGAGTTGGTGCTGCGGCTGCTGCACGGAATGGTGCTGGAAAGGGCGGGGCTCCGCTTGGGGGGCGAGTACGCCGGAGGGCGCACCGAATCCTCCCGTGTAGCGGCCCGGATTAACAGTAGGTCGCGCCTTATTGGCCTTCGCCACTTGGCTAAATTCGTGCTGGTTTCCGGCCACGTATATGTCCGCTTGAGAGCCCGAGGCTGAGCCTGATACGGCGTTCGAAGCTGATTGCGGCCTCAGAAGGCCGGGAGGGGCTCCGAATCCTCCCGTATACTTTCCACTATTACTGCTGCTGCTGGGGGGCGTGGCACTCTCGGCTGCGAATGCAGAAATAAATCAGTATGGAGTCAGGATCAATGGATAGTCGGACTCACTTTTGCGCTGGTTATTGGCGACCACTGGAGTACTGATCACCTTGCCCTCGTCGCTCTTCGTGTACTCCACCTTGCCGCCGGCGGTGCCGAAGGGCGGGAACTGTTCTCCGCCAATGGAGTTCGGACTGGGATTGGTGTTGGGTGAACCGATGGAGGCCTGGGGATCCAGACGGGCTGCAAAAGGCGTGACAGAGTTGGTCAGAAGTGGGGAGCCAGACTCTGGGTTGGCTTCCGGGCGATCGGCGGGCGGCACCAGCACTAGCGGCGGCTCCTCGCTGCTTGCTGGAAGCGGAAGCGTGACTTTGGATGGAAAAGCTGAGGAGTGGGAGAAGGAGGAGATGGTGGTGGGAGGAGGAGTAGGGGGAGAGCGCGTACTGCTTGCTCCTGATCCGGATCCAAAGTTGTCTGGGTTAAAGGGAACGCCGGGGCCCACGTCCGGATAGTCAAAGTCCCGCAGCCAGGCTGGAATCGTTGCCGAATCGAAGGGGTTCGCTTCCACAGGGCCCGGAGTGGAGGACGCTCCGACTGCGTTCTCCGGCTGCGGCAAATCTGCATGTTGGGTGGTTGTGATCAGTTTGGCTGGCGGTGGCGATGGTTGAGTGCTGTGCGAGGGAGGTAAGGTTCGTTTCAAAACTATAAGCCACACTATCTAAATGGAATCTTGTTTCAACGTTTGCAGAATCGCCAATACCTTCTAGAGGATTCAGATTTATTCAAATCGTGAAGCCAAGTCTGCTGGGTATACTCTCTAAAATATTCCACAAAAGTCTCGAATGACTAACCTTTACTTTTAAAAAATCTATGAACCTCTGAGGTTGCCGACTCTTAAGCGTTTAAACAAGAGCTCCCCTGTTGCCTTATAGTTTTGATACGAACCTTGTGGGTGCATTTGTGGTGGTGGTACGCAGCGTAGTGGGACGTTGCGTCGTTGTTGTGGTTGGTTTTCTGGTGGTTGTGGTAGTTGTGGTGGTGGTGGTGGTGGTAGTGGTGCTCGTGGTGGTCGATGGAGATGGAGAAGGTGTCGTTGTCGGCGCCGCCGTGCTCGTCGGAAGCCCGACTGTGGGCGGAGGCGTCAGCTGGATGTTGCCCAGATCCACGAATGGCTCGAACGGCGGCTCCAGGTCGTTGGCCAGCGTGTGGTTGTACTGATCGTTGTCGGTGGGCACCGTGAAGGTAACGGCCACGTCCAGATCAGGATCGGTCACCTCCTGCAGCCAGGGCGGCAATGTGTAGGCATACTCCTCGGCCTTTTCCAGGCGGTAAAAGCTGGAGGGATCCTCGGTGGTTGTCGTTGTGGCTCTAGTGGGTTTCGTTGTTGGGGCCCGCGTTGTTGTGGCCCTCGTGCTGGGCCTGGGAGTGGTGGTCGTCGTAGTCGTTGTGGTGGTTCGCGGTGTGGTGGTCGTCGTGGTGGGTCTCTCTGTTGTAGTTGTCGTGGTCCTTGGCCTTAGGGTGGTGCTGCTGCTTCGGGTGGTGCTGTAGTGGGCTGTGCCGCGTTGGCGGTTGGGAAAACGTCCTGGGTTGCTGGGCGTGGTGCTGCCCACATGGGCATTGGTGCCGTGCTCCACTGGCGGATGACCTTGGGGCTGTGGCTCCGCCGCACTTAAGCCACTGCCGCTGCTCAGACTGATCCGAATGTTCTGGCTAACCGGATCGACGACGCCCTGCACATGCTTGGCGGGCTGTTGCTCCGCCTGCGTAATGATTGCCGGCTCCTTCTCCGGATACGGCGGCAGCAGGTCCCAGGCAATCACGCTCAGAGGCGCTCCGTCTTCGGCTGGCTTCCACGGGACGGGACCATCAATGTCGGGATCCTGGCGCTGAAGCTCTTTGAGGTAGTCCGGCAGCGAGCCACTGACCAGCTGCAGGTCCTGGACGCTTTCCTCTCGCTGTTGCTGGGCGAGTGGCACCAGGTGAGCTTGCTCCACCTCCACAACAGCATCCGCATCCGCATGCGTCGTTGTGTCGGGTAATGGTTCAAGGTGGGGCGGTGTTAGTGATGTGGCTGGAATTGGTGCTTGTGCAGATGCTGATGTTGTGCCAGAGTATGAGTTCCGACTCGGATTCGGGTTCGGATCGGAGCTGGGTTCCAGGCCCACAGCGATGGCATCTGGTTGGAGAGGAGTATTCGGATTCGGAGTTGAGTATTTCGGGCAATTCGCGTTGGGAGAGGGAGCAGGACAGGGCGCGGGTTTGGGGCCGGAACCGATTTGGGTAATGGGCGAGTCGCCATTCTCGAAGGGATTCAACTTGATCAGGGAAAAGGGGGGCGAGACGTGGTGGTTACTGGGTGGAGCAATGGGGAACTGGCCGCCAAGCGAGTCGCGCTTGGCCAGCTTGTTGTTAGTGGGTGCAATGGGTGGAGGTGCTGCTAGTGCGGTGCGGGTGCTGTTTCTACTACTAGAGTTACGGCTAGGAGAACTACTCGTGTGCGGTGTCAGTGGAGTGTCTGTGCTTGTTTCGGTCCTTGGTCTCTGTTTTGGGGGTCCCTCGTTGGTGCCGTTGCGGGCACCTTTGCCGTCGTTGGCTAACTCACCAATGTGCGGCGGCAGCAGATCATCGGCCGGGCGCCGGATCTCCGTGATGCCCGAGGCGTAGGTGGGTATCTCGAACTGCACGCCCTGCGCACTGACCACCTTGCGCCCATCGGGCGTGTCAATGGGCCGCAGGGCATCGATGGGGTTGCCGTAGCTGTCCACCGCCCTGCCCGACGATCCTCCGCCGTTGAAGGACTCGTCCTGCTGCAGCAGCGGCGGCTGCAGGTTGCGGGCGAAGGGCGACTCCCGCACATCTGTTTGGAGCAGAAGGGTAGCAGAATGTTCTGGCTATAGCTTCTTGGATTCACTCGGAAAGCAAGGCAAGTGGAAGCGGAAGTGACAGTCGAAGATTAGAGTGGAGGATGAAGAAGAAGTTAGATGGGGCGCAGGATGGACACTCGGATGGATCAGATTCGAAATACTGTGCAGCTCAACGGCAAATCAAGTCTAAGCTTCGTTTGCTATTTTCTCAGGCCACACAAGTGTTTCAACTGTTTTCCTCGAGTGTATGGAGTGTGGCAGTAGATGCTGGTAGCTGGGTGACAGATGAGGCAGCCGTGGGCGGCTCTTGGGCAATTTGGCTGCCCCGGCAGCAGTGGCTGATTGATTGACATTGACTGAGATGGGCCATACATTGCTCGGATGTTGGGAGTCGTTGAATGTTGAATGTTGGATGCTGCCGCAGCTGCTGTTGCTGCTGCTGCTGCCATTATTGTTGTGTTGTGAGTGCGGCCAGTGTGTAGTGGGGTTACTGTTAGTTACACAAAGGTCTGCCACCAGATAAAATTCAATTTAAAAAGCTACCCGGGCGGTTAGTCAATGCATGAGCGTGTGTTTGTGGTGATTGTGTGGGTGTGACAGGTGTGCGGCCATCAAGTTCGTTGCCTAAGTCTTTTGTTTTTGGCGCCCAACGGATTCGGGCAAAAGGGCTACAGGCTAGTACTAACTTTGACCAGGCTTTCAATCAATAAGCAACAATTAACATCTGAAAACAAACAACTTTACCCCAAAGGGAGTCTGGAATTTTTGGGGACTACGAACCTCTATCAATGTCAGCCCGAATGTCAGCCGGCATCTAACCTTAGCTTGTCTTACAGTCGTGAAACGCATATTGCAATTAGTGACTGGGGTTTATCACAGCCAGCGACACTCATTGTTCTGTCGCTGGGAGTCTGTGAGAGTCGGGGAATCCATGTGACAGGCCACCGCAATCTCAATCCCAATCACAATAGCAACAATCAAATTAATGGCTAATGATCGCACTGACAACGATTTTGTTATTTGCGCCAAGCTCGTGCCGAGTGCGAATAATTAATAATGGCAGAGTACGGGTAAGGTTCTCAGCCAGCTTCTGATTCCAGATTTGTGATTTTTGCGCCTTGATTCCTGTTTACAGCGGAATAACTGAATAATTTGCTCACTGGGCTATACGGGATGGGTATTTTAATCAGGGGCGACTATCTGGTAATGCGACTTCTGCCAATCGCCGGCCAACTAGAATGTGACTAAGCCGAGATGGCGATGGGCGTTGCTTTGAATTAGCCAAGTCGAGTTGAGTTTCAGTTCCGGCTGGCGAGCACATGTGCATATCTCCATATTCTATGGCCATAAGCGGCCGCCTAATTTGCATTCCGCGACGGGCTGGGCCGGTCAGGAAGCCCCTGAACTTTCGCCTGCAACTCATAAATATGAATGCCCAGCGGGGATAGTGAGATGGCCCGGCCAGATACCCAGTCACGGCTGGGGGCCCCTTCCAGTGATTTCGGATAATGCCAAAATAATTGAAATTCCCCCCACTTCCGCCTTGGACTCCGCTCAAGTTCAGGCCAATTAATTTTGCTTGTCTCTAACGCCATCTCCATCTTCAACGCCATCGCCATCGCCATCGACTTGTACATCTCCATCGGTGTTTATGTTTATTTAATTTAATTTTTAATTGATTGACGGCTTCACGACATCATCTGCACCCACCACAAAGACAATGGGGCTTTTCTGACGAAAAACATTTTGCACTTGCCAACTTTACAGTTTGTTTACCATCTTCTCCTTAATTTTTCGACATGTTTCTGTGCTTGGCCAACCTTCGCGGGAATCAGCAAAAAATTTTAATGGATTTTTATTAATCTCTGGGCCTTGAGTTATCGACTTATTGGGCTCTCGGCCCACGCCACGCTGCGACTAACGAAATGTGCCAAAAACGCCATCGAACTTGTAAATTATACTTGGAGCGTGTTTATTGCACTTGAAATCGCCAAAATCAATATGATTATACGATCATAAATGTCTCACAAATGCCAAAGAATCAAATCTTCTATATAAACCAAGATATGCATAAATATTTATGATTTAGAACGGATGTCTTCCCTTTGTCGGCGGCGGCTTGTTTTGAGGAATTTGCCAGCGTTTTGAAATCAGTTTCGAAATCAAATTAGCGCTGAACATATCTTCATCTATATATAACCGCAGCGTGTTGATATCCCATTGTGTTTTAATAACGTCGATCCGAAGTCGGATCATAAATCAAGCAATCCCTGCTTTTCAGATCCATGCGAATTTGTTAATTATCACGTACGGTGGTTGGGTTCATTCATTTTGACGGATTGGATTCATTGATTGCCGAAAATCGAGCAGCCAGGGCAGCCTAATGGATCTGTATTAGGTCCAAGCCGTATCTATGAAGGAGATAGGTTTAAGTGGTCGCCTTTAATGAGGCCTGAGCCATAATTGTTATTGGCCAATTAAGCTTAGTGGTTGGTCAATGGGTTTTGCCCCGTGTCGAGATTGCCCCACCGTTTTCTGGGCTTTTCATTCACAAATTCTTCGGTTTCCTTCAGTTTTCTTCAGCTTTATTATTTTTTGTGTGTTTTTTTTTCTTTTGAAGCTTCTTGTTTTGTGGCCCCGTGACCCAAAAACAATGCCTCTCGCTGGTGTAAACAACTTAGTTAACAGATCGTCTTGACAAAAACCTCGCTTAATTTATAGACTACATGAAGCCCCGTCGAGGAGGAACCAGCGAGGAGGAGAGCTCGTCCCGGAGGTCGTTTAGCTTCCCGCTCCCCACCGCCGGCTCTCCACCCATTGATCGCATTGTCCCAGAAGACGAGAAGACGACTTTGTCGAAGCCTTGCCAGTCACGTTATCCGCCAGACCGCTTACGTAACCCCCACTTGGTGTTATGGGGACTGGGGACTGGAGACTGCGACGGGCTCTTGCTTTTCTTTGAGGCCTCTTCGGCTGTGGCTCTTCTCGAGTTTCGTTTTTCTTACGGCTTTGCCTTTGGGAACCGCATTTGTGTTTGTTTTTGCAGCGACTATTTCATTTCGCTTTCAGCCCAAAACTTAATGATCTGCGCCCCAATCCCCGCCAGCTTCGGTTTTGTTTGTCAAACAACAACAGCTTAAGGCGGCAGTTATGAGCCACTTGACCAACGAAGGCTAATTGCACTAATTTACCCTCCGGACTGGCCAGTGGCCTGTGGGCAGCCCCTGGGAAAATTCAATACTACACTCTAAAAAATCTGAAAGCCCTCAGAAACCCACTGATAATACCAGTATTCTACCAATACCCCCCTTTTTCTGACTGTGTCATTACGAGGGGGGATACCACTTGACTCCCTGCGGATGTGGGTCAAGATCACAGATGCCAAGGGGTTTTCTGAGTGAGAATGCAAATGCAAGTGAGGATCAGGTGCGTTGAGTGCTTTTCAAAGTGAATGGGTGAGTATGGTGCTGATTTTCTAACAGATTTTGACAGAGATGGAGGTAAGGAGGGGACTGGGTTTGGACTTAGTTGGGGCAGGGGAAGAACGTAAAATTAGTTACATTTAAGACCAAAAAGAAGCCTTAAGTTCTGATTCAAGAACTGTGTTTTTTAGTTTTTGTAAAAACTTGTAAATTTTTTCAAGTCTCTTAAGTGAAAGGCTCGAACCACCAACTTTAGGCTTCCCTTTGGGCTCTGAACACGTAATAAGCACACATAACACATAACATTTAAGACGGTAGACCGCAATAGAAAGAGATAAAGACAAAGAAAGCGAAAGAGATCGCAGATCGCAGATCGCAGATCAAGTATCGGACTCGCATGCTGGTGCAAATTGAATGCGATGCCGATAATGCAATCGCCATTGTAATTGCAATTTTTTTTTTTTTTTTGGATTTGGAATTTTTTTAGTGTTTAGTTTTTTTTTTATACCAGGCCTTCCAGCTACGGCTTTGATGATTAGCAGCAGCGTAATAATGGTAAAGCCACTGCGCCTGCGTGGCTGCGAATCGATCTGCATTTTCGTGGGTGAGCTTATATTTTGTGTTTATTTCAGCTTCTTATTATTTTGCGCCTTTATTTTGTATTTATTTATTTTTTGTTTTGAATTTGTCACGCAATCAAAAATATAGAATTGGGCATTGCCCAAAGATCCGCGACGAGTTGGGAATAATTATCGCGTAGGAGCAGAATAACAATGATCGCGTCGATGACAAAATCGCAGCGCGACAGCAGCGCTACAGCCTCTTGCCAAATACAACTAAAATGTGTAATATTTTCACCGCCTTTTCTCAATCGAAAAGCCGCACGATATCACGATTCGAACTGCTGGCAGGGGCATCAAAATATTGTATATTCCACTGGGGGAGGGGCTGGGTGCTGGTCCGAGAGGGGGCGCGAAGACGCGGATGGATCGCGGGTTCAGAGATCGAAGTCGGAGGCGGACCGAGAGAAAGATGCGCTCGAGCGAAACACGTCCGATGCTCACGGGTTCTGCGCTTTCAATAAACTTGGCGACGCTCCCCAGCTTGGAGCTCGACTTGGCTGCGGCTTGGCGGTGACGCTGCTGCTCACGCTGGCAGCACACCAGCAGCAGCAGCAACACCATCAACGGAGCAAGTCGGCAGCGGAGACAGCCTCCCAGGTAAACAACCAAAGGAAATGCTTAACTTAGAAGGTAAGAAAATATTTTTCAGACACTTTCACGCTCTCTCCGGTTCTAATTTTGTTTTGGGAAAGTTATAGCTACACCCTCGCCGGAAAAATAGTAAAATAATTACTATAATTGCCCCTGGAATTCACAATTTTTTGCATACTGGTCTGTCCCCACAGCATTGACGCATTGCCAATGCCGTTCAAGGTCAGCAACTTCCCCTGATCGCATCCAGCTCTTAACCCTCTAAAAGCCTTATCTGATTCTGGCTAAAAACATAGCAAATCAATTAAAGATTAAGAGACAAGATAGAGACTGTGGATGTGGAAGAAAGCCCCTACCCTTTTTGTTGGTCAAGTTTCCTAGAAACTTCTCTAAGGAAGGAGATAATCTTCAAAGCTGACTCCTTAGCCCCCAGAGGGTTATCCGTAACATTCAGGTAACAGTCGGCTAACATTCCTGCTTTTCCCCTTCAATTTACAAGACAATAGCCCCAGCCTAAGAGGCTCCCCGAATAGACACAGCTTTTGCATAAATTAAACACACAGAAAACCGAAATTCAAATCTACAATATTGAAAACGAACGTGCTCGGCTCGGTTTGTTTATTTTGACAGGTTTGGCTTGATTTTCGACAAGTATTATGCTAACAATGCATAAGTTATACGGCTAATATGTCACAGATTCGCAGATCCTGTTCCCATCCGGCAAGTTCTCTAGCTTCGAGATCTCATTAATATTTTGAAGAATATATTTTCGGAAGACTTTGAACGCCCCGTGTTGACACAAACACACAGCCTGTCGCCTTGTATTGAATTGAAAGTTCGACGGATCTGAGTCAGAACCGATCGATCAGACTTTATGACTTTCTGGGGGAGATCCATGAAGATGCTCCGGTGAGGCTGCTCCGATGTCAGTGATCGATGAACTTTTGGCATTTCGGTCGGCGATCCGGTGATTAGATCATCCCCAACTTGTCAACTTGCCATCTTGTCACATGGCGCTGTCAGCGGTCAGCGATCTGAGAGACTGCTCGGAGGAATATTCGGGTTAATATTCGATGTCATCGAGTACGACGTCCTTGAGAAATCATCTCTTCACTCATCTCGTGGCATAGTCTCTTGGATTTAATCCCTTAACGATCGCGTCCAAAGACCGTCCAACCGTGACCATAACTCGGAGATGTCTCTGGAATGTAATTACCATTTGGATTCGAGCAAAACTTTTATTTCTCGCCCATCACAAGAAATTATGTCAGCTTATTGGTTCCGCATTTGAGCATTTTTGCCGGCATTTGGCTTTTGACTATCAAAGAGCCAGTTTCCTAGCGTTATAATGGACGTACATAGTTCGTAGTCATGAGGAGGGGGTTTTGGGGGCTTAGGAAAGCCCCTGCTGATGCCAATGATTTCCCCCTCTCCGGAGCTTAAGCACTTCGCCTGCTATTATTGTTACAATTACAACAAAGGCATTGCCAAATGGGCGATCCCGCCAAATGGCCAACAGTAGCTCTTGGCTGGGGCCTCCCTCCAGCTCCAGCTCCAGTTCATAAATCAAATCGCTTAGGGAGGCGCACAAAGAGATCGGGCTGCGGCTGAAACAAAGCCCATCAATGGGTGGCTCCGGCGTCGAAGAAGCCATCAAAATTGTATTACGAAAACAAACGTTTTTATACATTTCGTCTCGTTTCTTTCACGCGGCAACAATGGCCACACGCTGGCACCTCAGTCGCCGCGAAAAACGCAGAGTCAGAGTCGGCAACTATGGGCTGAATAGTGTATATCCAAGTATTATTTACTATTTTCTTTAATAGAGTGGGCCCAAAATCAGTTGGGAAACGACACCCCAGCGCCGCAACACCACCAAAACACCGCGACCCTTCGCCCTAAGCGCCGCATTATAGTAATTGTTTATAATCATTAATGTCACATAACACTCCAACGGTTTCCTCTCCGCGAAATCCGATTTACAGTTTGCTGAATGTGATCCCAGACCAGACCAGGTCTTTCGAGTATTACGGTCTATCAAAATGAAAATAAAGTGTGAATCACATGCCTTTCCTTCCCAGCGAATGTTTTGATTAATTTTAAGACATAATTTCAAGACCTAAACAAACAACTTTTTTGTTTATTTTCAGGAATTCCTTTCCCACAAAAGTCCAAACGAAGCATGAGCCATTACTGTTGTTTGCCAAATTATTAACGTTGTTAACGATTTCGCAACCAGTTTCGTATCAATAAAATTCAATAAAATGCAATTTGTCGAATGCAGCCGACATGGAAAAGGTCTTTTTCGAAAAAACATCAACACTCATCTAAAAGCGTTAAAAACTCAAACGAAGCGACTCGGCGACCAGTTTGCATTTTGAATGCTGAACCAGTTGGTTCGGACAACAACACCATAGGAGGAGCATCTTCTGTAAAAAAAAAACACCACAATTTTTATTGCAAAAATATTGAAAAATGCGTTAACAACAACAACTATAAAAAAAAGCACCAACATCGGCACACACACACCGATGCATGTAAAACATAAATACGCTTTTGTTGGTCACCGTGACCTTAACACAAATTTTGATTTTAGTGTTTTATCAACTGGCTACGTGCATCGGGTTTTTTTTTTCTCCAATACGGGATGGGTCTTTCATTAATAAAATCCGCTGGCATTCGTCAGATTCACAGCGATCTGACTCATTCTTGAGCGGAGAATATATGACGGTCCATTGAAACAAAACCCCAAAATACCCGGAGGCAAAATAACAACACAATAATGATAAAAACAAGATAGTCGAGAATCAGCGAAAATAAATTAATATTCTGTCTGGTCTACGGTGTCTTTGCTCTACCAATTTGCGTGGGGGTTTTTCCCATAATCGAGCGTTCACACATAATCTCCCTGATCCGATCTGCGGTGACAGAAGAAAGTCAAGAATAACCAGAACGGCTCTAAGTAGATTAAGTTCAAGAAGTGCGCAGAATATGTTTTGACCTTTTTACCAGCCTTGGCTGTTCAGTTTTATTTTTCTAATTTGATAAGCTGGCAGATAAGCGACTTTAATTAAGTTTGTTTTTATTTTTAGACCGTTATTCCAGCTTATTGGGCACCAAATGCTCCCAGATATTTTTATTTACGAATTTTGCCTTTTCTGAAAGCTGGGAAGAAGTTGGCTTTTGAGTTAGGATAAGGGTTACCTTGGGGGAATCGGCTTTTATGTTCTGATATCCCAGAATGATAAATATTCAAAAGATTTAAAATTGGGATATGGATAAAATGGTGGTTGCCACACCAACAAAAAAGAATACATGTAAAGTACATGTAAAATGAGTTATACTTTGTTTTACAACACTGTTTTCTGATCTTCTCATTCTTTTTAGATTACGGGGCTTTCCCTCTTAGTTTTTATTCCGGAATTTAATTTTTGAACTTGTTATATTTTTTATAATTTGTGTCCATGCTTTTTAAAATTTAGGAGGAAAGCAGTATTTTTTGGCCAATTGAATTTAGGGGAAAACTAAACACGCATCTGGCAACACTGGAGCTTCTTATAAAAACAATGAATAATAACAAAGAATAACTAGTAAACTTTAAGCAAATGAGCTCCCTCTTTCGCAGCCTGAACCACTTCTCGTCGAAGCGCGAGAATGTAGTTAAAGGAGCCCTCATCAACACACTGAACGAAAATGCCCGGGAGATTGAGTTCGAGGTGAAGCAAAAGTCTCTCGGTATGTTTTGGATTGGGGTGTTCCCCCTTTTCTCTTTCCATATGTAAGGTTCTTGTCTCCTCCAGAGGTCCTGGGCCTGTGTGAGCAGACGAGCTCACTTTGCACCACATTGGAGGCTTTGTTCCTCCACGGTCTGAAGGATTCCTTTCTGTCGGCAACCTTCAATGTGTTGGCAGGCGACGTGGAGCGCAGGCCCGATCCCAGCTTCTGGTCGCCCTGCCTAGTTTTCATGCACAAGCAGGTGATCGAGCAAATCCAGAGTCTCAGCCAGATTACTTCGGAAACGGGCCAGTGCCGGGCCTGGATCCGCCTATCGCTGAACGAGTCGGTGTTCTCATCTTATTTCACAAATATCCGGCGCAATGGCTCCGCTTTGGGGCACTACTACAAGCGGCACGCCCTTCTTCGAGACTCAGAGGGCCTAGAGACGGCGGCCAAGATCATGGAGAGCCTAGAGGCGCATGTTCAGTTTGACCTGCCGGTCAACTCTAGCCTGCTGAACTACTGGCCTGACCAATCGCTGCAGCAGTCGGATCTTTGGACTCCCGCCCTCAAAGCGTGTCCGGTATGTGCAGAATTCTTTCCATTGGTTACATTTATTCATTCCGAATTTCAGATCAGCAGTGGTGAGGATGTGGCCAGCTCGCTTGGCTCCGACGTTGTGGTCATCCCCACACCACAGCCCCTGCAAACGAATCAGCTATTCTCGGAGTCCATTTCTAATAGCCCGTTCAGTAGGGGCGGACACTTTGGGATGGCAGACGTAAGTCAGCGAGATAATCTTGACCTGTTGATGCTGAAGTTCGACGAGATGGCTGTGATAAGCGAAGAGCTGTCCCCACCGCCAGCGGAAGCTGCAGAGGTTGGAGAACCAGAGAAAACCGATGAGGTTCCTTCAAGCAGCAAGACCAGAAATCGTAAAAGATCAAAGCGCCACTTGGAGAGCTCTATTGGCGACCTGGTGCTGGACGATGAGCCACCCAGTCTGTTGCCCCAGGGCAGCAATTCTCTGACCAACTTGATGCAGACATCATGGTCCGGGGATCTGGGCACCTCGCGCGCCGACTCACCAACGGAAGATGTCTCCGGATCTCGGTTTTTCCAGCGATCCGTCAGCGTGAGCAGCGCCACCAGCTTGCGCTCCCCCACGGACAGATGCAGCTACAATGCTGTGCTGAGAAAGCACGAGAGCAACCGTGAAAGCACTCCCGGTTGGACAGAAATCTGGGAGAAGTTTCGTGCCAGTGCCTCCACCCTGAATATAGCGCCCGGTCATCGCGATAGCGATCCCCCAGTTTCAGAGGATTTGAGCGACCTTCAGTCTCTAGATGTGGGTAGAATGGTAACAAATTAATAATTTTCATAACATTCCATATTTTTAGACCAACTCTGAGTTCGAACTGATCACCTCGAACTTTGATCTGGCGGAGTTGCAACAAATGGTGGCCCAGTTGTGCCAGCTGCCCCGTGAACCAGGACTGAACGCCCAAGGATTCCTCTGCAAGAGCTGCCAGCATCCGCTGGGGATAGGATACTCCAATTTTCAGTAAGGTTCTAGTTCTCAGTTTCCATACATTTTGGTAACCATGTTTCCCCCAAGAGTGTGCGCTTTCAGCGGCAGCTACTACTGCAACAACTGTATGGATGTGGAGACACAGCTGATCCCAGCACGCATCATCTACAACTGGGACTTTAGGAAGTACAGCGTCAGTAAACGGGCAGCCACTTTTCTGGCCGAGTTCCGGTCGCAGCCATTTTTGGATATGCAGCTCCTGAATCCTAGCATCTACTTTGCCTCCGACGCCATGGCTGAGCTGCAGTCCCTGCGGATTCGACTCAACTTCATCCGTGCATACTTGTACACCTGTGCCCCAGGCAGCATAGAAGTGTTGCAGAATCAGTTCTCGGGAAGGGAGTACCTCTACGAGCACATCCACCAGTACTCCATTGCGGATCTGGGTCTGATTCAGCGCGGAGTGCTATGCCAGCAGCTGCAGAAGGCCTTCAAGCTGGGCGAGGCTCACGTCCTTAAGTGCCGGCTGTGCCAGCTCAAGGGCTTCATCTGCGAGATCTGCCAGAGCCCCAGAGTTCTGTATCCATTTCACATTAGCACGACCTACAGGGTAAATTATATTTCTTTCTAAAGAACGATCCAATTACTAAATGACCTCGTTTCAGTGCCTAACTTGTGGAGCCGTGTTCCATGCCGAATGCCTGAACGAGAAGCAGCCGTGCCCCAGATGCGACAGGAGGCGCAAACAAGAGGACCAGGGCCTCCAGGAGGCCGTCCAGTGCCTCAAGGAGAAGCACGAGTCGTCCTAGAAGACGACGCCATATTTAGTTTTAAGTTGAAAAGTGCGATTTGTTATTTACGTGTAACCGAGAAAAGGCTTTACTTTACACTTACTCTAGGGTTAAGGCTACAATGTTATTGCTTGACAGCATTTACGATATACTCAAATATATATATGGAAAACACACAAGACACCGCTTGGCCTTGGCCCAGGAAAACACAGAGCTCAAGTTTTGGAATGATTTCATAATAATTTGTATTTATTGATAACTGCAATGAATCTGAGTCGGAATAAAAAATATGCAATTGCTGATTAATACTTTTCTAATGACACCGAGTCCAACAACAATGATTGAATTTAATATTAATAATAGAATAATAATTATGAATGTAGTTATTGCCCAATAAGGAGAGTTCAACAAACCCAGATGACAGATCGAGGGATGTCTTTTTCGAAAACTTTGAGATTATCACACAGACTCTTCTCGTGGTTCGATCTGAGACGTTGGATCTGAGTCGGAAATGCTTTCAAGTTGTGCTTTGTTTCTTGCATTGTTAACATTTTCTCTGAGTGTACTAGGGGACTAGGGGAAAGTATCGCTGCAGTACAGTATCGCTACTAAGTATCCCGTATTGTATATATAATTACATTAATTAATTGTTGCTGTTTTTGGGTTTCTTTAACATGTTCAGTCTAGTAAGATATTTAATATTTAGAAGCGCCCTGCTCCCAGAGTACATACAAAAAGATATACATATAATAGAATGCTGTTTGATAATTTCACTAACTCCTGGTGCTATAATCCTATATACAGGTTTTGTGGCAAAGGCTATTCCTTTTGTAACTGGGAAGACGCCAACGAATTATTTTTGTGTGCTTCTTGAAGCTCTTTTTCTTGAGGGGGATTTTCTTGCAGTGTGCTATTGTGTTCGTTTATTCTAAGCACTCTCCTTGGGTGCTTTGGAACCACTCTAGAGGCACCTATCACACACACTCGCATACACAGACACACCGGCGGCACACAATCATCACACTTATGTACAGATCAGAGACTTGCTCCCCCCTCAGTAGACGGTGGAGTTCCGGGGCCCGCTCCCCGCCGACTGCGACTGCGGCCGGATGCCTGCCGCACCACCAGCACCTCCGGCTGCGGCGGCCCCGCCGTACAGGAAGCTCGACTGCCGGATGACAGATACGGTGGCAGCGGCCACGCCCGCTTGGGGCGGCGGGGCTGGCGCTCGGTGCTTCTTCATCGGTGCATAGGCCGGCTTCAGAGCCGGAGCTGGTGTTCCTCCGCCACCCGGATTCGGATTCGTGGGCGTGTTGTTGTTGCTGGCCACCGAGCTGTTGTTGTTATTGTTGTTGGCGATGGGCGCCGGAGCAGGTGCAGCTGTGGGTAAGAAGCGAAAGGCGGGGTAGATAGATATACATATGTACAATTTTGGATCCAAGGATCAAGAACTAGATGAGTCGGTTGTACAAGCGAACTGCGACGGCAACAAATGTTTGAAATCAGGTGGGAAGTGGGAAGGGTGGAGACTAAGTGGAGGAGTATGTTTTGGATGCTGAAAGTAAGATAAAATAATGTATTGAATAAAAAATAAAATTAATAAAAATCAACAGCCCCCCATCGGGAAATAAATCTTTAAAGAAACCTAAGATTCTGATCTGGAAACAGACAAATGGATATCAATGTGGATACCAACAGGTAGCTCCTCACCCAAAACAAGGATCTTAAATGAATAACACAAGAAAATGAAACAAAATGAGTGTTATGCTTATGTATGTTTTTATCCAATCAAATTTTGGTTTATTCTTCCATCAAATGATAACTTTGAATTAAATGGTTTGGACTAAAAATAAAATATTCATCGGATATAATACGAAAGGAATACAGAAATGATAGCCAGCAGGGGGGGTCGTGATTAAAATATAAGCATGCGCTACATTCAATATATCGGAAATGTTTATATGGGCTTCGAGATATGGGTGGCCTTCTTTACAATACAGATACAATACAGATAAATATATCAAGAGTATATATTGTAGATTGGGTATAAAATATAAACTATGCGTAATAATATTGTGTAAAGTGTGCTTAGTGCTAATATCGCAAAGGGAGCCACACGACGCTGCCCCCTCTTGGAAGTTAACAAATTATAACATAATGTATATAATGTAATATATGTGTGAGTTTTGGATAAAGCTATTCAACTTTAGTATTATGAAATATACAAAATATAACATTCTCCCGGCCGTGGATTTATTTCTCTTGGCGCCTCTTAACATTAAAATAAACAACAACAATCAAAAGGTTTCCTAAACTGTGCTGTGTTCTCGTAAACAATCAAATCAAATCAAAGAATATATAATAGTAATACACTTTAAAATCATATACATATACATATATATAATATGTATACTGTGTATGGAGATAAGAGTCGTTGTATTGTTCGCAGTTTGAAACTAAAATGCCAGAGCGTGTGCTTCTTAAACAAATACTTATATAACAGCATTCCATGGGTGTGTGTGTGTGTGTGTGTGTACAATGTGTGTTACATATGCACCTACGAGATGCATCCACGAGAGTGGATGAGTGCATGGTTCAGTTCCAAGACACTTACAAAACACACACTCGACGACTACATACCGTTGGTGGCCTTAAACGTGCGACTAGGATACACCTTTTGTATGTTTAGGAAGGGCGGCGGCTTTGGGAACTCCGTAACGTTGTGGAATCGCTTCCCGAACTTTGTCTCCAGATCGATGACCAGGCGGCCCACGCTGGCGCCAGCTCCCCCCAGACCCGAGCCCGATGATCCGGACCCGGACAGGCCCGAGCTGCTGCCAAACTGGTGCGAGGAGTTGGCCATGTGCGTGGGTGGCGTCGACGGGGCGTTCGGCCTGATGGAAGAGTGTCGCTGCGGTGGTACAGGTGCTGCTCCCGATCCGGATCCGCCCTGAAAGATATTCAAAGAAGAAGGTTAGCTGCGACCAAGACTTGTGGGCTTAAAATATCCTGCTGTAGTTACGTTGCGCCTGCCACTGCCACTGCCACTGCTGCTGCTGCTGCTGTTCACCATCAGCATCTTGGTAACCTTGACTTCTCCTCGTTGGGCTTCGATTATCTGCCTTATCGCCAGCAGCTTCTTGCAGAGCCAGTGCCTTAATCGGTCTTGCTGCTGCTGAAGGAGCTCATCACAGGATTACGCGCTGAGCGATGGTAACTGGAGGATGTGTGCCAGGAGGCCTGTGTTTTGGTCACGTCTTGTTTGTGGAAAATCAATCCACCCACCCGCCACTCAACACGAAAATAGGTGACTGGCGAACGAAACTCGGACAACGTAACAGCCGTGCGCACTGCCAGGAGTGCTATGCTGCTGGCAGATGAGCAGGTGAAGCCATGCGGCGCCGGCGCAGAGAGAGAGTACCAGGCTCGGATAAGAGCAGCGCCCAAGGGGGTGGGCGATGCGCAAAGTGAGGGGCTAACTATGTTTGGGATAGGTCCAGCCTACCTTATAGTTTCTACTATTGAATCAGTTTATCCCTTTGTGGTTATCCCTTATATTCCCAACAATGATTCTCTGGCCCACTGCCACTCTCCTCCCACTTGTCTACCATAAATAAACCCGAGGCTGTCCTGCCAAAAGTCACCCTTGTCCTTTTGGCCAACCTGTTGTCCTTGTGTTATTGTTATGCCTGGGGGGCTACTTACGTTGCTAGACTGTCGCTGCGGCGGCGGCGGTGGCGGACAGCTGCGATGCGGAGGCGGGGCTGGAGGATTCAGAGGACCTCCGTTCAAAATAATCGGCTTGACATTCTCGCGCATCATCGAGGCCTTGGGACTGGCCGTGGCGGAGGACGAGCTGAAGGTGGGCGTCGGCGAGGGTGCACTGCCATTAGACATGCCAGCTCCCACGCGGAACTGGTCGCGCAGGGCGGCCACACTGCTACTGCTGCTGGAGGAGGAGGGCGGTTGTGTGATGGGCGGCGACGGGGCTTGGGTGGTGCTGCTGGAGCTCTGTATCAGGGCCGTGTTGACGGCGCTGAAGGGCGTCGAGGAGCCGCTTATGTTGTTCAGATTGCTGTTCGAGTAGCTGCGTGCCGGCGTCGGAGGTGGCGGCGGTTTCACCGAGGGGCGGGCTGGACAGAGAAGGTACGTCAGTTTCCGAGCTAAGATTTGACTTAAAAACATCCTTACATTTGGGAGGATTGGGGGTACATCGCATACTGCCGGCACTGGTGTTGAGGCTGCTGGAGGACTCGCTGCCCTGGAACTGCAGGGGCGCCCTCATGGTGCCAAAGTGCTGCTGGGTGGGGAACACAGGCCCGTTGACGCCTCCCGCTGCTGGAGGAGATCTGTGGGGGAGACGAACCGGATTAGAAGGAGGAACTGCCATGGTGGAGAGTCAAAGCTTGGTTAGGAAGCGAACAAGTTAGGGGGTAAGAGTGTTGAATGCAGATGAGAGCGGCGGAGTTGCGTGCTTGGTTAGCGATAGCTTGCAGCCTTGGGCCACTGATTCTGGTATACCTGGGGGACTTCATGCTGTGGTGCCTGGTCACCGCCGGACGTTGCTGGCCGTTGGCCATGGCCAGTTGCTGCAGACCCGGCGGCTTTGGGGCGAAGTTCGGTTTCCCGAAGCTGATCGCCGGCTTCGTGGTGTGCTGCTGCTGCTGCGGCGCGGAGGGCAGTGTGGATGGGGGTGTGGGTGTGGCCGTGGAGGGGGGCGATGGTTTCTGAACGCTCGCATACCCCTCACCAGAGACCGACCCGGTTGTGGCACTGCTGGCACCGCCGAACAAAGTCGACTTGTTCGGCGCCAGATTGCGCAGCGATCCCGTCGAGGATGTGCGACTGGAGCTCAGCGACGTGGTGGAGGCACTTGAGGTTGTCTTGGAACTATTTACAAAACTACTGCCTAACGAGATACTGTGGGTGGGCAAGTATGGTACAAGTGTGTTGTTGTTGGTTGAGGTGGTGGTGGTGGTGTGTGAGGATAACCATGTAATCCGGGGAAAGTAATCCAAAAATAAAGAAGAAAATCAAGAGATATTTTTAAACAAAAATATACAAATGGAGAACCGAAGAGAACCCAACCGAACCAGGTGTAGGCCCACCCCGAGGTCAGAACCCCAGCTAGTGATAGCTCCAGCCACCATACTCACTTCAGATTGGCCGCTTTGCTCTTGACGCTGCCGCCTCCATGACCACTGGCGCTGCTGTTGTTGCTCCCGCTGTCCGAGAGCGTGGGCGACGCCGCCTTCGAGGAGGCGTGAATGGAGCTGGAGGCGGAGGCGGAGTTCGGCGGTGCTGGTGTGCGGGGGATGTTCATGCGGTCCAAGATCGAGTCCCCGGAGCTGGCCTGTAAGTGGAACAATGGATTAATATATGTCTCCAAGCTCAAATAGTAAATATTGTCCGTTAAGTAGCTCATCAAATATGCTTATCGCCTTCAAGTGCCTTCAACTTTTATGGGTCTGGAGTCTGGAGAGTAGTTAGTCATACTCTTAGTAAAGGTTAACTAGTAGCTTTTTCTTCCAATAACTAAATCATTATTTAATTATAGACTATAGTCAATAGACTTGGAGAATAGCTACATATTTAGTCTCATCCTATTTTAAAAGCGTGTATCTTTCTTTATTTTCATCCGATCTTGAAGAGGCATACTTTGAAAGATTTATGGCCGAATTCTCTATCGATCTGTACTTAACTTTAGAAATAAAAATATTTTCAAATTTTTTACCATTTTTTATGATGTTACCCCTTGGAAAATGTTCGAAAAATGGCTCAAAATTTTGATAGCCAGATTTTGATAGAAAATCAAAGCTCTAGGATATCTAAGATCGGGAATGTATATCATAGTCTGATTGGACGAATATTAAGCCAGATATGGTCTTTAGAAATTAAAAAAAAAACATGATTTTTTATTTTAAACCTTAATGTGAAATTAATGTCAACTTTGACCTCCTTGCTGAGCCATAACTTGAATAATTCTTATTCGATTTGAATGTCATATATTAAAATACTCGTAACTCTACTATCTGTATAACTGCATCAAAAATATATATTAACTTTGAAATACATTTTTTTCGATTTTTTAAGATATTTTTTACGATGGTACCCCTTGGAAAATTTTCGAAAAATGGGTCATATTTTTTATTGCCAGATTTAAACTATAAATCAAAGTTCTGCAAATTCTAAGAACAGGAAGGTATAACATATCCGATCCGATCTGACTAAAATTAGGCAAGTTATGGCCCCGACAAGTTTAGAAAATGATTAAATTTTCATTACGAATTTTTCAGAACCCTATATATGAAATTTAGGTCAACTTCGACCTTTTTGAGGAACCATAACTTGAACAATTCTTATCGGATTTGGGAGTCGCGTACCTCAAAATAATCTCAACTCTATCCCGCATATAACTGCATCAAAAATATTTAAAAACTTTGAAATAAATTTTTTCCCAATTTTTTAAATTTTTTTATGATGGTACCCCTTTTAAAATTTTCGAAAAATAGGTAAAATTTTTTATAGCTAGATTTTCATTAAATATTAAAGCTCTAAGCAACCTAAGATCGGGAAGGTATACCATACCATGATAGGACTAGAACTACCCTAGTTATGACCTCGAGAAGTTGGCAATATATCCAATTGGCACATCCTATGGGGCTTACTTAGACCCTGCCATCTCCTCCAATAAGAAAAGCTACAATATTCATGCCCATAATTTCTATTCTGACAAAAATAACCAATACTCCCTATTCCACTCTATAAATAACCCTTTCCCTCTGCCCAATCTTGGCATGAGGGCATCACCAACCCGACATCTCCCTCTCACCTTTGGCGGCTGCGGTGGAGGTCCCCGGTTCGTCCTCAGATTGGCCTCCGTGGCATTGATATGTGTGTTGTTGCCCGTCGGCTGTGGTTGTTGCTGCTGCTGCTGTTTTTGGCGCTTCAGTGTCAGGTGCTTGGTGAGCTCCGTGTTGAAGTCCATGGGGCCATTGCTGGCCGCAGAGGCAGCGGCGGCGGTGGGGGGGCTGTTGCTGCGCTGCGGAGCCGTTGATTTCGTTGCTGCCGCGACGGACGGCGCTGCTGTGTGGGCGGAAACCGGAAGTGAACGTTGAGCAACCATTTATGAAGCTAAAAGTTATAGTTAACCTACCGCGAATGCCGTTCACGGGCTTCAGCTTCGGCATTTGCGAGAGGCCTTCAAACAGGCCTCCCAATTTGGGAGCTCCATTGCCAAGGCCATTGCTGTTGCTGCTGCTGTTGTTGTTGTTGCTGGTGGAGATGTTGTTGTTAAGGGTGCGCTTGGGTCCAGCTCCGCCTCCACCTCCTCCATCGGAGCCGCAGACTTTGCCGGCCAGCGATGGGCCACTCTTGTCCACTGTGTTGGTTTTGCGCAGCTTGGTGCCCTTCTGGATGGAGCTGAGCAGGGCGGATCGGGCATCGGCTCCTCCTCCCCCGCCTCCGCCTAGCTTGAGGCCGCCCATGGCCGGCGGCGGGGGTGGTCCTGGCGGCGGGGGTGGACCCGGTGGCGGTGGTATGGCCATCTGAAACGGAAGAAGAGAGTTCTGTGTGAGAATAGACTCTAGGAGACTCTACGAGAGACTACTTTTTGTTTGGAGCTTCTCTTGAGACGCATTTTAGAAACCCAGTTCTTCGGTTCTTCTGTCTTTTGTCTCCAAGTCTTCTGTCTATAATTCCCTGTCCGCCTCTGCGAAGCTTCAGCGCGAGACTGGCTAACACTCGCGGTGTTCATAAAGACGCGGCTTGGCAAGCCAAGACCGCTGTCACCACCCACACACCCTGCCGGCGCACACTCGCACACACTGCTGGGTGTCTCGCTAATACCATTTCTATATTATTATTATTTATGTCTTGTATCTGCCCCGTGTTGCGATTGACGCCCCGATAAAAAATTAGAGACCAAAGAAACAGAAAGCACCGAAGCCTGAAATTCTCTACGGCTTTGATTTTGTTGAACGCATCTTTGGAGAGATTACTAGCCTATATTAGTTACTACAAATAGTAGAAGCCATTAACTAAATACAGACTAACAGATGGGTATGTAATTTATTCAAAAAAGATTCCACTAAGTGTGCCATATTTATGATACCTCCATGGAAAAGTTGAGACCCAAAATAAGTCAAGTCGTACAGTTTGGAGGGCACTGGAACTGAGACACCACAACCCACTTGCTCCGAAAGCCAGGCAATCCCACGTCTACATGACAGATCTCTCACAATAGGTGAGTGTGCGGTCATTAGTTCTAAGGTGGAGGAGCTCCGGGGAGACTATCAGGCCATCATAATCACGAAAGCTGATAACTGATGAGAGGCTGGAGACTGGGGAGCTCATCACCCCTTTGGGTGGCATAAGTTCCTAATCCAAATCCAAATCTCACTCAATCTCGGTCGATTCTCTGACGAAATGAAGCACAGCGGCTTGGCATTTTATTTTCTTCTAATTATTGGGGTAGAGGTGAGTCTGTGAAGTCCTTTAAGTCCCAAACCCTCAAGGATTCTCATTCAAAGTCCCTCAATGTGGTGGAGGAACTGGAGAGCATTTACGAGATGTCGGAGCTCCTCATTTCAAGGTAACTACTAGTCCTACGAGGTCCTCTTTTAAAGATCCTCCCCTCCCTAGCTTGAAGAAGGAAGCGCAAGCCTTGACCCCCGCCCAGGTCTACCCCACTTCTTGTCTCAGTTCCGGAGAAGCTGGTGACCAGGTCACCGTCAAGGTGCCAGGACAAAGCCCCTTCCCCGTCTTCTGCGACAATCAGCTAGCTGGTCCTGGCTGGCTGGTGATCCAGCGCCGGCTTAACGGCAGCCTGAGCTTCTTCCGCCACTGGGAAGAGTACAAAGAAGGGTTCGGTAGCCTCGAGGGAGAGTTCTTCCTGGGCCTGGAGAAGATTCGGGGCCTGACTGCCCTGGAGCCTCACGAACTGTACGTCCATCTGGAGGACTTCCAAGGAACCAAGAAGCATGCCAAGTTCGACGAGTTCGCCATTGGAAGCGCGGAGGACGACTACGCCATGAACGTCCTGGGAAAGTATTCCGGAACGGCGGGCGACTCCCTGCGCTCCCATCGGAAAATGAAGTTCTCCACCTACGACAGGGACAACGACAAGGAGTTCAACAAAAACTGCGCCTTCTACTACCTGGGCGGGTGGTGGTACAACGCCTGCCTGGACAGGTAAGCCCTCGGATATCCCACAAAAGTCCAGTGCCTAATCTTTAAAGACTTCCAGCAACCTTAATGGGCAGTACGTGCCGGGGGGGCAGTACGAGGAGAAGCTGTTCGCCCGGGGCATGTGCTGGCGTTCCTGGCGCGGCCACAACTACGGCTACAAGATCACCCAAATGATGATACGGCCCAAGTGCCGAAACGTACCAGTACCAGTACCAGTGACTCAGACGTGAGTCTTGAAGGCGGCACCCCAAGAACGCTGAGATCAATTGTTATGCAAAGCGGGTAGTCATTGAATCATCCAATCACTTGATCAGTCGGGAAATATAGTATACTCTTGCATTGAAACCTTTCCGCTTCCTACCGGACTATCTCCCAAGGTGGACCTGACCTCAGGTTTCCCGATAAGCCCAGGGTACTACTATTTCTAGAAGTAGCCAGCATCTAGATTGTTGGGATCGCTCTGGGCAGCAAGATCATGAGGCTCTGTGTGGTTTGGTTTCTACTGGTGGGGTGCTCTCCTCCCAGAGGCCTTGCCGATAGGCAGGAGAGGCTCTTCCAGAAGGCCGAAAGAATGTTGTCAAGGTGGGTTTCCTGATAAGAGCTATCCAAGATGGTCTCTGACTTGTGTTTTTAGCTTCAAGGTGAGTCTGGAGGAGTTGAAGCATAGCTTCAGGGAGCTGGTTCCACCAAAGGAGGGAGTGGATCACCAGAAGAGTAAGTATGATTGGCCTTTCCCACAAAATACTACTCTCCCCCTTGGCAGGATCATCACATCCCTCCTCCTGCTTGGCCGCCGGCATCAACACTAATGGCATCCACACCATCGAGGTGCCCGGCTTAGAGCCCTTTCCCGTTTTCTGCGACACCCGGCTAGCCGGCTCCGGGTGGACCGTCATCCAGCGGCGGCAGGACGGCAGTGAGAACTTCTACCGCAGCTGGGAGGAGTACAGCCGGGGATTCGGCAGTCTTAGCGGCGAGTTCTTCCTGGGCCTGGAGAAAATCCACTTCCTAACGGCCGCCGAGCCATACGAGCTGTTCGTCCACCTGGAAGACTTCTACGGGGACACCCGGGATGCCCACTACGACAGCTTCGCCATCGGCAGTGCCAACGACTCCTACCCGCTGGCCACACTGGGCAGGTACTCGGGGGACGCCGGGGACTCGCTGAAGTACCACAAGGGCAAGCCGTTCTCGACCTTTGACCACGACGTCTTGGGCCACGGCTGTGCCAGGATGTACGTGGGTGCCTGGTGGTACGATCAGTGCCAAAGGAGGTGAGTAGTGTGTCCTGGTGAGGATTCAAGCTGATATCTACCTCTCACCCCCCAACTAGCAACCTCAATGGCCAGTACTTGGAGGGTGGACGGTTCGAGGCGAAGCTATCGGGTCGCGGGATCACTTGGATGACTTGGCGGGGCTACGACTATGGCTACAAGACCGTACAGCTGCTGATCCGGCCCAAGTGCTCCAACAGCCTGCAGAGGCAGGCCGTCCAAGGCAGTGGGCCGCCGTAAGCAAATTCCACTTCGATGGGAAATCGTGATAAACACTATCAACAATTTGGGGTTTATTTACATTCTGATAATGGCCCGTTTCCCGTTGATTTGTTTTTATTTTTTATTTTTAATTTCTTTGCTTTTTGCACACACACGACCGTAAACAAAGTGGCTTTTGGTTCTCAACTGATTTGGTTTTTTGGTGGAATCGCGAGGTGCTCTCGGTTCGCGAGTTGAATGCCAACTGAGGAGCTCCAACGGCTGCGCATGCGAGGCCTCTCTGGGGGGGGGGAACTCGCTTTGATAAAAATAAAATTAGCTATTGGAGGGGTCGCTCTGTGGGGCTGTGACGTCATGGCCTCTCTCCCCTCCGGTATTTCTCTCTGTGTAGAAACCAGCCACAATTGCAGAAGCACTTGTCATCAGCCGGGCAATGATGATGATGATGATGACGATGAGAAGAATCTGCTGAAGAAACGTGCGAAATACCCCCCGACTGTCTTGAATCATTAAAGTGGCACAGTGGGTACTGGTCTGATGGAAAACGCTCCTTACTTGTCCACTGCCGATGACTCACTGTCGGTTACTCTGCTTGAATCATTCGAACGAATTACGGCTTAATTGAACAGCTGCTGGATCCGGCTATCTGACGGATGTGTGCCGATCTCAGATCCCTTCTATCTCTGGAAGGAGTACCCCCTGTCCAACTATCCAATCTCCGTCAAATATTAGCTCCCAGAGGTGACTCATTTGACGAGTTCGCTGAAAGTCTAAAGCATAAGCCTTCGCTGGTATTTTTTAAGGTCCCCATATCTTATCATATCGCATGGCCAGTATTTCGGGCAGACACTCAAAAATCAAAGGAATTTTGGCCAACAAACGATAGAACCTCCAATGTGGAGTAAACCCTCCCTCAGAGGTACACCAATCTGCACCCAAATAAAAGGTTCATTGACAGCAAATCGATTAAGTGAAATCGGCGCTTTTTAGCAATCTGCTTCCTGATATGAAAGTGAGTCATTCCCACGGCCGTTCCTCCAAAAACTGTGTTTATTCTGGCCCTTAGTTTCAATTAACGTTCCAGAGGTGTGTCCACCACCCATCTCTCCCTTCGGATTGCCCCAATAAACTGTCATCAAGTTAATTGCCCCAAATGCACCCACAAACATGGGTGTGTGTATGTTGTGGTCTGTGGTCCAAAATTGAATCAAAGCCCGGAAGTTATTCCGATTCCGGGCACGGATGGGCCATTATGTAAGGCAAATATTGAGTGTTGAACACGCCCCGGAGAAGCACTATAGCCGATATTACTTCGAAAAGATGTTGCGCAAGTAAGGTGTCTTGGTGAGGACAGTACCCTAATGATGGTAATTTGCCAGGCCTCCAGACCTCGATTAGCTTTCGATTAAAGTGCCGTTTTGTTGGCCTGCTAGTACCTATTTTAAAATAAGGCTTAGGCTTAGTCATTAACCTTTGTGATTCATTAAAGAGGGCTAGAGAGGTTCTCGATCAAAACAATAACCTGTTTTTCCAGCTGCCCGTTTGGAAACTCGGCTGGGAAGTCTTACTAACTAGGCCCCCAGCTTTCGCTTTCAATTTCTTGAAATTATTTCTGCCATTTAGTGGCCAAGTTCCAATTACACAAAGCCCAGGCAGTATTAAAATTTCAACTGCAGGCTGGAGGCATCATTGACATTCCAAAAAGCACGCTCTCCACAACGACAATGATATGTGACCGCAGTACTAATCACTTTCGGTTATAAAATCCAAAAGACACGATCCACGATCAGCCTTTATGAAGTGAAAAGTTGATTCAGAAGCCACATCTCTCTGGAGAAACCATAAGATTCTAAAATTAATCTGCTCGCCGGCAGTATTTAATTGAAAATTTAGTACACAACCATTAGTTCTAGGCCATGCCTCATTTTTCTTCATTGTAATTGAAGCTTTTTATTCATTATTATTTTCGCTGCAGAGTGTATAGCGATGGCGTAAGACTGATATTCGCTTACACACCAGTACCAGCACCAGATATGAGGCACTGCTGCACTTGCCGACACTGCCGGGAGGGTTTATTAAAATGCGGTTTTCAGCGCCGTCGCACAATGCTTAAATAACTAACGCAAACACATCAATGGCATTAGCGGTGTTGGGTGTTGGGTTCGCTGTTTTGCATACAACACCTCCACTGACAAAAGCGTGAGGCCACTTTCTACTTCAGACCTCCAGTGTTGGGTCTTCCAGAGGCAGGTCTGTTTCTCGCAGTGCCTCATGATGTAAACAAAGTCAAACACACGAGGCTGCGAATGACTCACAAGCTTCGAGGAAGCGGTTAGCCCTCGCGAGAGTACCCACTGACGTTTTATGATTCAGTTCCAGGTTTCCACAAGGAAGTGCAACATAACCGAGAGGCAGGGGGGGCGGTTGAACAATAAGAGTAGCAGGCCACTACGTGCCAATCACAGCACCGTGTGATGCAGTGCTCGAAAAATGCATGACAACCAATTCCACTGACAAATGGCCGCACACAAGGCCGACGAGTTACCCCCCCACCTCCTCCTCTGGCTCTGGTGAGGCTGGCTGCTCACACGATGCGTGTGTCATTGCAGGCAGCAGCACTCGATATTTCTGTATGTACCCTTGGGGGGACGGCACAATAGACTCAGAGGCAGACAGACTCCTGGCTGGTGGTGCACCCCAGAACCTGGCCTACCCCACGCCAATGACATTGAACCCAACGACGGATGGCATGGCCATTGTGGTAGCTCCTGCAGGAAACAAAAGGCCACCAAGGTGGGATGTAGTGCTCTCCACATTCCGCCACTAAAGCCCATGATTATTTCCATTCCACAGACATTAAGTAAGCAAGGCAACTGACAAATCGCAATTGCGCCGCTGAACCAACCCTTAGCTGGCAAATTTTAGTTGCTGTTTGGCCGGCGAGCATTGCACTTTTTGTAGGTCAGTTGGTGGGTGGTGGGAGGGTGGGCACTGCATCTGTGTGTGGATTGCTGCTGCCTTCGTCATGCGTCGCGTGCCGACCGTTTTGCTTAATGTGATTAAGACAAAAGCGACAAAACAAACAAACACGAAGCCGACATACAGAAATCAAAGCTGCCGAGTTTGTTGCACCCTTTCTAGCCGGCTAGCCCCCATCCTGCACTGAGCCAAAACATGGTCTGGACAAGAATTCCATCTGGCAACTGCAATTATACATACACATAATTATTAAACAAAAAATTCTCCAGTCCGCGCGATAAGATAAGAAGCCCTCCCCACCGAGTCCAAGTCTCTTTGGACGTAACTTTCGCCAATAAAGAACCGACACTGAAGCTAGAGCTTTAGCCCATTTAGACAAAACAGATGCACTCTGTGGGTATATGCGGATTTTCAAACAAGCTCACCTTGAAGCGGGTTTACTGGCTTGAAGTGCTGCTCTGAATTCTCCGCGCTGGCAATTAGTCTGTGGCAGGTGCTTTGGTTGGCGTTCTCTTGGTGTTCAGGTGTCGATGTTTTCTAGCAAACAGAAATTCGGATATGTAGGTAATGCAACATAGCAGGGCATCCGAATATTTTTATGCAATTTCCAATCCGCGCGCCCGATTCTTCGACAGTCGCGTACGCACACGGGTGCAGGTGTCGAGTGTTTCAATGGTGTGTACTGTGCAAACGAGCAAGTGTCCCTAGCTACCAAGTGATTGTGGAAGTGTGTTAGGGTCTGGCTAAATTGCAAATGTGCCTAAAGTCGTAGAACGAGTAAGAAATTTGATTAATTTTCATTTTTACACAAACACACGCACACTGAGGTAGCACTCTCACTTCTGTACGTCACTCACAGGCTATGGAATTCGGTGATATCGTTGCCGTAGGATGGCTTTTCGTATCGGATTAGCTAATTGTTTCGATTAGGGGCCCTTGCCGCGCAGCATCGTTTATCTGCTTCGGTTATAAGGCTTTTTCTCGCAATCGTTTGAGAAAACAAAAAATTTATTGTGCTGCTGGCTATATGGCTAGAGGTGGGCCACTGGACAGAATTCATTGTGAACGTTGGCCTATCGATATCGATAAGGGACAGTTATAAATTTAAATCTAATACATGTACATTAATTTTGCATAAATTTTAACTAAATTAAATAAAGATTCAAAATACAAACTTTTTTTTTTTAACTTAAATCAAGTTTTTATAGCCATTAGCTTTGTATCAAACAAAAAATGGCTAATTGAGCATCTCTGATAGCCTGTGTTATCGAAATCGTCGTCCTGATGCTTCAACTCAGAATGGTCACACTGGAAAAAATCAAAAATAGGAGCATCTACAGGACTGATTGATAGCGTCTGTTAAAATGGAATATCTCAAGCTTCTCAACGCCGAATTGACTGACCAGGTCCAGAAGCTGCGCTTGGAGGCGGCCGCCTACAGGTCGTATCAAGTTCAATTGCAACAGGACTACTTTAAAGTGCGGGAGGAAATGGCCCTGGAACGCAAAGTCAATCGCAGCAAGATCCTGAATTTGATAAAGCATTTGATGCGTGACCATTCCGTAGACGTAGATGACATTACGGAAAGCATGGAACTGGATTCTCCGCCGACCGAGACGCGCCGCACCTCGAGGGAAATGAGCCGGATTAATCGTCGCTCCTGCGAGTTGCTGGCCTCCAAGTTCGTGTCTCCAAGTAGCCGTCGTACGAGCGGCTCCGCTAGAATCCGCGAATCGTCGCAAGACCAAATGGCTGAGGAAATGGTAAAGTTAAATACTCAACGTACCTAAATATAGAGCTAAATTCCCTTTATCCGCAGGATTGTGAGGATTCTGTGAGTAGCGAACCTCCAGATGAGCAGCCGGATGAAGAAACGGTAAGGCTAATTTCGTACAATTGGATTCTTAATAAGCAATGGTTTTCATCTCCACAGCCGCCAGATGCAATCGAGAGGACACCGGAAAAACAATATAGTTTCCAAGGGCACATGCCCTGTATTAATGAGGTACTAACTCCAGTAAACAATACAAGCTCAGTTTGCAACGATGATACGGCATTGGAGAAGACCCCAGTAACGGTCCGAAATGCTCCATCCATTCGGAGTAGAGTTCTGCAGGAAGTTAATACCAACACGACAGCCCCCATCGCTCATAACAAAACCAAGAAAATACCTTCTATAATCATTACCGCGGACGAATCGCTAGACATGAGCATCCAACCAGCAAGACATGCAGTCGGCAGGCACTCCTACTCGCCTGCAATGGTTAGTTCAGACTCGTTACAACATCCAGATCCACCTGGAGCTCGGAAAAATACGTCACGAGCCAAAAATCAAGGAAAAAATGGCAAGGTTCCTTTAGTCATTCCAGACAGCGAATCGACGGACGTGAGCGTTATATCGTTGGATGATTCTAGTCTTATGCAAAGCCCAAGGCGCAGCCAGTTCGAGGCTAATGCCGCAAAAACAACTAGCACTCCCAACACCTCTGTAGCTGCCAAGCCAAGAAAGGAATCATCCAAATGTAAATCCAAGCTGGAAAGTTCATGTACTAGCCCTGTTCAGAGGCCAAGTCGCAGATGCCGACCCGCCGAACTAAAGGAGCCCAGTCTAAGGGACAAGATGCGAAACGATTCGAGCACATCCAAAAAGAAAGAAAAGGCTAAGAAGTAATTCATCGATCTAATATTAGTGACTTAATCCAAATTGTAATCGTATTCGTAATGTCAAATGTTTTATGTTAGTCGATATTGTTAAAATAGTTAGACCATGACTGTAAAGCCAAGAGGAAGCGCCACTCTGGACCTCTGGAGGGAAATGACCTTCCAACGAACCCAGCGGAACGACTGACTAAAAATGTAACCAATTTTTTAGTTAATTTTAAGTGAAAATGTTTTACAATTTTCTTGGAAATTTTAATTAGAATTAGAAATCAAATAAAATATAAATTTTAAATGCATCCCATTTTAGATGCCAATTTGGACAAATGTTGTATCTTTAAGAACAAGTTTGTAATAATTACGATTTCTTTTAATAAAACATACACTAATATTTTTTTGATAATAAATTTTACTTGGGATAAATTTAGACTCGTCTTAGATGCAAATATTTTTATATTCGGATACATCGTTTGAAAAAATTTACAAAAGACCCTGGTCGAACCAGAGTTCGGTTCGATATACATTTAAATACAGTAGCAAATTGAATGGTTTTTACGTAAGCAGACGGTAATTGCACTTGGCGAGCAGAGGACAAGGATGCGGCGGTGGTCGCCACTTAGACCACCTCGAACTTTCCCAGGCAGCAGTTCAAATGGTCGCCAGTATGATGATGCGCAGGCTGCTCAGTATTTTCCTTGATCTCGCTTATGATGTCTTGAATCTTATTGATGATTTGTTGCGAGTTTTCCTGTCCTTCCGTGGCGGCCGGTGCTTTGCTGTTAACGGCCGCTTCCTGTGGCTCTACTTGCCCTGGATCCGGAGGTAACTCCACACCCAGGCTCACAACGAGTTTGTTAAGCGCCTCGATCTTCTCGCGCAGCTGCTCGCGTTCCGCCTGCAGCAGCCGCATCTGGGCGGCCTTCTCGTACTCCCGCTGCTTGAGCATGCGGCGTTGCGTCTGGTAGAGGGCGATGTACTCGCCTATGGTCTCCGTTTCGCTCTGCAGCTGCAACACCAGGTGCTCCAAGCTGTGCTTTTCCTCGGTCAAGTCGGCCACCTGGCTGATCAACGTTGTGAAGCGGGATTGCAACCTCTCGACGGCCTCGGCGGTGGGCAGAGTACCTGAAGGTCTAAGCTTTTGAACAGAATTGTGAGGATGGTCGTGGGCATGGTCGTGGTTATGGTCATGGCCATCGTCATGTGAATGATTATGGTTTTCCTCGGTTTCATGATCATGTGAATGATTGTGGGAATGATCTTGCGAATGACAATGGGAATGGTCAGCGTGATCGCCATGGTCATGATCGTGGCTTTCCAACTCTGCTGCATCTTTTCCATCAATCTCTCCTCCTCCGTCTTCTTTTGGCTTCTCCTCATGGCTATGATAAGCCTTGGCCTGAAATGAGATCTTCTTAGAACCAAAATTTTATCAAAACTGGCAAAGATCCACCCACCTCGTAGTGTTGCAGGCGGTCCAACTGCTGCTGCATCATCAGCTGCTGTCGTTGGAGCTCCACATTTTCGTGGGAGAGCCGGATCATCTCCTCATCCTTGAACTTGAAGCGCTCCTCATTAGCGTGCAGCTTTTGCTCCATACTCGTAAAGTTCTGACGTATTTCGCGATTGGCAAACTCTTCGGCATCCAACTTTATGACAAGCTCGGCCTTGTCATTGGTTAGCTGGACAAACCGCTGTTGAAGTTCATCCAGCTGCTGCTTCATCTCAACGTTCTGGGTAAGGGCCCGAGACGCAGCCACCTTGTCCGACTCCATGGTGGCCAGCAGCTTGGTCTGGTCCGGTTGTACCGCCTGTAAGCGTTCCAGTTCCTGCTCCAATTCGGCCAGCGCCGCATCTTTCAACTTCAGCTGGTCGTCCTGCGACTTGATCTTCAGTTGAAACTCGTGACGTTCGAAGTCCAAGTCGTTGAGACGTTCCTTCAAGGCGCCCAGTTGCTCCTCCAAAGCAATCTAAAATGAATCAAGTTGTCATCAGTGCCTTAAGATCAAATATCTAGTGCCTACCTTTTCCTGTTCAACTCCATTCTCCTCCTTTTTGGGCACATCTTGGTTGGCTTCTTTAAACTGAGCCTGCATACTCAGGTTTTTTTGAATGTCCTTCTCCAGACTGCTCACGTGCTCCACCAGTTGCCTTTCCCTCTCCCGAAGGGCATTTAGCTCTTCGGAGAGCTCGGCGTTTCGCTCGTTGAGCTTGGCGATCTCACCGCTCTGGTGCTGCACATAATTTTGGTACTGACCGGCAGCCTGTTCCTTGTCCTGCGCCAGTTGGCCCACCATTGCCTGGAGATCGCGTATCTGCTGCTCATACATGTACTGGGTCTGCACCAACGATTCTACACGATTGTCGGAAGTTATGTTGGACTCGTCAGAGAGTTGACGCAACTTGAGCTGTGCCATCTCAAGCTCGTTGGTTTTGCTGGCCAGCTGTTGCTGCAGGTCCTCTTGCCGAAGGTTGACCTGCTTGAGCTGGGCCTCCAGTTCATGAAGATGCGTATTCTGGTCCGCGATTTGTGCTTGAGACTGCTGTAATTGGCTCTGGAGCAGGGTACTGTGCTGACGTTGCTGCTCGGTCTGTGACTGCTGCTCTTGATGATACAGCTGCAGTTGATCCAACCGTTGCTGGGTCTGGTCCTTTAGGGTGCGCAGCTCCTCGAGTTCCAGCTCGCGCTCACGGCATGTAAGGCGTGCCCTGGTCAGTTCGGTATTCAGCTGCGCCTTCTCGGCAATAATAACCTGGAAGGCCTGCAAATTGGACGCGTCAGCACTTCCGCTGTTCTGTGTGGACAGTGGTATGTCTGGTTCCTGGTTGTTTGTGAAAAACGAGGCGGCTGTAGGCACAGCTGTTTGCTCCTGTGGCGGCAAATTGCCGGCTCCGGCTCCAGCAGCTCCATTGGTACTAGTCTCACAGTCGGAGCGTTCCGACAAGTTGCTGGCTATGCTGACCGTGGACGAGTGCGAGGGCAGGGGCTCCTCGGACGCCGGATGGCTGTTGTTGTTGTTGCGCAGCTGGTACTCCTTCAGCTGGGTGTCCACATAGAACAGACAATAAACAAAATCAATATTAGGCCAATTCTGTCCACGTCACAAGAGCAAAACAAAACGAAGGAGTGCTTGTGGCAGTCCATTTTCGCACCTTCTTCCTTGCAGCGGCCAACTTCTGCGCCTTCGCATCCTGTGTGTCATCGGGCATGGCCTTCGGATTAGGCGGAGGGATATCTTAGTCTCCGGGGTCCTAAGAAATACGAAATATGGTTTTTTATTTGGGTTTCAGTTTTTATTGTTTTTTTACTTTTCCAACACCGGTGCAACGACTTCAAGCTTCGTTTTCCAAAACTTGAAAAATATTTATCGATATCTGGTTGGCAGCTCTTATCGACGGTATCGCTCCAAAGAGACCGTTAAATTATTTAAACTATTTAAATTTTGAAAATAAGTCTAGCTGTTGAAATTGTATAATCTGTAAAATTGTAAAAAATAAATTAAATAGCTTAATTAAAAACTTTGATTTATAATTTCAATTTATGTAAAATAACTAAGATGTTCCACAGCAATTTACATATTTTAGTTTCACTTTTATCTTTAAAATTTAAATTTTAAATTAAAAGAAACCAGCAAACTAGTTCGATTTAAATATTGCGATTAATAAAGCTACTCTTCAGATTCATCTTCCTGCTTTAATCGCCTCGAATTCAGTCCAACCCAAACCTCACCAGATATCAGACCTCGCTCGCCGGAAAATGCCTTCCTGGCTTATCACTTGTCTGGCGTTAGGCTGGCTCTGCCTGGTACCATCGCCAAGTTTCGCAGAGCCTCCAAATGCTCCAAAGTCACGCTACAACATCACCTTTGCCCAGTTGGACACATGCGACAGCTACTCCATCGGGCAAAGTGGATATGCCTACCGCGATTTCTTCATGGTCCACTCCCTGGACAACAACAAGGCACGAAGTGGGGAGAGGCTCCACCTAAAGTTCTACGTGCTGACCTCCATGGACGCTCACATACTTCTTTCAGTGACAGATCGGCTTCGTCCCACAGATCGGGTATACGAGATAGGTAAGGGATACTGCGCTTGATATCTAAACATTTTATGGAGCGATTACCAATACGCTTTCTTGCCCGTAGTGATAGGAGCTGGCGGAAATACGTTTTCCGCTATCCGTACAGCCATGGGCTTGAGGCGCGTTGCCACCAACCAAGATCGGAACTTGCTGTCGGTCTACGAGCCAACGCCCATTGAAATCGTACAGACTCAGAGTAAGTCTCCCCCAGTAGTATAAAAGGGAATCATGTCTTCTTGTTTCTGTCCTAGATGCCGAGCTATTTGTCTACATACCCGGCTTCAAGAAGGAACCGCTTCTGCAGTTTGTGGACTCTTCCGCCCTCAACATAAACTACATTAGCTTCAGCTCATTTGGCTCGAACACAGCTCGCTGGTTCTACGATTGCGGCTTTGATGGATTTGGTTGGTTTCTTACCCATTTTAAAGACAAAAAACCACTCATATTTCATTTTAGATAATGAGTTGTCCCCCGATAAGCCCGAGCCCTTGGTGGAGCAGAAGCTATTGGACTACATCAATCTGCGTGGGGAGAAGGCCAGTCAGCCGGGAAATCTGAGCTCCTTGAAGTTCCACTTCCGACCGCTATCGGTCGCATACGAGCCAGAGAACTCCTGGCTACACTCAACTCTTAACTTTATTTTGGTACTCCATAATCTAATTTCATTTTATTTACAATTTCTAAAATTTCATTCATCCAGCACTGGCAGGATGATAGGTTGAGCTGGAAACCCTCGGATTACGGCCATTTGGAATCGTTTGAGCATAGAGACCTGAAAATATGGACTCCCCAGATGTATACCCTTAACGGCGCCGACTATTCTTTACAAAATTTGCTACAATACCGAGGCGAGTTGCGGGTTTATTCAAATGGAAATGTAACTATGTATCTAAACAAAATGTGGCTGACCAACCGGTGCGTGGACACTGCCCGAAACTGGCCACGCGAACGAGTGACGTGCGACATCCAACTGGGCGTCATCGGCGAGGTGGGAATGGAGAGCTTGCCGCTAATCTACGATGATCAGCGCAGTCCAGTGGAGCCAAATGAGCACGTGAACACGCCGTCGGGCTGGACCTTCAACGACATCAGCGTCCAGCAGGTGGTGAACGGATCGCAGAGCCGGTATTCCCCGAAACACATACTCCAGGCGATGGCCGGCGACGTGGTCATTGAGTTCACGATGCAGAGAAATAGCCAGTTCTACATGAGTGTTTTCTTTGTTCCGCTGGCAGGTAACAATTTTTATTTTAAACTTCATAGTTCTTTTTCCAATGGAGACTATTCATTAATTGGTAATTCTTCAAATTATATTTTCAATGAAAATGTCTTATCCGGTTGCCGTTCAGCACCCATTATCATTCATTCTTTAGCTTTCAATGAAAAAGTTGCTATCAGACTGCGGCTTTGATTGTTCCCCCCAATCTTGATCCTTTTCAGCCTGCCAGATATTTGTGATCCTGTCTTTTGTGCTGAGATCTACCCGCAGGAGTGCCCTCATCCTCATTTCCCTCCTGATAACCGCCTGGGCCCTGATGTACATAACGCGCCACGCCCCTCCGTTCTATGTGCCGGCCTTGAGTAAGTTGATAAAAAACAAAGTCATTTAAACAAATAAATCTAAGAATTCCTAATAATCTTCTCCCATTTCCGACAGTGTCTGACTTCAAGGTTCTCATGATGGTCGCCACCTACTGCTATATCCTACACATTGCCATTATGTGGCTGGAGCTCTACCCTCCCCAGGCAAAGGCCCCCAACTGTCTCCTAACCGTTATGAACTCAAACGTCCTTCGGTTCGTCCTGGGACTGCGTTTGGCTGATGTGAGTATTTTCTTTGGAATTATTAGAAACTATAATTATTTTCATTCAAAACCCCTTCAGTCAAGCGTCTATTGCGATGTCCAGGAGAAGCCCTGGCCCCATCTCGCCAAGATCCTGAACAACCTGAGCTCGATCGTGGTTATCATCACTTTTGCCATCCAGGATGCCACTAGTATTTGAAAAATGAGATTTTTCTTTATTTTGCACTTGACAGAGTATTAAAGGTTTCTTAAATAAATAAGAAGTTTTCAGAGAACAATATGGGAGTCCGGGATGGAGTTGGGAAGAGGGGAAGAATACTAAGGAGAACGTGCCACGGCTGTCGCGAATCCTCGCCGTTGTCCCCACTCCCCTGCTTTTCTACAGGTCGGAGCGGTGCTGTTCCTCGGGCTTAGTGATAGCCATAGTAGTCGTCGTGACCGCCAAGAGACAGGGCTGGAGCGGCATAGGACTTCAACAGCGTGGGAGCAGCGTAGCTGATGGCTGGGGCGGCATAGGACTTGACCACTGTGGGAGCGGCATAGCTTATAGCCGGGGCAGCGTATGACTTGATGATGGGCGTGGCAATTGGGGCGGCGTACGACTTGATGATGGGCGTGGCGTGGTTAACGACCTGCACAGGAGAATCAGATTATAAATTTGAAACTCGAATCCTGGGAGTTCTGTAATCTCACCGAGCTAAAGTGGGAGTAACTGGTGGCCGGAGCTGCCACCGCCTTGACCACTGGAGCAGCCACTGCCACAGGCGCGGCGTAGGACTTGACCACTGTGGGAGCGGCGTAGCTGATGGCAGGAGCTGCGTGGGCATAGCTGATGGCGGGGGCTGCGTGGGCATAGCTGATGGCCGGAGCAGCATAGGATTTGATCACTGGAGCAGCTGCAGCATAGCTGATGGCCGGAGCAGCATAGGACTTGATCACTGGAGCAGCTGCAGCATAGCTGATGGCCGGAGCAGCATAGGACTTGATCACGGGAGCAGCTGCAGCGTAGGTGATGGCAGGAGCATGGCCGTAGCTGATGGCCGGAGCGGTGTGGCCCAGTCCGTAATCGAGGAGACCAGGAGCGGCGTTCGCCACGGCCAGCAGAGTGGTAAGGACCTTCAATAGCAGTGGGATATCAGATAGCCGCTAGTCTTGATCCTGACCCGCGATCCTTGCACCTTTCTGTACTCACCAGAAGTTTCATGCTGAATAACGAATTGGTTGGCTTCGAGGGAGAATTGCAACTGTAAATGGATTGCGTGCATTGCGTTACTTTTATAGTGCTTACCGGCAGGCCACGCACTCAATGGACAAGCGGACTCACGGACAGGCGGACAAGTGGACAGAGTACAGATGGCTTGACTAGATTTCGATCTGAGCGTCGGACAAACAGTCAACAAAGCGGGCCAACCAGCACCAATTTGTGAAGTATCTCGGTTGAAGTGAAACTGCAATTCTCATTGCAATCGCCACTCGGAGCTCGAAGTTTGGAGCATGGAGCTTGGAGAGCACCAAATCGGATGACGCAACTAGGTGAAGCTGTAGCTAAGGCTGGAGCTAGACCTGGGACTTGAGAGCCGAAGGCAGACCACTTGCCGGCTAAGGAGCCGCAGGAAAGGCCTTCTCTGTATTTCCATTTTCCACCATCACCCAGTGCTCCAAATTGGAAAGCCCGCGCTAATTGATTTCGCTGATTACCTGGCCAATTTCGGGCAATGCCACGCCCCGCCAACACAACACAAACCACTTAATTAGCCACCGGAGAATGCCGTTCAAATTGTTCTGGCTAAATAGTTCTTGGTGTTGCTGGGAAATTCTCCCCAAATTGCATAATGAACGCTTGCCAAATCGGCGAGCGCCAAGCGATGCAATCCCTGGCATTCCTCCGATCTAGACGAGCTTCATATTTTTTTTATGTTTATCGTGCCACAAATGCCGCTGCGTGCCGCATTTGACCATATTTGATGGGCGATTTCAGACGCACTCTCGCAGTTGCAGTTGCAACTTGCAATCGCAGCCACGCCGTCTCGTCTCGAGGACACTTCATGGTGGCGGGGAATCAGGCCCCAGAAACAGCTCTCGATTTCTGTTTCGACTCAATAAACGACTGCCGCCCCTTCTCCGTCTCCTTTTCCGGCTGGAAAATCGCCATTCGATTGAGCATCTGGCGGTCCGTGGGATTTTTATGGCAGCCATGATTAACCCCATGGGGTGGGCTGGTATTGAAATGATGACAAGTGAGGGAAACGAATAGGATTTGATTTAACAAGAACTGAAAGAACTACAATTTATTTGTATATTGGGCATCTAAATTGCAAGAGTCATCTCAGCCACTTAACATCAGATCTGTGCCTCAAAGGTGTTAAACGAAACAAATTTGTGAAAATTCATATTGTCTCAGATGGCCGCAACAACGTGCAGCACTTCAACACTGAAGTTCCCTCTCGACAACGCCACAGAGCTGTGGCAGCAACATCTCGACAACACTCGGCACACAAAGCCGCAGAGACAGCCCGAAAGACAGAGTGACTATTTTGACCATAGTTCGAGCATAAATCATGCCATCGGAATGTGATTTATGCGAAATCTATTAGCAAATATTAAGTCAATAGCAGCAATTGTTGCCAATGGACGGCGACTGCCAAACAAGTGTTCCACGTCCAGTGTTCCGATGCGGGCAGATCAGTAAAAAGCGGCGTGTCGACTCATAAATAAAAGATTTCCCGGCCACTGCCCCACATTCTGGTGGGGCACCAGGTGGAGCTCAATTTTCTGGCCATCAGTCCAACCAGAATATGGTCGAACTGCTATACTAAGGACCCTTCTTCGTTAGCCTGAGCCCTTTTTTGGCTTAAACGAATGCCAAACGTTGTTTTGATCGAGCCAAGTCTTTAGCCGCTTTTGGCGACCGGGCGGAGCACGTTCCAAAATGGGCGCAAAATACTGCGGATTTTGGATGACGGGCCTAATTAGCCGGTGGTCAGAGAATGAGCTGATTGCCCAATCAGCGAGCCCCCTTGTGTAGAATTCTTCTCGCATAGTGTGCAATGTTGCACGCTGCGTATGCGTTATATCCCCTGCCTCGCTGCCCCTTCCGATTCAATTAATTAACGGCTGTTTGCTGCATTTGACTTGCAAATGCCACACGAGCTCCAAAACGTTGCAAAATGGAAAAACGCTGCTTAATTAAATCAGAGACAAACAGCCGAAACCGCGTGGCATTTATAACGCTAGCCTGCATTAATGAATGAATCGAGTCAGTTCGAGTGGACATGGATATGGATATGGACTTGGACGTGGATGTGGACTTGGAAGCCAGATGTGGCAGCTAGAGTCTGACGTGACTGGGATCTAGTAGCCGGCTGCCACTTTGCATTTGGCAATCCCACTCAGTCAATCATGAAATGCTCGCGTTTTTCTCACCTGCCTGCCGTGTGGTTTGTTTTTCTCTTGACAGGATTTCGTTGCAAGGGGCTTGTTTATTGGCGATGACTACATCCAAGTGGTCGGCTGTAAAGTGGTTATTGCCTTGATAATGGCCAACCGCCGGAGTGGCTCGTAGGAATGTCCAAAATACCATACAGTTCTTAAAGGCTCGTTAAGATTATGATTATTGCCTCTTATATAAGTCAGAGGCGTTGATTAATCGTTTATCTTTGAGTGGGTAAACAATTTTCATTCAAAACTTTTTTAATATTTGTTCCTTTTTGCATCGCACAAAAACGGGTTTTCTTTTTAAACTTAAATAGCTTTAAACGCCGGAAAATGCTTTTGGTTTTCAAACCTGGCTTGACTCAGTGGCGACACCTAGCGTCACATTTTCCACAAGCAGTTGGTTAGCCCTGTCTTCAAAGGCGGGACATTTGAAAATAGGTGTCTGATAGATAAAAGTGCCAAAGTAATTATAGATAATGTCAAATTAATCTGGCATACCCAATTGACTCAACACTTTTTTCAAATTATTAGTGTTTATTAATCAAGATCATATATAGGTTCTTCTTATACATAAATTTTGCTAATGAAATATAAGTCTTAACTTCTAGATCTTCTTTCCCCCGTCGTTCTCAACATTCTTCACTTTGCCGCCGGACAAGATGTGTTGAATCTCCAGTATCGTCTTGCCCTTGGTTTCCGGTACGCAGAAGATCGAGTAGAAGAATGCTATAACGGCCACCGCGGTGAAAATCCAGAAGGTCGGACCCGGTCCGATAGATTCCTTAAGGATCGGGAAGAGCAGAGTAACTATGAAAGCCGACAGCCAATTGCTGGTGCCGGAAATAGATCCCGCCACACTCTTGACATCCTCCGAGAAGAGCTCGGCCATCACCAACCAGGGCACAGGTCCGAAACCGATAGAGAAGAAGACGATGAAGATGCAGATGCTGGCAATGGGCAGCCAGCCAAAGTTGTCCATCGATCCAGGGCTGTGTCCGCTCATATAGAAGTAAACACCAAGCAGGGCTGTGGTAACGGCCATCAGGAGGCCGGAAATTATGAGCAAAATCCTACGGCCGGCCTTGTCGATAATAACCACTGCCACAAATGTGCTGACCACTTGAGTCACTCCAATGATGATCGAGGCATACTTGCCGGGCAGACTGGCACCCACATCCTCGAAAATGGAGGCGGAGTAGAAGAGGATGGCGTTGATTCCGGTACACTGCTGGAAGACCTGCAGCAGAACGGAGATTCCAAGTCCCTTCAGGACAATAGGGCGACGCAGAGCAGCCAGAATGTTGACCTGGAAAAAAACAGATGAAGTTATTATTGTACTCCAAAAAATTTGGAAAAAATTTTAAAAATAATTTGTGTCTAGATTTTGATGCAGATTGAAGAATCGATCCACAAATCGTTTGAGGTATTCCGCTTAAGAATCGGATGATTATTGGCAAAAATATAGCCATAGCAGGGGGCCATATACTGCTCCCATGCATTTTTCGAAATTTTGAAGGGGACCCCTCAGAAAATTTAACAAAAAATGAAAAAAATAATTTGTTTCTAGATTTTGATGCAGATTGATGGAGAATCGATCTACAAATCGTTTCAGGTATTCCGCTCAAGAATCGGATGATCTTTGACAAAGATATGGACATCGCAGGGGGCCATATACTGCTCCCATGCTTTTTTCGAAATTTTGAAGGGGACCCCTCAGAAAATTTGACAAAAAATCTAAAAAATAATTTGTTTCTAGATTTTGATGCAGATTGATGGAGAATCGATCTACAAATCGTTTGAGGTACTAAGCTCAAGAATCGGATGATTATTGACAAAGATATAGTCATCGCAGGGGGCCATATACTGCTCCCATGCATTTTTCGAAATTTTGAAGGGGACCCCTCAGAAAATTTGACAAAAAATTTAAAAAATAATTTGTTTCTAGATTTTGATGCAGATTGATGGAGAATCGATCTACAAATCGTTTGAGGTATTCCTCTCAAGAATCGGATGATTATTGACAAAGATATAGCCATCGCAGGGGGCCATATACTGCTCCCATGCATTTTTCGAAATTTTGAAGGGGACCCCTCAGAAAATTTGACAAAAAATTTAAAAAATAATTTGTTTCTAGATTTTGATGCAGATTGATGGAGAATCGATCTTCAAATCGTTTGAGGTACTAAGCTCAAGAATCGGATGATTATTGACAAAGATATAGTCATCGCAGGGGGCCATATACTGCTCGCATGCATTTTTCGAAATTTTGAAGGGGACCCTTCAGAAAATTTGACAAAAAATCTAAAAAATAATTTGTTTCTAGATTTTGATGCAGATTGATGGAGAATCGATCTTCAAATCGTTTGAGGTACTCCGCTTAAGAATCGGATGATTATTGGCAAAGATATAGAAATCGATGTAGGTCATATTGGACTCCTCTTTATAATCTAACACTTTGAAGAGGTCCTTCAGAAAATTTTTCAAAAAATCTTGATAAGAGCAATATGTATTTGGTTATGAAAAGTTTTGTAAGACGTGGAGACACTTCTAAACTAAATAACTAATTGTAGCGTTTCACGAGCAAGAGGTGCTTCAAGTCGGAAGATTACATAAAAAAGTATTTAAATTTATGGGAAAAAATAGCTTATAGGTTTCTGTGATTTAATACCTCAGCCTAGATTTAATCTTAGTAATCAAACATTTTCCCTATCAAGATAAAAATCTTTTTAAAGGTATTATCATACTACTATTATGCAACAAAATTCAGCACATCGGAAACAACATTATAGGCAATGCTTACCTTTTCCTGATCGTTTTGCCTTTTAGACTCCTCGATGATCTCCTTCAGCTCGTCGTCGATGTTGGCACCCTTGCCACGTAGCCACTGCAGGGACTTGGCGGCATCGTCGTTTCTACCCTTCAGTGCCAAGTAGACTGGGGACTCGGGCATGAAGAAGTGGACGGTGACAAATATGATGGGGAGTATGGCGCATACGATGTTGATGGGCGTCAAATCAAGGAAAGCTCCCACCAAGTACCCAAACAGCACACCCGACACGATTAGCAGCTGGAAGAAGGAACCAATGGTCCCTCTCAGGGCTGTTGTTGAGATCTCCGTACAGTACATGGGGGCCGTAACACAGAAGGCTCCGCCGCACATGCCCAAAATGAATCTTCCAAAGTACAGCATGATGACGTTCTGGGCGAAAATCATTAGGAGCCACCCCACCATGTAGGGGGGAAAGAGGACCAGCATAGTGGGCCTTCTGCCGATCCAATCAATGCAGAAACCGATGGGAATACAGATCACGGTGGCTCCCAAGGTGAGGAGCGAAGACACCCATCCGAATTCGCCGGATGTCACCTTAAAGCCGTATTCTTCGCCGGAGTACAGCTTATCCTCGACGGGTGAAGACCAGCCGATGGAGGCGCCCATGCAGAGGGCTCCAAAGCTGGCCGATAGGCCCGCAATATATTGGGGCAGTACCGATCCCTTTGACATTTTAAAAAAAGGTGTGTTCTCCTAGATCGTTGCAATCGAACTGAATTCTCCCCGGAACCTTTATTCCGCTGGAAAAATCGCTTTCCATGTGATAACTGATGCGTCGACGCCGCCGTCGCCGTCAACGGCTACGCCGGACTCAAGCACTACACGTCGTAGTCGTAAATCAGGTGTATATAGTTTCCTCCCCAGGTAGAGATGACGATAAGCGAGGAGATTGGAGGGAGCTGGGGGCTCGGGGGACAAAAGCGTCCAAAATCAGTTTAAAGCTGAAGCAGCTAATTAAACGCCCGCCGATATGCTGTCCCGTTTCCCCCAACACATTTCGTTACCAGAGCAATCAAGTGCTTCTATAACGATCCCCCGATTGTGCCCTGCAGCAAAGGTCTAACCGACAGCCCTTCCGTTTGGGAACCCCCCTCGAAAGTGGCTCTTCCATGGGCCCCTTCACTTTGGGATGAATCCGTCAATACTGCAGACTCATTTAACGTTTGGGAGAACTGCCATTGTTGACAAAGCTATGAGGCTCCAAATGAGAGTGACTGAGTTGTAGGAAATTATAGATATTTTACATATTTAATGGGGTCTGTTGAGAGTTTTTATTACACATCCCAAAATAATAATCGGCAATTAACGAGCTTGAAGCGCTAATCATAACAAATATGTAAAATCAAATTAAGTTTTTTGAAAACTATTGGAAGTTCCTATAATTTTTAAGATTTTATCCCCACCTTTGCATCTATGTATCTTTTAGATATAAATGAAATATCCAATTTTTCCCATAAGTTTGATATACTTATAATATTTAATGTGTAAGACCAAAAAGAGTAACTCATATTCGACTAATTTTTATAATCAATTGCGGGATTTTTGTTATTTACGGCAGCACAATTGGATCGGGGCTGCCGTGTGAAAGGTAGATAATGGTACAACCCTACGGAAAATAATTGAATGAGCGTAATTCGCTTGAATTCGCGGCATCTAATCTTTCTCACAACCAAAATCAGCATCATAGAAGGAATCACGCCCAAAACACATGTAGATGTGTCCCGTCTCGGGATTCGAGCGCAGTGACAAATTAAAAACACCCGCGAACTACCAAACCACCTATGTATGTTCATAATATCGACGGTCACCTGGCGGTCAAGCGCCTATCGGCTATCAGGGAATAGCCCATTGATGTTCTTCACGGCTAGGTGGAGGACTCTTTTTGATAGTGGGATTTGGAGAGTGAAGAGCAGGCTCGGCCCAGATAAGCGCCGCTGTGAGATAATATTTGGCTGAGTAACCCATTTTCAAGTAGTCCCGAGTTCTCCTTGTGGGCCAAATAATCGAATAACATTGGGTAAAAACCTTATCGTAACCCCACTCCCAGAAAGAGGGCCTTCTGGGTAAAATGCAGTCAAGTGCAATTTGGTGCGATAATACTGGGCTCCAGAGGGCAGAATGCGCTTCGAGTATCCACTGGAGCCGATCGATCCGAGTAATTTCCTCATGATTTACCATCACCGCGTAAACACTTATCATATCCTCAGTTGGAGTGTTGTTTTTTTTTGTTTTTTGGGTAAATACAGTTCTTTATTACGTTGTAATACAAATTCTAAACAAAACGGTTACTCATCCTTCCCTCGTCGATAGCCCAGAGCTTATGGACTTTGCTTGCATGATTATATAATGAAGGATCGATGCAGATGTTAGTGGCTTTCTTTATTTCTTGCGTTCCGCCTCCTCCATGGCGCGGAGCATCTTGGCGTCGTGCTGAGCATGATGTTCCCTAATGGCGCGCTGCAGCTCCTCGTGGTGGCTCTTGCTCTCCGGCGGATACAGTTCCCGCTTCTTCTTGGTCACCCACTCCTCAAAGTACTCCGGCTGGTTAAAGATGTGGAACATCGCCACCGGGAACGCCATGTACATGCCCATTTTGGCCACCTCCAGCACCCAGGTACCCATTGCTTTTAATTAGGTCGCTGGACACGCTCGAAAATGTAAATAAACGTTAGTTTCCGGCAACTATTTGGGTTTACGAATAATATCAACAATAATCATATGTTCAGCAGTGTTGGAAATGACAACACAGCCTCCGAACAAGTGTTAGCCAACGCACCGCTTATTTAAAAATAAAAACCAAACTTTGCATTATATATAATTATATATTATTTTCTTGTAAAATTTGAGACATGCATTTATAATGTTAGACCTTAACCTAGTTTTCTTCGAACGCGGCATTGTAAAAACGAGAGAACGGGTCTGCCGAAAATATTTCTTTTTCACGGAAGCAATCTTTTTCTATAACATTTTGATGAGAAGGGGATTTTTTAAAACCGTACAACGGTTTTAACGTTAGATTATGGTACACTTAAGATCAATGTTTTCTCAATATTTAAAGCTAAAGGGCTGTCTCTCCCGGATACTCCTCGGGAGAAGTAATTAGAAGTTTTTTGGTTCGTGAGTGCTCCTCCTGAACGCCATTTTCCATGTTCTCCTTGTTGTCTTCGCCTACGGCGTCTGCCGGCATGGCTGATTTGAAAGCAGATCTCTTCCGACCATTGGAGCTGGCAAAAGGCGAGGCCATGGAGGTGGAGGGCTCATTGCCATCCAGACAGTACAGAAGACTGGGACTCAGATCGGACTCATCAAGATCATCGATGTCCTGCGTGGTGCTCGCCCCGCCAAAGTCATCTGAACGGCTGGCGAAGGACAAGTCCGCCGGACTGGCTGTTAGCACACTGCGTGTGAGCAAATACTCCCTGGGAACTAACCAATTAGCACGAGTACTACGCTTCTTGTTTTATAACTCACTTGAAATCACTAGATAAGGCATTGGAGGGCTTGGAATCCTCGTGGCTGTTGCTGTTACTGCTCCGGCTCGTCGTTCTGTATCTGGAGTTCAGGAGTCCAAAACTGTGCTGTTGCCCCAAGATCTCCGCGTAGCCACCTAAGGAGGTAGCATCCTCACTGTGCAGCGACGGCGGTTCCAGCTGCTTGGTTGGAGTGCCGCCGATGGAATCTGGCTCCTCCTGCTCGGACAGGCTCAAGTTGAGCTGCTTGTCGCCATTGCCGGCCAAGGCATTGAGCAGCATTACGGGTTTGCGGGAACGGGGAGTCATGATTGATTCCTGAAAGATGCTAAGTATGAATAACTCCATCCGTAATAACGATGTATTTTCCGTACCTGCATCGCCTTGGGCATGCGCTGCGTTGACTTGGTAATCGGCGACATGGATCGCCGACCCAAGTGCAGGGCCGGTGTGCTGGTTATGAGATCCATGTTGCGGTACACACTGCTCTGCAGGATCTGCTGGTAGCCCATGCTCATGGGTGGCAATTCATTGGAGCTGCCATTGTTCTCCGACAGGGTGTCGTCGTCTTCGTCGTCGTTATCATGCTCCTCTTCTACGTCACTGTCATCAACATCCTCTAGTAGGGGAGCTTGGTGCTTGGTCTCAGCATCTCCGCTGGGCCTTCTTCGAAGGGTGGCCGAAACACTGCGCACCAGCCGCTTGGTTGTCTCTGGTGTGCTGAACGGGAACCGTAAATTGCCCATGCTGACACCCTTCATCAGCTTGCGCGTAATTGATCTTCCTACGTGGTGGCTGCTTGCCGGAATGGAGCTGGCCCCTTCCACAATGGGGGTTAAGGCACCGTCGTCGTCGTCCTCCTCCGTGACGTGAACCTGCGGCAGTAGGCTCGAAAGATTAGGCTCCGACTTGTAGCGGGAGGACTGCTGCACGGGCGTGGACGGATTCGAGTACTCCTCCACCGACAATAGGCGGTGCTCGTCCCAGACCACGGTCTTCTTCTCGATCAGTCTGGCAGCCGCAGACATAATCTTCAGCGGGGTGACGCAGCAATCAGCGTCTATTTCGTCCACATCCTGGCCAGCTATGATAGGTTCTCCCCCAACCTCCTTCGACTGCTGGCGGCTTACCGGAGCTGAGATGCTGCCGGTGGCAGCGCAGCTTGAGCTGCTGTCGGAGGAGGACAAGGAGGATTCGATTTTCAGCGAGGCGGATGATATGGACTTCTGAAGCTGATGCAGCGGGTTAGTGGCGAGGGTGACGCTGGTGATGGTGGACGAGACGGTGGTGGTGGGAGTGGGTGGAGTGGGACTCTGGAAGAGCACCCGAAGCTTCGGCTGCTTCACATGCGACATGTTGGGCGTCTTGAGATGAGAGTGATGAGAAACATGCGGTTAGTCAACAAACACAGAACCCAAAAAAAAGCCAACAATACAAACCTCAGCACCTCCGGCCATATGGAAGCTGGGCGGCACCCTTTTCGGAGTACGGGACATAAGACTCTTGTGGAAAATGTGCTTCTTGATGGAGTCACCTAGAGATTTGGCGCTACGAGTGGCCTCGTTGTTCTTGAGCCTGTTCATCACCACCAACTGCAAGGGCGTACCTGCAAAGTAAGGGAATGTTTACCAAATCCATGCTTGCCCTATCTTAGTTCTGGAGCTTACCTTGTCCATTTTGCTTATTAAACTGCTTGATTAGCCGTCGTTTTTTGGATGACTCCGGCATGCTCTGTATGTGAGCATACAGCTGAGCCAACTCTGTGTCCGTGTTATTGGTGTTTGTGGCTGCTGCAGTAGCGGCCCGGTCTACGAAAGTGTACACCGTGTTGACCGTCGAGACGTCCGAGATGGACTCGTCGAGCGTTTGTTCCGGCGACATGGTTTTCTTGCGTTTGCGTTCGAGAAAGTACGCCCGAATGTCGGTAGCCAGTTTCCCCGGAACCTCGAAGATATCCATACCCCGCACAATCATATAGCAAACAATGCTAGCCATCTTCTTGGCTTGGTAGTGCAGTACCTCCGGCGGCAGCTGCCGAGGGCATATGAGATGTGGCGTAAACAAGGTGGCCAGGTTCTCGGCGCTCATCTTGTTACTCTTCTCGTGCTGCGCCACGGCGTGCAGCATTTCAATGATGTGCTGCAACAGCTCCCGATGCTCTTCGGGCAATAAAAGCAACAGCAGCTGGACTGAGCTCAGCAGATGCTGCTGCCGCTCCGCCGGAGCTGCCACCTGCCCGCTCAGGGCCTGACAGAGAGGGGCAATCTGCAGGTGGGCTGGGTAGTGGGCATCTGTGAGTAACGGTTCTGGCAATTCCGAAAGGAAACTTTTGAAGACAGTAGCGCAGTCATGAGCGGAGAAGCCCGCCAGCTCCAGATCCAAGGGCTTGTCGTGCTGGATGTGAAGCCGCAGTTCGTTCTGCCGGGACACAGCTCCAGTTTTGCGAAACAGACCCTCCTGGGTGAGATCTAAAATAGGGCAAGAGTAAGAGAAGCGTTCTTTTGAATGATATCATTCTATGCTTACTCTTTTCCAGCATGAGAAACTCCTTGAGCTCCTGTAGGTGCATCAGAAACCCAGGATCAATCTGCTGCTGTAGTGTTTCGGTTGGGCTATTGCCTACGGATTTGCTGCCCGATCCCGAGGCAGCGGTGCACCCCGTCGCAGCTCCTCCATGACCCAATCGGTGTTTTTTGGACAGACGATTCCACTTCTTGAGTTTTCCCTTTTCCTCGTAAACGATCTCATGACAGGGCAAGTCGAATCTGCAACAGAAGAGTGGTCTGTAATTGGGATCCCTCACTTCCTACAAGCTTGTCCTTACTCATCCGTATTTAATTCCAGTTCAAAGGACAGGTGCATCCGCACCAGTGACTTGTATTTCTCGTAGTTGCAACGGCGCATGCGTGCCGCCAATTCCCGATCGCGAAACTCATTGATGTTGACGTGATCGGGGTCCCGGTCCATACTTAACGAGTACTTCCTGTATACAGGCACACACAAACAACAAAAACAACTACCGATCGAGGCGATAGAAAAAACAAAAAGTACGCAGCAAGGATAATGACAGCTTCGATAATTAAAACATGAAATTGTTCATTTAAAAGCCTACGATCGTTGAACTAAGTCGCCCTGGAACATTTCTGCGACTTTTAAATTAATTACACTTATTTTAACTGTTGAAAATTAAACGAGACGCCACCAAAAGCAGTGTGACCGCGGTCGAGGATCAGATATTACCTATTTTAGTATCGTTTAGCCGAAGATCTGGTAGCCCGAACTAGTTTCTGTTTTATTATTTCTCTGTTGCGATTGGGACGAATTTTCTTTTAAAATACATGATGAAAAACTAGTTCTCATGCTGGAAAAACATTTTCCGATTTTATCTTTGCATTTTCATATAATAGAGGTGCCACATCGTTAAGAAACAGAAGTATTAGTTCTTCCTTTTGATTTTGACGGACATCCCAGTACCATTTATTGAATTATTATAAATATTTTTCAAAAGTGTATCCTTAAAAATCTTTAATTATATTTAATTATTTAAAACTGCCGCGCAATGGAACGCAGAATTTATTTCCATCACGAAATTTCAGTGTTGAAAAACACACTGTCAGTTTAAGTGATGAATAACGCTCAAACTTCTTTTGATTTGTAATTTTAATTTTCGAATTCGTTTTCTGCTTTCAAAAAAGATGAAGACAACGCCAAAAAAGAAGGACGTGTCGCTTCGCCTGCGGGAGCAACGTCGGGAGGAACCTAAGCCGGAGCCCAGCCAGCCGGCGCTGGACGACGACGCCGAGTCTGATTTGCCCATCCGGGGACGCCCGTCAAAGAAGCTACTGCTCCAACAGCAGCAGCAGCGCCAGTACCAGGTCAAGTTACAGCCAGATGCTAAAACTGTGGAGGTCGGCGCTAGTGGTTCGGTGTCTCCAACATCCGGAGGAGGGCGCATCAAGGCGCGCAGATCGCTCTACAAGAAGGGAGTCGGCAGCGGTAGCAGTGGCTCCCAAAAGGCTCCTGGCGAGTCGTACGTTATGCGACTGTTTGAGCGTAGCTTGGACCTATCAAAATACCAGGATGGCACACCTTTGTATCCCATCTGCCGTGCCTGGATGGCTAACCAGCCAAGGAACCCATCAGTGGCATCATTTCAGACAGATGCCTCCGATTCTTCGGTAAAGCGCGAGGACAACGGTGAGGAGGTTCTTGCCAAGTTGCGCAGCGGTGACCTGAAAGTGCTGACAGCGCTGCCCCAGCCTCGCTCCACGGACCTGCCCGTAATACCGCCACGCCTAGAGTTTAGCAAGGAGGAGAAAAAACTGGAAAAGTCTCTGGAAGGAGCTAGTCGCTCCGATCTGTTGGCCTCCAACGTGGCGCGCTGGAAGAAGGTGCGTGGGCACTGGCTAACCCATACCCAAAAGTACGAAAAGGAGCGTTTCGAAGTTATAGACCAGATCATGGATGAAATCTGCCAATCCTGAGCCCTGATTAGAATCATTCAAATAAATTTCTTAAGATACTATAACCCAAATGTTTCTGTCGTGGGATAAGTGGTGAACACGGGTGTTTGTCATTGACTTGAATAGATTTTTATTTGTATGCGTAGAAGATGCGTTTCCATTGAGGATAAATTATTTCTAGTTAGAGCTTTGAGTGTTGTTTGGGTTCAAATGCTGCTGGATTGTTCTGGTTCCGATTTGGTGTTGTTTGCGCCTGTCCGTGTTGGTGTTGGTATACACATGAGCAAACACAGATGCAGCCTACTCGACCTTGAGCAGCTCCACATCGAAGGTGAGGGTGGAGTTGGGCGGGATGACGCCCGGGTGGCCACGGCTGCCATAGGCGTAGTCCGGCGAGCAGATTAACTTAGCACGCTGGCCAACCGACAGCTGGGCAACACCCTCGTCCCAGCCGCGGATGACCTCGCCCTTGCCGATGGTGAACTTGAAGGGCTTGTTGCGGTCGCGCGACGAATCGAACTGCAACAGGATGTTAAATTATTTATCAACGTAAAGGATACAAAACTTAAAAATGGGAACCTACCTTGGTTCCGTCGTCCAAGGTGCCGGTGTAGTGGACAGTGACCTTCTGGCCATTTTTGGGGAAGGTGCTGCCTGCGGGGGGAGAGAATACTTTGCATTAAAATCGAGTATTTAAGTGTGAGAGCGCATGGTGAGGCAAATGAACTTTTTTATTAGGTGCACGGAAAAAAAGCTACCGCAAGCACACATACACACACGCCGGGCTCCACATACATGCGTGTGTGAATACATGGGATTTGAGCGGGACGGCTATAGGGATAGGGGTAATTTTCCGACTCATGCACCGCAAGCGACGCTATAGGTCACGCACTTTATTTAATTGAAGTAGGTGCATTCGCAGCTAGTTTCTTTGTTTGATAAGTATATCTAACTTTATTCTGTACTTACCATCACCGGGAGCAATTGGAACAACTTGTACGCCCATTTCGATTGGTTTTTTTTTAGAGCAAAATGCCGAGCGGTCGCAAGCACGTTGAATTTCAGAGCGAAGTGTGGCCAGTCGGAATTTCAAGCCTTTCGATAACTTTTCGCTGACAGCTAGTGGTGGCCCTCTGCTATAGCTACAGTAAGCACCTGATACGATAAACATCGTTTAACTTATACATATGGTTTATTTAAATTTAATACAACGTATTGTAGCTTTTTCTCATTTTTTATTGCTCCACTTTAATCCCGTTTTTGAAATAAACGGGAAGTCCATTCAAAGTGAAACCACCTTTTCTGTTTTCCATCTTAACCTCGGTGACTTTAGTCGGCGGGAAGCGCTCGCCATGCTGGTTGATCAGGAATCTGTAGTCTACGGTGAACATTGCACTAACCAAGCACCTCCTACAGAGATTCCTCAGGGTCCCAAGCCATTGCTGGTAAAATCCATACTTGGACAAAAACTGCTTCCGGCTGGGGTGGTCCAGCCAAAAGAACTCGCTGAGGGTATCCAAGGCAATTAGTTCCACAGTCGAGTCGGAAGCCACCATGTACTTTACTTTCCGCAGACTACTCCTCACGTCATCGTTGGAAAAGCAGTCTAGGATCTTTACCCGGCTCACACACCTCTTCGAAATCTCTATCAACTTCGATTCTGAAGATGGTTCCTCAGCATCCTCTGCCGCCTTGGAGTGGGACCTGAGCTCGGCCAAGACAGCTTTTCCAAGCGACTCCTTGGTGATCTTGTGGCTAAGGTTGATGAGAATGATGGACATCTGTCGGCCACCATATTCATAGGGTGCCAAGCAATGAGCCATTAGTTGTTGCAGGACTTGGCTCTTCCCGCTGTTTGGAGGCCCAGAAATCTCGGTCAGGGATTGCTCCTCGACGCCACATGGCCCAAAAACGGTGGAGTGCAGTTGTCCAGAAACCATGGCGCAAAGTTAACTGATCCTGGCGGAGGGCTCCAAACCAGCGGACGCGGTATTTCTTATGGTCCTCACTTCTGGTCACACTACTAAGCATGGGTAAACATTTACAAAAAAGTTTTGGAGGAAATTCACGTATTTGAGGGCTTTTGGGCAGTTATTCTTAATTTGTGACCCAATCGTCCATAAAGGATGTCCAGATAGGACAGCTCAAGGCGGGAGAAAAGCCGGCTGCGCGCAATCAAAATGCAGGACGGTCCTCTGCCGGATTCCGGCAGCGAGGGAGATTACCGTGGCGTCAAAACCGAAAAGATGGACGTTTCTGGACGTGAGGCGGAAGCCCATGAATTAAATTGTACTATTTGCGGAGCCAAGAAAGCATCGCCACTGCTGGACCTGCGAACCAATCAGGCGATGCATCGTCGGCTGAGCCGCGAATGGAAGATGCAGGTAAGAGGCTCTGTGGAAGCTTTATCCAATTCACTAACTCCATATTTGTGTCCAGGCCGATGTTATTCGCTCAACACTGAAAGCCATATGCGTGGAGTGTGTCTGCAAGCTAAACATGCACTCGGAGGTCACGCGGTCTCTCATGCAACGGATGCAGCGGTTGCAACGCTCCAACACTGTGACCACCACTACAGTGACTCCCACTCAGCTTAGTCCCCCTATCGCCGATGCCGAGGTCTCGACCACGTTGATCGATTGCCAGGAGGAAGGAGAACGGCGAAACAGGCACAGCTGTCGCAGCTCCATGTCGTCTCACAATGGTCTGGAGGCCTATTCCGCTCAACCACCCGAATCCCCCTCGGCAACAGAGTCCGGTGGCAGGCACGCCGGCACCCAGTCGGGATGGAGGTGGCGCACGCGGCTGGAGTGCCAGCATTGCGGACGAGCCTATTTCCGGCGGGACTATTTTGCTCAGCACATACGAAGATGCAGGAGCAGCAGAGACCAGACTCGAACATCATGGCCCAAGTGCCGGGTACTCAATGAAGCTAGCATTGATGGCGAGGAGCAGAGTCCCGTCCGCACTTATCACTGCCGATCCTGTGATGAGGATTTTTCCAGCAAAAGCAACCTGCGACAGCACGAACGTTCAAAGCACCGTTCCAAGTATTCCTGTGACTTGTGCGATGCCAAATGTGACACTAAGTACGAATACGAAATGCACCACACCATTTGTAGTGCCAAAAAGGAGGTAAGTACCTCAGGATAGATTCATAATCATTTGGTTTCAAAACGAAACTTGCAGGCCCTTCAAAGGGATGAAGCCTCTCAACCCACGTCGACGGAGCGAAAGGTGCGGTCCACTCGTTCCCGCTCCCGGGCCTGTTCCAATTTCCGAGAGGTAAACGAAACAGTGGATAAGATGGAAGAAGACGACAGCGACGAGGATGACGATCAGGAGGAGGCCATGTACACGCGGCGCATGAACTTCACGGGCGACTGGATAGTGAACCACAGTAGGAGCAATAGCAACAGTGCTCTAAATGTATCCGCCCTCTATGACGACTACGAGCCGGGGGAAACGCACATAACAACGGACAAGGAGTACGGTGCGTACTTGGAGCCATTCAATTAGGTGTTTTTTCTAGCTTGAAGTTGTACTTTTCAGATCTCTACCAGCTGGACCTACTGAAGGCTCAGGTCCGTCTGAATGCCTTCTCCTGCTTTTCCCCAGCCTGCTGTTATCAGACCAACAACTTGGTGGCCCTGATGAAACACGACTACATGCAGCACTGGAAAATGAGCTGGTTCTACTGCAACAAATGTGGCGATGTCTTCACGAGCAAGTGGGTGCCGTTGTCTTATGTTAGCATGTCCACAACCTTCTATACCACTCCTGGTTTCAGAGTTTTCCTGGATTACCACATGCATCGACAGAACCGCGGCCTATTCATTTGCCATAAATGTCGCGACGAGTTCGAGTTCCAGCATCAACTGGACCGCCACCTGCTGCTCCACAGCAAGGGCATCAACTACCACTGCAACTTCTGCCGTTTGGAGTTTCTCAGCGAGTCCAAGCTGCTGGCCCACTGCAAGCGCAGCGGTCACAGTCCGAACGATGAGCCCTTGATCCGGATCGAACGCTCGCTCTCCATTAGCAATATACCTCATCCCGAAGCTGCCCGCAGCACACGCCAGGAGTACCAGGAGCGGGAATTTTATATACCGCGGGTCAAAGTGCCCTCACTGCGCCCGATGCCCTTGCCCAATCACAAGCCATTCCGCTTCTCGATCGGCATTGTGGAGTTTGACGAGGGCAACCCACCCAACTGCGTTGGATGCCATTGAAGCACACCCAGGTCTTTTCTCCCAGTCAGAGCTTGCAATATTAGCCAGTAATTTGTGTCCATTGTCTTTTCATGAAGTCTGATGTTCAAAATCATAGTGATCTTCTATGTTCGCCACCGATCGCGTATTTTTGTAAAAAAAAACCACAAAAAGAAAGACTTTGTATTCTTTTGATTCTTCAGTCAGTTTATTTTTCGTTCTTTCGGGTGTATAAGGATAATTTAGATTGCATTACAACTTGTAGGTTACTTACTAGGGTCTAGGTCTATAACTTGCGTGTGAAGTCGGGTGTGTGGACTGTGGATCCTATGTACAGAGTTTCTCGTATATAACAACTTAATGTGTATAAGTATGTGTTTATATTTAAAGAGCCTATTGCATTGCCCCCAGCGCATGGTTTTCGTTTTGTTTTGTTGCTTAGAAGTAAGTAGTCCTAGTCTAAGGATCGAACTTAAGGTACTCTTAGAACTAATCAATTTGCTTGGAACTTATCGTATAGTTAAGGTTAGGGATGTGACATTTCTTTAGTAATTTGTAATTTATTTAATGTGTTGTGCTCTTGCTTGTGGTACGTTTTGAGTCGGTGTCAGTCTTATAAATTTAACCCAGGACGATCTCTAACAGGATAACATGACAGGCTAACAAGTACATATATATACGCTTGATCTGAGGTAGTTGAGTTCATGTCGGAAAATCATAAACTTAAGGCTTCTCGCTATAAATAATTCTAGTGCTAATAATTTTTAAAACAAATCACTGGCATTTAACAAAGTTTTACAATGTAACGTTGGTAATCATGCTAAGGAGCCTCTTCTGCTCTGCCCACTGCCGCGCCCTCTGACGGCGCCGTCTTCAGCCGCCTCTCCGGGTCCCTTTCCGGATCAGTCTCATGTAAGATATGTTTTGTCGGTGGACGGAGACCCGGGTCGGCGGAGCGAAGCGGCCGTTCCAAGGGCCTACAACTAGCTGGTTTCCAAATTATGGCCTACGAGTGCCTAAGCCTAGCCTTATCCTAACGGTGTCCTATGTCCTACAAGTGTCCTATATCCTAGCGTATTCTGTGTGTATTTTTTTTTTTAATTTTAGGCACAAAGTGATGCTGACAACAATTTAATCTAGTTTTGTGGGTGAGGGGGGGGGGGGTGGTTTGATTCTGGATCTCTGAGGATCGCTGGTGCGGACGCGACTGGGATGAGGTTTATTTCATTTAAAGCTTCACCAACCGCCGAGAGTAAGGACAAAACGATACAAAAAAAAATGAGTCTAAACTGAGCCCGGCCTACTCCAGGGAGTCGAGGCTGTCAGCCGCATACTGCCAGGCCATGGTGAGCGTCAATCAGTCGGCCCGGGCCTGAGCCTCCTCGCCGCCAATTAGCTCGCGCTTCAGTGCCAGGGGTGAGCCTGCCGGTTGGTAGTCCTCGTGCTCCTTGCCGTTGGTCGGAGCACTCCCGGCGTGCTTGATCACGCCCGCTCCCTCGGCTGGCTGCGGGGAGTAGGGTGATTCTGGACGCTCTTTCCGGGCCAGTGAAAGATCCTCGACATGCTCTTGCTCCTGGTCCTCTTCATCGTCTGCGTCTTCACGCTCGTCCTGGTCGCGCTCTCGCTTGATGAGACGCTGCTCGTGCTTCTCCATCTCCATGTCCATGGCCTCCTGGTAGTGGCGTTCAGGACTTGGCGAGCGCATACCATGGTGACCATTAGAATGGTGGTCCGTCTCCGGCGGACTGCTGGACATACGATTGGCGGCAGCGTGGGCGGCGGCAGCCAAAGCCATGGCGTGGAGGGCCTCCCTTCCGGCCATTTCGCCACCGCGATTCTCCAGAGCCTGCTGCAGGAAAGCATGGTCAAGGAGCGCTGCCGCGGAGTGGGGAATGGTGGGTGGCATGCCGTGGTGGGCAGGCACATGATCTCCTCCGGTCTTTGACTTGCGCTCCAGGTGCTCCGGCTGGTGGTGACCATGGCCGTGTCCGTGTGAGTGGCCACCGTAATTGTGGGCAGCAGCAGCGGCGGCTGCGGCCGAGTACGGAGAGTAAGGGGCTCCCGAGGAGGATTCGGCGCCCGGAGGACTGCGCTTAGGTGTCCGGTGGGTGCCCCTGCCCGTGGTAATGTTTAGTTTGCGGACCTTGTCATACAGGGTTCGACTTGGGAGGCCGTACTTCCGGCTGGCCTGCAGGGCACTCATGCCCTCGCGCACCGCCTGGATGGCGCACATCATGTCAGCCCGGGTGTACTGCTTGTAGCGCTTCCACTCCGGCTTCTTGCCTCCGGAATTGCCGCTCTCCGCATCGAAGGAGCCGTCGGTGTGGGGGGATAGCGGCTCCTTGTCGCCACCGTAGTCAGATCCGTTGAAGCTGTGGTCGCCACCACCCATTCCGCCGGCGTGATGGGGGTTCTGCTGCTGGGGATGGGTCGGGGTCTTGTCACCTTTCATGATCTGCAGGGGGCTAGACTGCGACGAGTCTGCTGGGTTGGCCTGGGCTAGGACGTTGCGCAGAATGGGCGTGTCCCGAGTGCCACTGAGCAGCATGCTAGATATGGCAGATAGCTTCTTGCGCTTGAGAGGATTCATGTCGGCGGCGGATTCGTAGACGGAGTTCAGCATGGCAGCGGCGGCGGCAGAGGGCGAGAGTGGCCACTGGCCACCGCCGGACTCTCCTGCCCCCGAATGGGGTACCGAGTGTGAGGGGGCGTGGGTGGGAGTCAGCGGTGCCTCAGTGGAAGGCATCTGACCTGCAGGGAGCTGGCCGGTGGGGTAGTGGCTGAACCCTGGCTGATAGGACGGGAACGGTGGCGGCGGTGGCGAGCAGCTGCTCGAAATTGCGGCACTGGGCGAGATGTGGGTGGATGTGGAGATCACGGACGAGGAGTGCTGCTGCTGATGCGAAGCCGAGCCGTTCAAGGGCTTGCCCCCCACCGCACCCGAGCTGGATGTGGGCGTGGCACTGGTCTGGTGGTTAAACTTCATGAGGTTGTCGTACAAGCCCTTGACCTGCAGCTCCTTGGCGGTGCGCAGGATCTCCGGCTCCTGGCTCTTGGTAACGGTCGTCTCGCCAGTGTACATGTACTGGAGCAGGGCGGCAATCTCGAAGCTCTTCACGCCTGGTAATATGATGCTGCAGTGATCCTGCGGCACATCCCGGAGGATGTGCTGGAAATACGGCGAATTGGCTGCCAGTACCACGCGATGGGCCTGGAACTGTTCGTCGTCCACCACAAGGGTGCAGTCCACATAGCTGCCCACCTCGTGCAGGGCGTGCAGGATCTGGACCAGGTTGGTCTGGTGGTTGTTCCACCGGAGGCAGTAGGTCTGGCCCACTTCCGCCGGACCGCCACCACCTCCAATGCCACTGCTGGCTACAGGCGCCGTTGGGCCGCCCATTTCGTCGTGACCGTCCTCCCGGTCCAGCTGCTCTCGGTCCTGCCTCGAGCTTGACCGCTGGCGATGGTGATGGCTCCTGGGATAGAAGTGGCTGGCCGGCTGTTGCTCGGTCTGCTCCTCGTCCGGAGCGGGTTCGCTGCTGCTGTTGCTGTTGTTGCTGTGGCGGTAGGCACCGTTCAGGCTGGTGAACGCGGCGCTGAGCAGCGTCGGCGAGTAGGAGGAGAGATGCTTCCTGACCTTGAGCGCCAGTTTAAGGCCTACGGATCACCTGGTTGCCTGTTGAGAAAGCGAGATAGAGAAATGGCAATCAATATGGTTTGATTTTTGGCACGACTGTCATTAAGTAGGCATTCAAATTTCGCATGGGTTGCTAAAATCAACATGGAAAAATACCGAGCTCCCTAAAAATGGAAGCCAGGAAGTCAGGTGTACTCACACACACACATAAACACAGACAAGTACAGGCACACCAAGCTCACACCCACGCACACACAGGTGTGCCAAAAAACCGGGGAGGGTCGCCAAGCCACCATTGCAAAAGTTCTTCCACTTCCCGTTCCATTCTCACTCCGGTTTCTCGTTTTTGGCGGAAAATCTTGCTTGTAAAATTTATGCCCTTCGCCTCCGCCACCACCCCCCGAAGTTTTATGCGCCATAAAAAAGTGAAAGTCCTGATGAGAGGAGAGTGGAGTGGGCGGTACGGGGGTGGCGTAGGAAAAATGAGGGAAAAAAATATGCAAACATCCCTCGAAAGATGTGTGTGCGCTTATTTTTCCGGCTGCTTTTCGCGCGTTTTCCCTCACGCATACATATTTGGGCCTATATATGTACGATTTCTCGTCCTTTTTTCTTGGCTTTTTCTGGCCTGGAATTGGGAAATGGAAATGGGAAGCAGGGAAAATGAAACTGAAAAACTTGCAATATTTTTCATTCATTCCTGCGACTGTCGTCGAGTGGCGGGGGATGGACAGGGAAGTGAGCCATATGCCCTTGCCCTTGGCATGACTTCGGTCGAATTTCGGCCACTCAAGTGGGCGCCATATGCTGGGATCATGTACTACATGCTGCCTGGACATAGCAAGCGTCATGTGTTGGACATGCTCGAGCAGAACGGCTCGATTTTCCAGCCAGGACTATGCAGCCATGTGGTTGCCAACAGGTAGGAGGCCCCAATAGGCCAATCTGCAATAATGGCATCGAACAGCCGATTCGAGACGAGACAACAGGGAAATGTCAAAGGGGCGATGCCCCGTAAAAAACAGGGATATCGATGGGAAAAGAAAAGCAGACAAAGGACAAAGGAGCCAAACAAACGATCGCATGATTGTCTGTCGTCCCTTTTTGGAGTGCGGAAAATGCGCAAGAGATCATCAATTGTTGTTGTCTGGGCCATTGTCTGGCCCGCCAGGATAATGGGCAACCTGCGGCGGCGGTCCCTACCCCCGCCCGCTCCTGTTTTTTGCGCAACAGGATCGGAGTCGATCGTGGCAGCAACAACAGCAGGTAAGCGGCTTCCAATACCGAATAAAACCATTATCTTTGGCTATAATTCCTCGCAAATCAACGCCTCTTATTCGATTATGAACCGCGCTCCATGTTGCGCATACGCCATGGTCGCCGAGATCGGCGAACGGCCGAAAGCTCGCCGAAAGCTCGGGTCCACCATTTTGTAAAACGTTTAATTAAAATTATCACAACAGAGACGGAAAAAATAGCTGGCAAACGTCATTGAAACGAATGCACTTGGGAACCGGTTTTAGGGTTTTTGGGTTTTCGAGCTGGGGCTTTAGGCTTTGGGTTTCCAGTTTCTGTTTTTTTGGACACGTACCAGGTTGTTAATTGCGAAATTTTTTGACTTAAAAAAAAATTGCAGCTACTAATTGTTGGCTACTCTATTAATTAATGTTAAAATCTTACCACGAAATATTGAGAATGCCGCAGGTGGGGCCCGAAATGGTGGGTGCTACTTAGTGGCCAAAAATAATGACTTTTTGGACACTAGCCTTCGGAGCTTGGGTTTGCTTTTAATTTATTTCAATTTTGTGGAGTTTTTTTTTCGTTGGATTAATTTTTATTCACCTACTCAGAAGTGAGTTTGTTTATAGTGTTTTTTTTTTTAGTTTGTGGGTAAATGTATTTTTTTTTTTTTGGGTTTCGTTCCACAGGCACTTGCACAAACACAACCGATAACACGAGACTGCGAAGCTGGGAGTTGCCAAAAATATATCAGATATTTTCAAGAATCGGCGACACGTTTGCGTTTCTCAAAATCTGATTTTATTCAAAAAATCGCACGAAATCTGAAGCGTGCACGGTGTTGCAGATTCGAGAGCTGGAAGTTGAATAAAACTCAGAAACCCTCACATGCAGTAAGTCACTGAAGACCAAATTTTTCCGGCAGCGGAGAGAGCGCCGGCAGAGGAAAACTGTTCGACGCCGGCGGGGAAAACTGTCCTACAGCGGCCTTTGCTTTTCCATTTCCACCCTCGAGCTCTCTCTCTGTCGCATGCGTTTTTTTTTTTTGCGCTTGCACTGTGAACTCTCCTCCTTTCTCTCTCTGTCTCTCGCGGTGCGTGTGTGTGCGTGAGCGCCTTATGGCCTGACTATGGCGGCCCATGTCTGGGAGGTGGGGGGTGCGACAGAGAGCCCGCTAGTCTTCTGCAGTGTCCCTCCTTTTTTGGCGACTGCATTTTTTTATACATTTTTTTATACTGACCGATCCGATCCGAACCGAACCGCTTGAATTTAAGCAGGTTGTCGGTGCGTGGAAAACTGGTCTCGGCCTTTTCAGTCGTTTTATGGGCTCTATAGTATGTGTGTTTTTTTTTTTTTGATTCGAATTCGGACTTGGACGCGGATCGGATCCCCTTCCCTCCAATCACTAGTCGCCATTTTGAAATGCGTTTTTATTTAATACTCGGGCACATTTCTTCGCGCTTTCTTCGAAGAAGAACCCTCTTCGAGGCAGCTTCTTATTTATGCAAATTCCCTAAAAATAAGTAACGACCTTCGGCAATCAAGACACAATTGAATGCATTTGGCCTGCAATGCGATTAATTTGCATACGAACTCGACCTTCGACCCTCAGTAAACCCTTTGATTTTATATGCAAATTGCAAAATAACGGTCCTTGGCAGGGAAAGCAAGGAATCTGAACATCCTTCGGGTCTTGAAATTTATGCAAGGCACCTGTGATATCCCTAAGGGGTTTAGATTCTATGGGAGGAATGTATAATCTTTAATTTTAATTTCTAATTCCGATTATTGCTTTTGCACTAGCTGTACTTCAGATCTCTCTCACTCTCTTTCTGCATCTTCTAGATTACTTTTTTAATTGTTTATCATTAGTTTTTCGTTGCTTCCTCGGAGCCAGTTGCCCCGCCACTGGACCGGGTACTGGTTCGGGTTGCCAAACCCATTAATCATGTTTGGAAATTAAGGTCAACCGCATTTCACGGGTCCATATTTTTTTCAAAATGCACTTTTTCTCTGTTTGGTTTTTTTTTTTGCTTTTGGCGGAGCTACGAGATCGGGCAGCACTATCCCCGCCACCGAAACTAGTTCGCAAGTGCATTCACCTCCCCCCGCCCTCTCAGTTGGGGCCTGATAGTGCCAACGAGCATAAAAAACGGAAAGTTGCCGCAACTCGGACTCCATAATCTGGACAAGAGCCCGGGGGCTTTACACTCTATACGCTGGCAGTTAGCCCACCCCACTGGTAATCTTATCATCGTCATTATAGTGCCCCTTGTGCCCGTCAATGTCCCAGTAAGTGAAAGTGTAAAAAATGCACTACAAGATGCAGTAATGCAACATTGTATTTAATGGATATTTCTATAATTATTTATCTATTAAAATGGATACTTAATATTATTATTATTTTTTATATAATAAACACTTCAATGGATAATCCTAAATCCTCCCATGTGTCTGGCATTCCCTTAACTGGATTATCCTTTGGTCAGTGTTGACTTTGCTGACTTCTTGACTGACGCATGGAGGAGGACGTGGCCCAGTCCGGAGATGAAGATGTTCTCCGTGCTGCGGGCCTAAGCCACCGCTCATTATGGGGGATTAGCTGGGAGAAATCCGCACATAATCCAACCGCAAGACAGAGACGCTCAATGAAGCAGAGATCGCTTAATGAACTGCATCAGCAGGAGTAGATCTACCTGCGCTTCCCAGGACACTCACACTCGATCCTCGCCAAAAGTGAGCGATAATCCCGTAAAGATTGTAAAACAAAAGATTGTACTTCTTATCGCCAGAGCTCTCCTCCTCCTCCTCGAATTTAATTTGCATTTTGAGTTTTTGTTTGCAAACTGCACGACGAGTGCTATTGTTTCTGTGAATTTTCGCGATTACAATTATCAGCACTTTTGGGTGCACGTCTCCGGCTTATGGTCAGCACATGGACCACCTCTGCATGACCTGCGGGCCGCGAAAGGGTTCGGACCAGGGGTTTATGGCTTTATTGCTTCTCGCAAAAATGTGCCAAAATAGTTCAGGGAAACGGCTTGTCCCGTTTATGGCCTTAACCCTTTACTCGACCGGGGTCATTATCTGGCAGCGACTATTTGCATGCGGAAAGGGGTGGAGGGATGGGATTTCCAGGAAATGCATCGAGTCCTGTCTGAGGAATGGGCTGGAACTCAATCAATGTCTGGAGCATCTTCTTAATGCCGGCCATTTGTCAAGCTGGCCAAAAAAAATGCAAAAACCAAATGAATGTAAAAAACTATCTAGACCTAGGTCCTCCTCAGGCAACCCTTTCTCTCTATCCTTCTACCTGACGCATCCTTCGAGGTGGTCCTGCTGCTGAAGTGTCGTCCTTTGTAGCCTCGAGCCTGGGCATCTTTGAAGTAGCCGGGCACGTGAAGAATCTCCATGGCAGAAACGCCAACACAAAAGCAATTAGCGAGGCTCAAAGGCAAACAGGAGCCGCCGTCCTGCTGGGAGGAATTTAGCGACACAGGATGGCCAGGACCTGTACTCTCGCACCCGGGTGCTAATGGAGGTGAAAATGCAGATACTATGCTGTGTGACTACTTCAAAGTTTCCCCTTTCCCCCTCCCCCCCGCTTAAAATCCAAGCGGCGAAAATACGAAATATCTATCAGATACACATTACGCTGAAGTGTGCTTGTGTTGGTGGTTTGTGTGGATAGAGCAACAGTCGGAAAACAAACAAAAACTGCAGCCGACGAAAATTAATAAAAAATGCAACAAGAAGGCCCTGATGAGGAGGGTGTGGGGGGAGGGGGTAGGGGGGGAGCACGACCAACGAAGCAGCGGAGGAGCGGAAAACGCTGGAAATTTATCGCGCGCGTCATTCGCCGCTGCAACTATGGAAAGTGGCACGTAGACTCCGAAAATGTACGCTGGTGTTGGTGCTGTTAGGTCTGTGGGAGGTGGTGCGGGGGGGTTGGCAGGGCAAGCGGTAAGTGGGAAGGGGGCCCGGGGAGGGCCACGCACATGGGTCATTGCACTTTTGCAACGCGCTCACAGATACAGATACGGGAAAGCCTACACGCAGATACCCCGGGCCGGGGAGATAGCAAAAGGCAGCGTTTCGACGAGAATTGTGTAAAAAAGGCACGAAAAATTAGGCGAAAGCAAACAGAAACTAGACGGGGGGACGGGGACAGGGCGAGAGTGAGCTAGAGCGAGAGGGATTGAGTAGACAAACAAGATACAGATACATCTGTATCCGTGCGTGTGTAGAGAGTGGGGAGCGTTGCAACTGCAACTTTAGCAAGGGGTCGGCCATTTTGTTGGCGTTTTTCGCTGGCGCAGATAAAAAGATACAAAACGTGCACCGAGAGATATGAATGTTAGATAGTTTTTGGAAGACTCCATATCTGAGGGGCTAACGACCATAAAAACACAAAACTCATGTTTGCAATGATCGCTTGTATGTGCAGTTCAGCCCTGGGTGACAGATACAGATACATATGCTCTCCATGAAGCGCGCAGATACCCAAATGCGCCGGCTATTAATAGCGATCCGAAGGGGCATGCCATTTGTGCCGCCAGCGCCACTCGAGTGTGGCAGTTGCAGTTGCAGTTTGCGCCGCTCGATGCACATGTGGAAATTGGGAAATTCGGGAATATGGGAATGGATAATGGAAAACCTAGCGACCACGCCCCCGAAAAGTACAGGCTAGCATTTAGAGCAGCAGCGCATGGGGTGCGTTTTCCACAATAGATGTTTTTACCAAAAAAAGTCACACACACACACACACTCACACACTACTAGCTGCCACAACTCACGCAATTCGAATTTTATTTTTAGCGATTTGAGGGAAATTTCAAGTCAAGCGTTGTGAATTTTCTTTGAATTTATGCGGCCATGGTCACATGGCAGGGCCCTAGTTCTGGGTCTGGGGGTAGTACTTACCTTTTTTCGGTTTTCCGCCTCTCGTTAGTTGTATCTGGCAGATATCTAGCCGTATCTTTGCGCGCTTAGAACACGTTTTACAAATTTATGTATCTTATCGGTGGGCTGATCGGAGCTTTGACTCTAACCGTAGTTCGATTCACATTTTCGCAAATAGTTTATCCACGTTTTCGCCGGATTCGAACTTGCGATTTTTCCCGGCATTCTGGCGGGTTTTTCCTGGAGCTTGATTTTCACTTTTCTTCCACTGCGGGCGGATCGAGGCGTTCTGCTCGCCGACTGATTGCAAAATGCCGGAGGAACTGAACAAAAAAAAAAAAACACCGAAAGGGCACAACAACAAATTCTCGGAAGCGTTTCGCAGAGCTTCGCGCTCTGTATCTGTAAGATACACGGAGTATCTGTGTCTGACCAAGGGCGGGGCAGGCAGGGCTTTACATGTGTCGCTGTAAGTTCTGGGCAGACCGCGGCCGACCGAGCACTGACCTTGGGTTCACGCCGCGAACAAGGGACTGGGTTTCTGGACTTTTGAAATTTTCAATTCGGAATCCGTCAGTTTCTGTTTCTGTTTTGCGAGTGGGGACTGAATCTGAATCTGTCATTTGGTTATTTGGTCTTCTGGAAGAGAGCGTACACAGCGTGGTGTGTAGAAAAGCTCCGACTGTACATTATGTACTCACACACACCACATAGTCTAGTATATAGCCAGACTGACTCACAAAGTGAGCAAAAAAAAGTCTCATACTAGGTAGTGAATAGAAAACAACATGTTCTTTTGGGGGGCGGGGGAAAGCTCCCTTGCCCCGAGCATGTAGCATAATCGGTGGCCCTTGGGGCCCACGTATGAATTTTGCAAATACATACATACACAACTACACTACATAGATACATAGACATAGACCTAGAGCCAAAAATCGAAAACAACAAGCGAGTCGGAAAAAGAACCGCCAGTTGGCGGC